GCGGGGGGGGGGGGCACTGAGAAGGCCCTCCCTCTTGTTGCCACCTTTGGGGCCAACCCTACCCCTAATAGACGGCTACAATTCCATTGAAAAGAGGGCGATTTTGAAAAGGCCTTCCTTGAGTGGCTTTTTCTGCACAGCTCACCATTTCTGCCCATTCTGAACGCATTCCAACCATCAAAATCCTGCCAGGACACCTCGTTTTCCTAGCCCTAACCCTACCCTGGTGCACACCCCTAACCCTAATTAATGGGGGCAAAGTTCCATTGAAAAGAGGGCGATTTTGAAAAAGCCTTCCTTGAGTAGCTTTTTCTGCACAGCTCACCATTTCTGCCCATTCTGAACACATTCCAACCATCAAAATCCTGCCAGGACACCTCCTTTTTCTAACCCTAACCCTACCCTGGTGCACACCCCTAACCCTAATAGGGGGTGAAAGTTCCATTGAAAAGAGAGCGATTTTGAAAAAGCCTTCCTTGAGTAGCTTTTTCTGCACAGCTCACCATTTCTGCCCATTCTGAACACGTTCCAACCATCAAAATCCTGCCAGGACACCTCGTTTTCCTAATCCTAACCCTACCCCGGTTGACCAAATGGACCAAGAGTTGGCACTTGGAGGAAGTGCTCAGAGGCTGAGCATAATGTCAGGGGGATTGCAATCAGGAGAGGCCCCCCCCGTCAAGCAGTAAGGCTTAAAACCAGCACCTTGAGCTGCGCTTGCGAGTGTGTCTGCAGCCAGTGTGAGCTTGGCAGAATTGCTCTTCTCTGCTCAGATCTGCTGGTCCCGGTTAATTGTTCAGGTGGCACATGTTGCAAGACTTCAAGGGCAGCCCCACTGCAAGAATCGGCAGAGCACAGAGGACCCAAACGGGGCCAGGGGGCACTGCAGGCCCTTCGTCTCTGCACAGGTTCTGCCAAACTGGGCTGCAGTGTTTAGATGCCGATGGACACCTTGTCCTGCGCATGCACCAGGGGAAATATTTCTGCTGTAGCTTTGGCACATGAGAGATTAAACAGATGTCCTTTGCTTCACCCCGTTCGGTTCCATTTCACACATACGCTGGCAGAGTTCATGCTATTTAAAAACCCACTCCTTCCCCTCTGCCAGGCATGCCTGGGTGCCTCCTGGAGCCCCCGCCTGCAGGCCCACTTCCCCCTTCTTTTCTATTTTCTCTCCTTTGAAGAGAAGAGAGAGAGGGGCAGTCATAAAGGAGGGAAGAAACACCTAGCCACGCTTAACAGAAAGGAGCTGGGGCTTAAGGGGAAAAGGGAACAGAAGGGTGTTCGGAGCCGCAGAAGACGAAAAGTAATGCATTTGTCAAGACTACCGGTAGCCATAACAACTATAGAATAAAATAGATTTGCCATTCAATAAACAAACCGGAGCATCATGCGTCATAAAACAACCCATTAATTGCAGATGCCGCTTCATGTTTTGGATACTTCCTTTTTCCAGCTCTGCAAGCGTTTCCACGTACAGTTTCGTACGCTGCCTCTATTTCGGTTAGCAGGTGCATCCCATGCCCTAGTGAGCGCAATTACATGACCAGAGGTGGATGTCAAGAAGGTGAACGCTTCGGAAGGCCCGTGCACTGACTTGGGAGGTGCTCTTCCCACTAACCCAGGGCAGGGCGTTCATTTGAAATCCCCTGGAGAAACAGGTGCTTTGAGGACGCCTCTGCCTGGGACACAGAGGGGCCACCTTTCAGCAGAGACGACAAGCCCTTTCAGCCTCCCCTCCAAAGTTTGGGCAAAAAGGATCGTTCTAATTCTAAGGCGTCTGGTGCCCCCAGGTGCACTGGATCACAGGTTCCATCATTCTGAGCCACAGTGACCAAACCCATCTGGAGAGCACCGTGTGGGGAGAAGTCTTGAAAATCTTGTTATTCCGAGCAAGGCAAAAGTGGGGAACAGACGTCAGGATTGTCTGATCCCATTTTGGTCTGCACTGATAGCAAAATAAAATGTTGTGTGCCTCTTCCCTGGGCCCCGTCTGCCTTCCCTGACACAGACACACACACGCCCTGAAGAGACCCACACCCGCAACATTCACACCTGTCACTCTCCCTTGTCTAGGGCCTTGCCAGCACTTAGCAGTCAAGGCGGAAAGGCAGTCTGTGCATGCTCAGAGGGTCAAGGGCGGCAGCACAAGATGTCCTTGTGGACAAAACGAATTGTGGATGCCGTGAAGCAGTCAGAAATGTAAGCGCTGTCCAGGCTTTTAAACTGACACAGACACACGCTTTGAAAAGCACCGTTTTAACAGGCTTTTGAAAGGCCAGCTCCATCGTGAGGCTATTTGAAATTTGCAGATTTAAGAGAATCCACAGCTTATGCCAATAAGCGGGGCCCTCTTCTCCTTCCCTCTTCCTCCCTTCTCCCCACAGATGAAACTATGGGGGAGGGGAGCAAGCCAGCTCTTTAGCAAACCTCAGGGCACACGATGCATTCGCACACGCACCACCAGGATCCTGGCTGCGCCCAGGCACGGCTCCCGGCTCCCCTGCTTCAGCCGCCACCTCCCAAAGCACGCTTCTGATAAGGGGATGACGCACGACCCCAAGGGAGATGTGTCAGCCCTAATTGACTGATCGCTTGTGCAAGTCAGATAAAAGGGAGGCACGGTTAACTATAGCCAGAACTAGCCAGTGGTCCCTCGGTTCGATTATGGGAACACGGTATGGTTCGATACCCCACAGAACCTGACTCATTCACAACTGCTTGGGATCTGGCCTCAAGGGCTGGCAAGACCCGTCCTGTGGAGGAGGAGGATGCGCTGTTTTGGCGGCCCAAAGTGCAGCAGAGCTGCTGCGTTGGAAGTGGACCTAAACACCCGGCTGACCTTTTCTAGGAAACAGGGAGCAAAGGAAGACTTCTGTGCCAAGAGAGCCAGTGTGGGGCCGTGGTTAAGAGCACCGCTCTGGCGCTGAAGCGATCTGGACTCTAGTCCCCACTTGGCTGTGGAGCCAAACGGGTGACTTGGGCAAGTCATAGACTCTCAGCATGCCTACTTCGCAGGGTTGTTGTTGTGAGGATAACATGGAGGACAGGAGGAGGAGAATGCTGTAAGCTGCTTTGAGTTCTTTAAATGAAAAAAGCGGGATAGAAATCTAATAAATAAGAGATTGGAAGGATTGAGGCAGGCCAATCATATTCTCACTATGACCTTCTTAGAGAAATGAAAATGCGGGATTCTGGCTCAAGTCTTCATACTTCTTATGGCTTACAAGGAAATGTGAGATTAGCAGCATCGATTAGAAGAAATGTTCATTTCCATGCTGCCCTTCCGCAAAGGGAACTGTGTTCAAGCTAGCTTGCAATATACAAAGTAAATACCAACAACAAATGCATCTGTGTATGTAAAAACCAAGCCTTTCAGCAACAATATTAACATTTCAAAACATAATGTCAATATTTCAATAACATCTCGCAACAAAAACATGAAAAAACCACACCGAAGACTTTACAGTGATACCATCGACCAAAGCCACTTGTTTGGCAATGCAATCCCTCAGTATTGTGCTAGGGAAACAAACAAAACACGTTTTAAAATTGTTCTAAGGTAGCGTCTCTCACGCTGGGGCCCTCCAGCTGCGCTCAAGGACAACTCCCAGCATGGCGCAGCTGGGGGCACCAGATTGGAAAGGCTGCTCCATGGGATCCACACAGGATCCGAGCTCCCATCTCCTCTCTGCTGCCATGGCCTCATATACCACGTGGCCACCCGGACACGTATTGTATTAGATCAGCTAGGCAAGCCAATTTTGTGCTCAAGCTGCCACATGTTGCAAACCCACAGAGTGAAGAAGTGGCGTACAAAAGTGAGCCCGCGACGTCCGCAGACAGACAGCCTCCTCTTCAAACCAGCATCTGAAACCCCACTGCAGCCCCACTGTGTGCATCCCCCGGCCTGCACCTGTGTGGAACCCAGCCCCCCGCCCTGCCGAGCAAGCCCCACGAGGCTGAGTCAAATTTCACGGTGCCTGGGTTTCCGAATGAATCCGTGGAAGCCCTGACCAGAAGGAACGCTCCAGTCCCCGACTGGTGATCGCAACGCATTGTGACAAGGTGCCATCTGAAAGCGCCAGCTGCTGCTCCGTTTCAGTCGGCTGCCACGGGGTTTGCAAAAGGGCCGAGCCGAGTGTGTTTGTGCATGTGTGTGGGGGGATTCTGATGAAGCGCACTAAACAAGCCAAGTATGCTTCATGCGCCTGGAAATAGATCCCAAGTCTCCTGGATCTGCAGAGCATTTTGCGTGATTCAGCTGTGCCCCTTCACACAGGGTGGCTGGCTGTCTCCACCCTTACAGGGGTCAGTCCTCCGTTTGTCTGCTGTTTTATTTGAAGGCATCCTCTGTTTGGTCCATGATGAAGTCCCACAGGGAGGGGAGCTGCTCATCAGCATCTCAGCAGGAAGGCACACAGGTCACCTGTCCAGTGCCTTCCCCAGATGTACCGTAGTTTTGCTTAAATTATATTTGCATCTGCACACATGAATCTGTGTCATCTCTGGCCTCTTTTTCAGTGAAGCCACCGGGTCTCGCTCTCCGTCACTGGTGCACCGTTGCATTTTTGAAGCTGAAAACCTCTGCAGAGTCCCAAGCATCTGTGACTTTTCTCCTCTGTAGCTCAGTGTTAGTGGAAGTTCAGTTTCAACCACCCACAACCTGACGCCTTCCCAGGTGTTTTGGACTACATCTCCCATCAGCCTCAGCCTGCTCAGTCAGGGCAATGGGAGCTGGTGCAAAAAATCTGGAAGACATCAGGTTGGGTGATTGACATGCATTGGGCCCCTTGTTGCTTATATGCACCAGTTGCTGGGGAACATGGGTGAGGTGGTACTCCCATCCTGCTTCATCACCAAGATGGAGAAGGCGGCTAGAAGCTACGGAGGCCTTCCATGCCTCGCTCTACCTTTTTTTCCCATTTCTCCCACAGGGAACTGAAGTGAAAAGAAAGTTCTCGGACTCATCAGGAGAGCCCCTTGCTCCAGGCGGCACAATGGAAAACGTCCACGAACTGAAGCACCCGCTGCTGGCCACATCCCCCGGGAAGGGGCCCCTCCAAGCTGGGATGGCCGGCCTGACAACTGCCCCGGACCCTTCTGGACCGCCATCATCCCGCCACATGCCACCCCCCTTCTCCTGGCTCCAGCCGGGCTCTGCTGCCCTGGCCCACCAGCTCCTGGATCCCAGCAACCTGGAGAGGACAGTGGAGCCGTACCAGACGCCGGAGTCGGTGCTACACCCCGAGCTGTGGAAGGCGAGTGCCCTCCAGGGCTGGAAGAAGAAAGATTATATCGAAACGGCCTTTGGGGACAGCAAAGAGGCCGGGGAGCTGCCCCGGAAGGCGGGCCTGGAGAAGGACATCCGCACGGTCTGCTACGAGGTGGGCGACACGGAGCTGCCGGATCTGGAGGTAAGGCTGCCTCAGACCACGCAAGGGCTGGGTGAGAACAAGGGCAGCAGCCAGGCGGCCCCGCAGGCGGGACATGTGCACAGCACCTCCTTACCCATGTTCCCCTGCACCTCCGCAGAACGCCTCCAATGCCACAGAAAGCACATCGCCAGGAGCAGCCACGCATAGCCCTCCCCTCCATGGAGTTGCCCAGGGCCCACACTGGTAGCCTCTTCTGCTCCATTGTGTGGAAGCAGATTCCATCTTTAAGGATGCCCAGTGTGAAGGGGCACTTGCCAGGGCTGCTCCAATGACCTGCGCCTGGGCACCGCTGGGCAGCAGTCTGGGTTCGGGGGCAATGAAATGGGGAAGCCGTATGCCCCTCCAGCAGGGGGTTTCTCGCCCCGTTCCTGGCCCCTGGCAGAAAATGGGTGCACACCCGTCGCTGAGACCACGAAGAGCCTACCAATTAGCTCTCAAGGGGTCTAATTTAAAGACCCTTTCCTACTGCCTTTAAAGGGGAACCTTTTTCCTGGCCAGCAGGAACTCCGGTGGAAAGGGGGCCTTCACATGGCAAGGCGCTCCAGGGGGCGGCTTCGGTCTGTGCGCCAGCAAAGGTGGCTTGCCTGGGCAGAGCTGGTGGACTTCGGTGCTCGTGACCACTGCCTTTCACTTCGCCAGGGCAGCCATGGAAGAAACAGGCTGCTGGGCTGGAAGAGCTTTTGGTCTGGCCCAGAAAGCAGTTCCCACGTGCTTGGTGACTGTGCGCCTGGCTGGGAGGAAACAGGGTTGCACTACAAGGGAGCAGAGCCGAACCCCACTGCCTGCCCAGGCTGGCTCTGGCACCGAGGATCGAGCCGGTCCGCTTGTCTGCACCACTGGCCTTTGCCAACCCTGTGCTGGGTTTCCCACCTCCAAGAAGCCGGGGCGCAACGGGAAGGCAAAAGAGAGCCAGTGTGGCACAGGGGTTAGAGTCTTACACTGCCGTTCAGGAGGTCAGGGTTCTAGTCTTCACTCAGGCGTGGAACTCCGGGGGTGACTGGGCCAGTCATGGGCTCTCAGGCTAGCCTCCCTCACAGGGCTGTTGTTGTGTGAATAAAATGGAGAATGACGCCGTAAGCCAGGGACTTCCTGCAATAATCCTTTGCAAAGGTGGTTGGCAGCATTCTGCCTCTGCTTGCGGGAGGTCATCTGTATCCACCGCAGCTTGTAGCCAAGGGCAGCCTTTATCCTCCATGTCTCTGGCCCACGTGAAGCCATCAGAGTTGGGAGTGCTTCATTTCATCGTCCTGGGTCCTTCTCTTTATCTGACTGAATTCAGGGAAGCTTGAATGCTTCAGGGAAGAGGGTAGGAAGAGCTCAAAGCTTGTGGGCCAATCCAGGGAGATCTTCCACGACGGAGACCCTCAGGGCCCTCGGACCCTGTGAGAGCCTCCCAAATGTGGAGCTCCAGGCCTTGCGAGTCCCCCACAACCCCACCGCGGATGCTGCCCCACGGTGCAAAGCATCCAGCATGGTGCTTTCCCCCACGGCTCAAAGGAAAGGGGTGTTTTCCTCACTCCAGAATGACTCCTCGACGGACAGCGACACGGAAAGCGAGAGCAGCTTCTCCACGCTCTTGCCGCAGGATTACCTGGGCCTGGCCGTGTTCTCCATGCTCTGCTGCTTCTGGCCACTGGGCATCGCCGCCTTCTACCTGTCCCAAAAGGTGGGTGCCTCCAACAAGGGGGAGCAGCAGCTTGGAAGGCACCTCCGCGTGGAGGGAGGGCGGATGACGAGGTCACAAACTCCGGGGAATCACAGGGCTACCTTTGGGTCTCTCCCCCAGGCCTCCCTTCCAGCTTGCAAGATATGGGGTGGGGGGCATTGGGGTCTGAGACCGCAAGAGCTCGGGACTGCAGCCCAGAGTCTTTTCTGACCTGGCTGCAGGAAAACATCCATGTAAAGCAAACGTTTGCCCGCCATTTCTGTCTTTTTTTCCTACCACCAAATCGGTTACGGAGAAAAAGACAGAAAAAATGTGCAAGGACTTCCCATTGGCAGCGCTTGCTCTGGAAACACCCCGTTGAGAGCAGTTGGGTTGGTCCGGGAACCCTTTCCAAGGCCTCTGAAGGAATATGAGCAGCCACAGCAACTTCTGGCATGCGAGGGAGAGGCCCCTTGAAGGACACTAATTGACTGTGTGTCTGTGTGTGTGTGTCCTCACCCCCGCCCCCGCCGGCGCTTTGTTCCTTCCACAGACCAACAAGGCATCGGCCAAGGGGGACTACCCAGAGGCGTGGACGGCGTCCCGGCAGACCTTCGCGCTGGCCGTCCTGTCCATCATTCTCGGCATCTGCACCTACATCGGCGCCGTGGTGGCCCTGATCGCCTACCTGTCCAACAAGGCGCCCACCTAGCTCAGCCCTGCCTGCTGCTCCCTGCCGGGTGGCGAGGAACGGGGCCTGCGTGGACTTGCACTCGTCTCCCGAAGTCGGTTTTCTCAGGCCGGTGCGAGCCAGGCCCGGTGGCCGCCTTTGACTACGCTCGGCATCCACTCGGGCCAAAGCGGGGGTGGCTGTGAACGGAGCTGCTGGGAGGCCGGGAGCCGGACTGGGGAACGGCGACGGTTTGGGTGGCGAAGGGGCCTGGTCCAGACGGGAGCGTGGCCCCTGCATCTTGCGCCTCAAACACGGGGCAGCGGATGTCTCTCCGATCTGGGCGAACTCGTGGGCTCGTTGCCAGAGGAGCCGGAGCCCTGGGCAAAAGAAGGCGTCCACCATCCAGGACTGTATCGTGGGACTCCGGCGGCGTGGGACTTCCGCTTCCCACGGCAGAGGACGAGGGAGCGTTGCCCATGGACCAGGTGGGCGCTCCTAGTCTGCCCCCACCTTTAACTCCGTGTCTCTTTGTCACTCCTTTTATATTGCGCTCGCCACCCCGCCCCACACGTTTCAGTCCGAGACCCAGGGCCCCACACGCGCCCCACCCTCAATAAACCACCAATGCACTCGCTGGCTTGCAAATGTCTTCTCCTCTGCCATGCTCTGGAAGCAGGACGGCCTTCTGGCCCCTTCCAGGTCCGAGGAGCTGGGCCAAGAGGGGCCAAGTGGGGGGGGGGAGGCAGGGGGCTGCCAGCCCCCCTCCATTGCACCTTCCACCCCTTCTCTCCTTGCAGTGGCAGTCGGCATCCCGGCCCTGCCTGGCCGCCACGTCTCCTGACCTTGGCAGCCCTGTGCTTTCTTGCAAGGAAACATGGCATCAGAGCAGGGCTAGGAGCTGTGGGGACGACGGCAGCCAGGCCCAGAGCCGCCCGTGGCTTTAGGCTGGTGCGCCCAGCACATTCGGGACAACCTACAGGGGCCACACGGCAGGCAGCAGGTTTCTGCTTCCGGAGCTTGCTTGGGTCCTCCTGGGGAGAGGCTGGGTGCTGCTGGTGCCTTTGGAAACGGGAGCAACGAATCCGGGGACAGCCTAAATCTTGGCCAGTTTCTTTTGACACCAGCTGCTGCCAATACTTGGGTGGAGGGCGGCTGATGCCAAATAAACACATTAACCCCGAGGATGCTGTAAGACTCTGCTGGTTCTGCTGCAAGAGGGTAACATGGCAACCCCTCTGGAAATAGGAGGGCTCAGCTCAAAAGACCCCCTGGGCTCATGCAACAGAGCTCTTCTTCATCCAGTGGGTAAAGCATTCAGGGTCTGGGTTCGACTTCTTCAAGCTGCAGGAAGCGTGGCCAGGCAAGTGGGAGAGACTCGGCGTGTGCAGGAAAAGAGCAAGCCAGGGAGAAGGCAAGGCCGAGCCCCTTTCTGGCGGTTTCGTTCTCCGTGCACAGGAAGTGCATGGGCGAGCCTGCTTCCCGCAGCATCCTGAAATGGTGACTTCCACGGAGAGCATCCTCACCCAGCTCTACTGCATGCACAAACTACTCTTGGAAGGCACCCCTCCCCTCCGCTTTTGGTCCTCTCTCTTCCCCCGCACCATCCCCGGCTGGTCCTTCTTTGTTCTCTCACTCTCCTCCGAGGCTGCCATGAATTATTGAGCGCGCTGGTGCGTTATCACATAGTTACGTGGTGCCCAGCCCACTGCTTCCGAAGGCGCGAAGCGTCACCTCTGCCTCGGCCCAGGTGGAAGGCAAGGAAAGGAAGAGCTCCGCAGCGAGACCTGGGCCCTGTTGCGATCTGGGCAGACAGCACAAGCCCAGAGGTTAGCTTAAGCAGCAGTAATGTGGGACGGGGAGAGAGGCATGAGGCCATTCTCGGAAAAGCCATGCAAGGGCAGCTCCATCTGGGATCAGCTGCTTGACTGCCGGCGGCTATTTTCAAGATGCCGAAAGGTCTGATGTGTGAAGAGCCCAAATTCTCCTTGCAAATCTGTCTTCTCCCCACTGATGGAGGAGATGCAGAGACTTGGAAAGGGATATTTTGTTGAGGTTCCAGGTAGCATGCTAAAGCATCTCCTCATCCCCTGCCAACTTGACTGAAAGTCCTGCCTGGTCCTATCCGTTGCCCTAGGCAGTCACTTAGAGACAGCGACTGGAAAGTGCCAGTCATTTACCTGCAGAAGCTAGCTGGAAAGGTATACTGCCTCTGTACATGGAGGCTCCACTTATCTTTCTCAAATGTTCAGGCATGCATGCCATTCTTTATGCAGCCACCAACATTATTTTTACAGACCCGCCCCACCCCAAATGCACGCAGATGAGAGAAGCATCCGCAAGTTTCAGCAAAAAGCACGGTCGTGCAAAAACATCTTTCGAGAAACCCTCTCCCAAATCTCAGAGTGCTCAGGGACCATGCAATGCTAACTGACAGTTGCAGGTGGAAGATGACACAGAACGGATAATCCTGGATGAGATAGCACAGCACCAATACTTGCTGTCGAATTTGTGTAATCTGTTTTTTTTTTTTAAACCCATCATGACATTTTGCCATGACAAATTCTGAAAGTGAATACATGTTGGTCCACCCGTTGTTGACTCCTAAGCTAGAAATATTTTTTGCTGTCGAAAGAAAGTAGATTCTCCAGGCTCTGAGCAAGGAGAATTGCAGGAAGAGGAATTATTCTCAGCCAGCGCCTGCTTTCCTCTGGTCCAACGACGTGTTCCAAATGCCTCGAAGGCCAGTCCGGGTCCAAGGAACCTGGTGGGCTGGACTGTACGCTCCTCAGAGCTGTTTGCAGTGTTGGCATCTCTCGGAGGCAAATCGCTCAGCTGGCCATGGACAGATCTTTAAAAGCAGCAGGTGGGATGAATCACACGAGCACCAGAAGTCTGCGGGAGGCCAGAAGCAGCAATGTGCCAGACGGCAAGCCAACACTCACACTCCCCAAAGGGAAGCTGTGTCCACGCGGTCTGTGCTGTGCGGGAGCAGAGCCTGAGGCGGATCTGGCCCTGCTGCAGTTCCCCGAATGAATAAAATGCACATTACAAGCTTGCCTGCAAGCACAGGAGCCACTGGGGGAAAACGAATGCAAATGCAGCCTTCTTAATTGAAAAGAGCAAGCAGGAAGGGCCCCTTCGGCCTCCATCATCTCTCTGCAGGGGGGGGGGGGGTTCTACTCGGATCCCCACAACCCCCCCCAGCCCCTTTGCCCCTGCCCCGAAGTTCTAGTAATTAAAACCATTGTTTTCCCCCAAGGGGAAGCAGAAACTGTTGTGGCACTGATTGGATGAGACATCAGCTAATGCGGGCTGATTGAATATTCCGTGTGGGGAAGTGGGGGCAGAGGGTGTAAGCGGCTGGGAACGCAGGCGGGTTGGCGCTATGGGAACGGGGAGAGAAGGTCATCCCGCCTTTCGTTGCTGGGGGAGCGTGTGAGCAAGAGGGAAAGGTTGGTTTGCCTGCGATGGCAGCCTGCCCTTTTCCAGAGGGGCGGCTGGTTTCAAGAAGCAAGTGATGAAGACCTCAGAAAGCACCGATGGGGAAAATAAAAAGATCATTTCATCAACGCAATTAGGCTCATTAATCAAAGCAGGCGGTTTGCTGCTTAGCAAGGCAGCCGGTGAAGGGGAAGCACGTGGCCGGCTCCAGAGCGAGTGTCGGAGGCGGCGAGGAAGCCAGGGAGGGTGGGGGATCTGACCCAAGGGCAGCCCCGTGGCATGCGAGGGACGGTGACCTGCTGAGCGTGAATGGTGTGACTCAGCAAGAAGGCTCCGTCCTCTCCGTCCCTTGAAGGCATGAAGCCAGCCTGCCACAGAACCCGAGCACGGGGACTGCTGGCTCTTCTCCAGCCCTTGCAGATGCAGAATTCGGAACCCAGGACCCGATTTGGATTGTCAGGCCGCCCAAAGGAACTTTTTTCTATAAAGCACGTTTCTAGTCCTCATCGGTTCTACCGGAAAGCTCTCCAGTCTTGCCGGGGAGCACTCAAGAGCAAGAGAATGGCTTTGGGGGATGATGCACAGAGGCTGGCAGGGCTGCTTTTGGGAGGGAGGCTTTCCGGGGGGAGCATTTTGAGGAGACAGTTGGGGGGGTTAGCCACATTATATTTCTGCAAGTCACCCCCCCCACTTCTCCCTTTTATCTGTGGCCACAAAGGTTGAGCCTTGCCCTCCGAGTTCTTCCGTGCCCTCTCCCACTCCCCGCTCCACAGAGCCTGCAGAATTGTTTCAAGCCCCTTCGTTCTGGCAAAGAAAAAGGAGGCAGAATTAGGGGTAGCCTCAAATGAAAAATCACAAAGGATTGGCTAGGCCTCTCCTAGAAAAAAAAAAACCTTTCCGTGCCCAAGATTCAGGACACGACGAGAAATTTCAAACAAGGAATTCTACCCCAGATGATGGCATGTCCCAATTTCTTCCGCAGTTTCAGGCTGGAGCATCTAACTGTGTGGGCGTGGGGGGGGGGGAACGTGTCCTTTGGGAACCCCACGTCGCTTTCCTTCTCGCCAGCGTGTTGCTGCATTCGGAGGCAAGGAACTGTAATGAAGAAATATCTGCCAAGCTGCAAGCAGATTCTGCCTTGCTCTTACCGCTGCGTTTGCCAAGCTGCAAAATTAAAAACAAGCAGGAAAGTTCCGCAGAATATTAATGAGTGCAGGGACAGCACGGAGCCCTGTGTCTCCGCTCACGGCGATGCACACGGCCACATCCCGGATGGAAGGAATTTGGTCCTGAGGCTGCTAGTGACAGGGCACAGAGAGGATAGACTGCCAAAGGGGGCAGTTCTGGACCCAAACTTTGGGGAATCGCCGACCCCATCGAGGGCTACAATTACCTGCCCTAGCTCAGCCTTCCCCAGGTGGGGGCCCCCCAGTTTCCCTTCCAGAAAGATGGAACTTGGAGTCCAGCACATCTGGAGGAAGGCTGCCTGCAGAGGTGTGTTCGCTGCTGCCAATTATTTTGGAAAACCCCGTGTGATGCAGTGGCTTGCGTGCTGGACTGGGGGTCAGGAGGCCCGGGTTCTGGTCCCCACTCCGCCTGCAAGCTCCCTGGATAACTTTGAGCCAGGTGCTGATCGTCAGCCTAACCTACCTCACAGGGTTGTTGTGAGGATAAAAGGGAGGACAATTTGCTAAGCTGCCTTGGGTTCTTTGCAAGAGGGAAGAAGGCGGAGGATAGTAACGGTGGTGAAATGCTCGGGGTGGCATGCAGCCGTTCCCCGTTCCTCTCATCACAACAACCCTCCAAAGTAGGCTAAACTATGTGTCAGGGCCTGGCCTGGGATTACCCAGTGAGCTTCAGGGAGCAGTGGGGATTTGAACCCAGGGCCTTCTGGTCCTGGGCCGAATCAAGCACTCTGACCACTGCACCGCACGGGCTTGCAATGGGACGCTGGAGCTGCGCTCCCCAGTTCTGAGCTGCGAGCAGCACTGGCACCCAGTGCTGAAAGCTGCAGCCTTCTCTCCTGTGTCACGGAGGCAGCCGAGAATGGATTGCAGCACATTAGCAGTACAGCTGAGAATGGATGAGAAGACAAGCGGTGCGTTTCAAAGCCCGCAGAACTATTATTTCTGGAAGAAGAGCAATCGGAAACATCTGGACTCAGAAGCAGACAAAAGGCAACACCATCCCCGATCATCTGTGCAGAAACAACGGCTTTTGATGAAGAAGTGGGGAAATATAACAGAAATGCAGCATCACGTGGCCTGCCTTTCCCAGGCGGGGGGATGCTGGGGGTCGCGATCCAACGCACCTGGAGGGCAGGGGGGTGAGGAAGGCTGGCGGAGCTGCTCCGGCAGGTCTGAGGGTCAGCCAGCCCTGCTCAGTGGGGCTGGGGGAGCCGGTCGACAGCCAGACTTAGCAGTACCCGAACGTGCTTCACAGTCCAAGCTGACAGCCGCCCTTCTCTCCGCCTTGCTGTTTAGAACGACGGGGCTGCTGTCATGAGGGCTGAAGGGCCGGCGTGGGATTCCGGCAAAGCTGTGTCCTGCGCCCCATCCCGAGAGCGGGGGAGTCACCACTTGGAGTATTTCCTGCAAGAAGCATCCCGGTAGAACTGAAAGAGGGTGTCGGCGGCTCGCTGGGCGGCGGCGATGCACTGCTGAAACTGCAGGGATGAGAGAGAGGGCGTCATGCTGGGAGGGAAGGTCCTTAAAGGTCTGAAGTCAGAGGTCAGTCTCCCCACCGCCCCCCCCGGCAACAAACACATACACTTTTCCAAGCAGAGCAGGACAACTGGCATCCAGTGTGGTCTTCCTTATGCTGAACTGTCCAGTGAGGTTGGTTCCGTGATGCGAGGAAGACCAGGATCTTCCTTGCCCTGGCTCTCGCCTCCTCCACAACTCCCGGGTGGGCCAAGCTCCCTTTGCCAAGGGAGAGCAACCGACAGTGCTCTGCCTGCCGCCGGCCCCCTTGACAGCCATGGGGGGGGGCACACAGCTGCACTGGATCCCCCTTTCCGAAGTTCCTCACCTGCAAACCCCACCCCTGGATCCGCTTTGCAGTGAGCTGCCCACGGTCCTGGCCTCCAGCAGATGCCAAGGCGCCCACTGCGTGCACCCAGGAAAGGGAGAAGGGCAAGGGGGCGAGAGAAGTGGAGGGAATCCGAGGGACTGGGATCAACAAGACTTTCCCTCAGAAGAGAGATGCAAGAAGGGGGAACGAAAACACCCACAGCCGTCTTCCGATCCGCCCACCAGATCCCTGAATCCGATTAAACCCCCGTGCTGCTGCTTCTGCGAAGCATGAAGAGGTGAAGAACAGGGGGAGTCCTCAACCCCCTAAAACACACACCAAAACGCAGAGCCAACTCTCCTGGGACCGGGGTCAGGCAACCCACCGGCCTGGCCCTGTCCGGCCCTCTTGGGACGCCTCATCCCAATTCCTGCCAGCACATGGCGGCGGCGGGACAGCAGCGCGATTTATGCACAGCGATTCGCTCGCCTCCGCCGGGCGCAGTGCACGGGGGAACCGGCCCTGCCTTCCAGCTCAGTACCACCAGGCATCCATCGTCCCGGGTGTGTGCGAATCAGGCTGGAGGGGAAAACGAGCACCCATCCTTGGCCTCTCCTGCTTGCTCGGCCGCCAAAGCACCTCTGCAACCTCCGCAGTGAGGCTTGGTGTATATAAGCACACCCACGGGCCAACGTTCCACATCGAAGCCCCCCAAGCTGCATGCCATCGCAAGCAGAAGCGTGTGCCCTGAACAGCCGGCCACCTGCAGGTCCGCATCAGCCCCCCTACATTTTCTATCCCTCCCCGCACCAGGCGCCTGCCTGCCTTCCAGGCATCGTGGCTGTTTCTGGAGGGATCGACCCTGGGTCGGGCGGAGGTAACACTTACAATGTTGCTTTAAGGGCAGCCTCTGCCCCTCCAAACCCAGCCAGCTCCCAAAGTCAGTTTAGGGCTAAGCAAGCCATTTCCTAGGCTTGGTTCTGGGGTGTTTTCCAAAAACGTCAGGCCCCTGCCGAAGCAGAGGACCCATCCGCCCGTCTTCCCGGGGGCCCCTCACCAGCAAATGGACCGCATGCCGATCCGTTTGCATGAGGATGCTTCAACGGGGGGGGTTTCTCCCCGCCATGGTGCACCAGGTGACTGCAGCAGTGGCAGCTGCAAGCCCGACGGTCAGTGGGGAGCCACAGAGCTGGTCCTGACCCAGACAGGCTTGGCCTGCATTGTCCAAGCTCGGGGCCTCCCCCCGCCCCGGCTTTTGTGGGCCAGGGACTATTCGCCCCCACCAGCCCCCAGAGAAGCAGACTTCAAGCTCTGCTGCAGGAGTCAGCTGAGCAAGCACGGACTTGGCCGGGCCGGAGCCGAGTGAGGGCGAGCGCCAGCGCCAGCGCTGCAGGGACCTGGCAGCGTTCGGCCCCCGTGACGCGAAGGGGGGAGCACCCACCCCCCACCCGCTCTGCCCGGCGTGTTTTCCGAGGCACGCGGCCTTAGCATGCAGCGGGCGTTTACAGCTCCCGCCAGGGCTGGAGGTAAATCATAATTATGTGCGATGTGCTCAACCACTGCCTGTTGCTCTCGAGACAAAACTTCCCTGCAGCGGAAGACCTGCCAGCGGCTGATGGATGCGGGCACCACACCGCTTGCCGCGGGCACCCACCCCCCGTGACGAAGCAGAGGCCTCTGGGGAGCAGAGGAAAGAGCCGGGATGGCTACCTGGGCAAGGCCAGCCTGGGGCCATCCGGAGGCCTGGGCACCCCTCAGCTGTTCGGGATCCCTTCCCGTCGCGTCCCAGAGGCGCAGGGCGGTTGCCAGCCCTTCTCTCAAAGACTGGGCGGGCAGGGCTTGCGCGGGGGCAGCAGCAGACCTGGACACAGCACAGGGCCACCCGCTGCACTAAGGTGCCACGTGCTGGGGTCAAGGGGGCTGCAAGCTCAGAAGGAAAGGTCAGCCTCTTCCCAAGGCTGCAGCAGCCCCCCCACCCCAGCCAAAAAAAAAGACACTCCATTTTTTCACAACGGCTCCCATTTTCAGGGATGGGTATGTGGGACAGGCTGAGGAAAGAGCCTGTGAGCTATTCTTGTTTTGCATTTTTCACACCATTGCAAAATAATTAAGTGAAGGGGAATGACTAATTTGGGATGATCTGGGGGAGGGTGTGGATTCACTGGCAATGTTTCAATTTTTAACATTACTAGACTAGATTTGCCTTCTGTGGAATTTAAATAAAACATCGCAATCATTCCTAAATGTGCATATAGAATTATAAATTAGCATATGATCCGTTAAGCATATTTGTGTCCTCTGGACCTGAGTCTCAGATCCTTCAAGTGCTCAGCAATGTGAGCGTTGCATCCGTGAGCAGGACTTACAGCAGTTAAAAAGGCGAAAGTTCCTGGTCTGCCTGCGAATCGCCTGCACGTGGGCGGGAGGGTGCCGCTGCAGCCACGTCCTCCCTGAGGGGCACCCATGGTCAGCCTCCGTGCGAACAACCCTGCTCCGATCCAACATCTCTCCTTTACAGACTTCCGGTGCAGCCCAGGGCGTGCTCGAGGGGCCGCGGCAACTCAGAAGCCGACCCACCAGGTTCACACAACCTGCAACCTGCCCCGTTCGTTGCTTGGTGCCCTCGAGTCGCCTCTGACTTAGGCAACCCTACGAGCAAAAGTCCGCAAGAATGACCTGCCCTGGACTACCCCTGCTTTGCTGTTCTGAATTCCAGGCTGTGGCTTCCTCGACGGAGCCCGTCCATCCCTCATTTGGCCTTCCTTTTCTTCACCTGCCTTCCCTAGCAAACCTGCCCTGAGCACAGGTAATTAGGGAGAGGGGGCAGTGCATGCAGGGCAGGAAAATGGAGGCCGCTGCGGCTTCTCCCTCCCCAGTCGCCGGAGCCCAGTGACTGTGTATGCATAGCCAATCCCACATCTGAGGGTACAGAGCTTTCTGATTGCTTTCCCTCCACATGTGCGACTTCCCGGAGCGATCTGAAACCATCTGCTGGCTGCTGAAGACCCTGGCGGGAATGGGGCCCCTTCTAGGGCCGTATTCCAAAAGGGACCCTGCTCCACAGCAGGGCAGCACCACCTTTTGCTTTCTCGAAGCTCTACTATCCTGCAAAAGGACCTCTCCCAGCCAGGGAAGATTCAACATGTGTGAGATTGGCCCTCTGCAACTCGGACTCCAGTTCCCAGCATCTGCAGCCTGTGTGGCTAGCGGCCACGTCGGCTGTCAAAGTTAAGAGTTGTGCTTCGACGCAACTGAGGGCGCTCAGCTGGGGAAGGCTGCGAACGGAGGGGGAAAACTGTTTTTATTTATTCCTGTTGTCATTGCCCCCCTTTTGCTCTCTCTTTCTCTGGCACTAAACTCATTAGAATTCGCCCCAAAAAGAAAAGCAATTTCCCCCCCTTCTCGCCTAATTAATGGTGCCTGGCTGCCCCCTCCATTCAATAGCGCATTAGTGTTCATAATTGTTCCTTCAGAGCAAGACGGGCTCAGCGTTCCAAGCCATTTGGCAGGGACACGGCGCTGGTAATGAGAAACGACTCCACAGCCCTTGTCCGGAATACTAAGAGGGTGTTCCTAAATGGATTTGGGCGTGGGGGGGGCTGATTCACACACACAGACGCCCCGTCACATGCGCCGCTTCTCTGCGGCAGATCCCCGTATTCTCCCTCCACCCCACGGATAAATCCCGTTTTCCCCGCCGTGGTGCGCAGAGGAGAGGCGATGGATGGGGTGGGACAGACGGTCTGGACGATTCAGACGGATACGCTCAATAAACGTGACTGGCGGAGGCCTCTGCGCGCCTCCCGCCGAAGCAGGTTGTCAAGAGCAATTTAAGGAGAAGGGACGCGTCCCCGTCGATTCAGACGATGGCGTTGCTGCGGTCGCCTGAGAGCGGGAGCTGCTTCCCGGCCCAGGGAAGGTCAAGCCCTCAGGGCACCGGCTCGTGCGCAAGAACCACCACAGGCGTGGAGCGTGTCCCCAGAGGGACACGGTGCAAGCGGAAACGGAGCCAAAGCGAGCCCCACGGCCTCGGCTGCTTCGACCCCACTTCTCTTCCCGATGGGCAGCTTTCCCGCAGAGCTGGGTCCAGCACCTGCAGCTGTTTTCTCTCTTGGGGAAACTGACACGAAGCAAAAACCCGCGGGCAGCCACACTGCAACATGGTACCGGGCAGGAGGGAAGCTTGGCTCAGGCACCACGTGGGAGCCCACTGCAGCCTTTCATCCAGGCCTGTTTCCACGGAAACCGAGCACCCCCATCTCAGGTGTGCCACGTACCCCGCCCCAAGGTGAGGCAAGACAAAAGCATCACATATAAATTTAGCGGATGCAAAAGGGGAATGAGCCCGGGGGGGGGAACACTCCTCCTTTCCCCCGTCCAGGTTATTTATCCTAAGCCCTCCCATAAATCATATTTCTAAAATCTTCTGGCACAGGTGGGCATGTTTAAGTCTCTGAGCCTGACACCAGCCACTCGCTTTCGACATAATCTGCAGGTTCCCTTCTTAATTTCTCTCCTGCAAGCAACCCTTGTGCATGGCAGGCAGGCAGGCAGGCACAGAGCAAGCCCCACTCCCCATGGGGAGTTATCAGTCAAAGCAGGTGCGTCGAGAAAACCGCTGCCCCGCTTTTCTGCCCTTTGACTTGACAAGCTTCTGCAGAAAGTGCCTTACAGATCTGACCTCCTTTAGTGTGCAATCCTATGCAAGTTTAGACAGAAACGAGACCTGCGGCTCCCAGAATGCCCCAGCCAAGTGGAAGCCATAAGCTTGTTTTTGTCTAAGCTTGCATAGAGTTGCGCCTTCAAGCGCCGGGAAAGAAAGAGGGACCCAGAATGCTAGCATCTGTCACTCACTGCCAGGGCTACACAGCATCTTTGGTCTGAATTTGGCCCTTGCTCTAAAAGAGATTTGGCCTCCCTGCTCCACGCCCCTAAAATGATGCTACCAGATCCCACAAAAGGTCCACATACAGACTTGCCACGGATTCTGGATTTGGACAGGCTTGACACCCCCAGCCCAGGCCAGCCCAGTCTCCTCACCTGCTCCACTGAACACGCCCCCTTTGTGCTGGACATCAACACGTTTTTCTCTGTGCTCTCAATGGCGAACGTCAGAACCGCGGAGGCTTCCTGAAACCACAAGCAAAGACACAGTCCAGTTCCGTACTCAAGATTCCCCATCCTGATGCCCTCCAGTTTGGATGTGGGACTCCCAGAAGCCCCTGCCAGCACAGCCAACAGTCAGGAATCCTGGGAGTTGAAGTCCAACCCAGCTGGTGCTCCACCTCATGCTTGCCCTTTCGTTGGGGCTTTCCAGAGGGTATGAAGAATGAAATGAAGTGATGAAAGATGGCAATTCGGGAGGGGCCCACAATATCCTTGATGGGGAGAACCCCCCCCCACACACACACACCCCCAAGCTCTGCCTGGAGTCCAGCAGGGATCTGTCACAAAGGCGCAAGATGTGTCCAAAGCCTCGGGGACCATCTGCTACCAAATGAACTTGCGCATCTGCACAAGTTCAAGAGGTGTTGAACCTCTTTCCAAATCAGGGGCCCAAGGCCATTGCGGAGAAGCTCCTGGGGCCCATATTTCAGAGGTGGGGGGTGCTAAAAGCAAAGGGGGTCAAAATGCCAGCATATTTTAACCTGGAGCTGTTATGGCCGGTAATAGGCCACAGGAAAGGCATTTAGCACTTCAATAGAGAGGGAGAAGCTGCACAAAGCCAAGATGATACCCAACTAGTGGAGTTTGGGGGAAACCAGGAAAGGGCATGTGGCCCTCTGGGGACCTCAGGGTGGCTAGATTGGGCCCCCAGAGACCTGAGGTTCTGCACCCAAGCTCAAATCCACTGTGATGGCCTTTCTCTAGCCATAAGAGGTGCGGCAGGGTTTTCTGTGATGCCAACGTGTCTCTAGATTGCCCTCCGCAAAATGTTTGGCCAGGCACCTACATGGCCACTGCCTGGGCACCTGGACAAGAGTATTCTCTTCTCTTGCTCCTGCTTTTTCTGCTCAATTTTCTGCTGGCTGCATCTGGCTGAAGAAACCGGGTTTTTTGTTCAAGTTTGCTGCTTCCCTGCTGCTGTTTTAATGTTCAGTGATGTAATGCAGTTTAGTTTTTCCTTCTAAACTGGTGATTTATTGTTGTTCTTCGTGATTCGGTTTTTATAACTGCTTTATATTTTGTAAACTACTTCGAGCATGAATCAGTTTACCATTAATGGGAAAGTGGGATATAAGTATTTCAAAAAGCTGAAAAGAGAGGCTCACAATTACCCATCTGGTTGAGCTCACAAGTAGAGCGAGAAAGGGCTATTTTTATTTAGAAACACCCTTTCAGTCAGCGAGAATGGATTCAGGGGAGTGCTCCGGATTAACCCATACAGCAGGAGTGGGCATAATCAGGATCATGGATCAGATCTGGGTGGGCATTCCCATTTCCCCTAGCCCTGACCCTTTCTCTCAGTCTCTACCTGTTGGATAGCTGTCCAAATTTTGTGCAATCCCTCCCCCCCTTAAAATGCCTCCACTTGGACTTAGCCACTAGCAAAAAGAATTCTTAAGCTAAAAGGGGCTAGCATTTTGTGTATTTTGCCTCTGCTTTTATGTTTTTGGTCCCATGGTCCCAGTCCCCATTGGGAAGTCGAAAAGAGGCTCCTCATGGAAGATACACACTGTAGAGAAAGGGTCCTCACCAGCTGGGGAGGCTGCAGGGACGCAGGAAAGGACTGGGCTGGTTTTTTCCCCCCATTATGCATGCAAATGACTTGCTTCAATGTTAAGAAAAACTTCCCCTGATGAACATATTCGCCACATGCCAGGAATTCTTGCATCTAATTGGCTTCACCTTTTGTCTTTTCCCCAGGCATTCTTGGTACGGCAAGTGGAAAGATTGTCCTTAAGAGGCAGCCGGGAGGCGCTTTGCATGATTCATGCTGGGGAGCTCAGCCCATTCGGTCCATCCCCTGCTTTTAACCTCCAAAGTGACAACGGGAACTGGCACAAGCTCAGAGAATTCCTGGGCTGGGGCAAGGCAGCGTCTGCTTCACCATGAGGGACGCGGCAGGCCAAGGAAACCATCCGGCTGAGTGGTGCGGAGACCTGCCTCGCTCACAGGGAAGGCTCTTGCGGGAATCGGGCCACCCAGCCCCCCTCCCTCTGAAGACAGGAGGGACAAGGAGCCAAGCTGCCGCTGACTGAGGGGAGTTCTGGGCAGAGCAGGCAGCCGGAGATGGATTGAATCTGGCGGGCGATAAACAAGCGAAGCCATTAGGACAGGCAGTGAGGAACAGGGCTGGTGGCAGGAGAGAAAGAGCTATTGACCCGCCAGGCCCCAACAAGCGATTCCCCGTCGGAGCGGATGAAAGGGCTGTTTCTGCAAAGGGCAGCCTGCAGACCCCGCACCCGCCGGGTGATTAGTGGCACAGGTGGGGATGGGGGGCAGGAGGACCCCCGTCCCCGCAAGGGGAATGGTGCTGACCCCCGAGGGCCATGGGCTACCTCCTTGCCCCGGCTGCAGGTAGACATGGGAAGCCTCCGGAGTCCCAGGGCAGGGATCCTGGAAGACCAGGCTGCCCCGGGGGTGGGGGGGGGCATCAGCCATGCTAGCTCAGATGGCTGGGAGGTGAAGCCACTGCACCTTCTGCGTCCCACTCCCCTCCCACCCACAGCTGAGCAGAATTAGGCCTGTGAAGGTAGCCAAGTCCAGACTCATCTCATCACGTCAAGTTTGGGAATATATTCCAAGAGGTTCTTTCAAAAATCACCACAAATGCACTCTCTCTTCCCTCCCCATTTATACTGCCCATCTTCCTCGTCCAGCTTACCGTGTCTCTCCGGTTTATCCTCACAACAACCCTGTGAGGTAGATTAGGCTGAGCATCTGCGACTGGCCCCAAGTCGGCCAGTGAGCTTCTTGGTCAAGCAGGGACTAGAACGCCGACCTCCCGATTCCCCAGCCAAGACTCTGATCAGCACGCGTACCTCCGACCTCTGGGCTCCTTGTTCGCAGGCTCAATGGGGCCATTCGCCCCCCCGCTCCCCAGACACCCACCTTCTCCTGCTTTGCCGTGGGGTCCAAGATGATGCTGCCCTCCGGATCCAAGGCACACGTCACTCCGCAGAACAGGGATGTCATGGGCAGCCCTGCGTCCAGCAGGCCCATGCAGGCGGCATTCAAGCAGCTCGACAGCAGCTGTGGCAGGGAGGGGAGTTAAGGAAAACGGGGGACGCCAGTGGAGGCCCCGCCGCGACCCTCTCCCTGCACACCTCCAGTGGGGCAGCCGGTTCTCCCGGGAGCAGACAAGGCGCCTGAGACACAGAAGACCCACCGTCTTGCAGAGAAATCCTACCCTTCTGTGGCACTGACACAACTCTGCTTGTGGCAAGTCCCTCTGTGAGCAGGGCGCATTCCCGGCGGGCGGCTGCTCAGAGCTAGTGAGAGAGAAACCTCGCTGACCTCGGCAGCCTTACGAAGGAGCCGAGGGGAAGCGCCCGCTCCAGGAGACCGGGAAGGGGAATTACTGTATCCCGGGAAAGAGTCTCCCTCGTCCTGCTTTTCGGCTGTGTGTTGCGTGGGACTCAGATGAGGCACGAGGTGAAGAGTGGTGCCACTGCTTGGGGAACATGGGAAAGCTGCAAGGAAGTTGCTAAATCCGACTGGGCAGCTAATCAATAGCAGCAGCATCTCGTGTGTGATCAGCCTGCCGCAAAAGGCTCTCCGCTTTTATCTCCAATCGATTCTAGGAAGCGGAATCTGCAGCACAGCGGTGACGAGCCAGACCGGGCCGCTCTGGGGCAAATCCAGCCCTGGAGGAGGCTCCAATCCCCACGTCCTCCTCTCGATCCAAAGGCCGATGCTCAGCCTGGTCCATGGGGGATCTCCTGCAGGGCTGTCTCCTCTCCGGGCAGGGAAGCAGGCACCGCTGGATGTGTTCCAGAAGGTCTGAAGCGTGGGGAACCTTCAAAGCCTCCCTCGCCGCTGGCGTCCTGCATTTCCAGGTTAATCAGCTGGCGTAAGCAAGATGAAGTGCAGCAGACGGAAATGTGGAGTGGCAGCCCCGGTCAGCCTGTGCTGGCGATCAGAGATGGCGAGCCTGGGGAGAGGAGGCCGTGGGAGGGGGTATCTTGGCGGCTGGGAAAGGGGGAAGGGTGGGCTGCCGGGGAGGGGGACATTCTGGCGCACGAGCCTCGTCGGGACAGGTCCCAGAACCACGCTCCCAAGGCGTGTGCAGAATGGCAGCGAGTGCTGGCGACCTATACAGACAAAGCAATTCGAACAGTGTTTTCTTGCAGGAGCTTTTGAAAAGTGAATGGATTGCAATTCCCATTCAAGAATTGGCTGCTCTTGCAGCTACATCTCTGGAAAAGGGACAGGGAAGAGCTACCCCGCTTCAGCCACAGAAGCCGACCCCCCCCCATGAGCAGCCACTCCGGGGGCCGGCACCCGCCCTGCACCTTGGCACCCCAGGACATCCAGGGGTGCCCTGCTGGACTGCCCCCCAAGGTCTACGTGGCCTGACATTCTGCTCCAGGGAGCAGCCGGACTGCAGAGGTGAGAACGGGGTGACTCTCCCCAGCACCTGGTGCGTAGAAACCAAGTTGCCTTGCAGCACACAAACTTGATCCCACTGCAATGGTGAAGAACCAGCCAGCAAATATTCCTAGGACCCTGTACAGATCCTGACTGGGGGGCAGGGGCACCTGAAGCCTCAAATGCTGCATTTTTGCAGGAAGAGGCGCAGTCCCCACACTGGGAAGGAGCGAGCAGGGATTTGCTCTGCAGCTCAGGAAGCTCGCTGCACGCTCCGCGCCGACAGGACTCAACGCTAACCCTCATGCAACAGCCTCCATAACAGGACACGAAAGGCGTAATTCTACATATAGGCAGGAAAAGTCCTACAAATCATTAACTAACTATACATGCACTGGCCAGCACCCTGAATATATAGGTGGATCAACACGCCAGCACTTCCCTGAGTACACCTTGCCGATGCCCATAAAATCACAATCACCTACTGCACGTTTTTCCAGGCTTGAGTACAAGCTGGGCAGTGCACCGTTTTATGCATTCAAGGATTGTGCCCCGAATGTCCAAAAAGGTCAATGCACCAGTGGTTTCCAGGAACTTGGAAGAAAAAGCCTCGGAGGTGCCCTATAAAACTTCTACTTGTCGGAGGGCTGCGTGCAAGACTTCTCCATGCATAATTGAAATCCTGTCTCCGCCACAGGTTCCCTGGGTAAGCCACTACTCCTTCCTTACAAGGGCTTTTTCTGGTTTTTCTGGCATTATTATGCTTTTTAAACCGCAGGGGAATAGCTGACCAGGAATCTGGATGAACAAGCTGAGTTAGAAGCTTTGTGCTTCCCCAGTCTGGCTGCAGCAGCCATGAATTTAGCCAGAAACCTCAGTACTGGCTGAGCGAACGGGAATGCTGCTCTCCATTCCAGGCTGAATTCATTCTCTGAACCACTGTATATTCAGAGTTAAGAGAACATCACGGCATCCAGAGTTAATCTCTGCCACACCAGTGCTGGCAATTTGTCCCCAATTAAACTGCGGCCCATCAGGGCAAACATGCAAATGCAATCACTACCCTTTGCGCCTAATTGTGCTGGGACACCCTCCATTTGGGGTTCTTCAGTTTTATCCTAGATACCTCTGAAAAATCTTGAGTGACTCGATTCTGCTGGGCAAGCTGTTGATCAGCCTTGCTTCCCTGCAGGGCTGGGATGGCTTCCCGGTTCCCACTGCCAGGTTCAGTTTGAGAATCCTGCCCCCACCTCACCAAGCCCCTAGATCACCGCCTCTCTGCCTCACACCTATTTCAACAGAGCTTTCCAGAAACAGAATGTGCCTTATGTAACACAGTAGGAAAGTGGCATCACATGGATGCCACGAGATGCAGCAAAAAATAAATTCAAAGGTAAACAAAAAGGAGCTGGGTTTAAAAAGAAAAAGAAATTATCTTCTGTGCCAAAAAAGGGAAACGGGAACATGGGAAATGCTGACTAAAGGCTAGGATGCAGGGTGCAAGGGTGCGAGAGAGAATGAGGCGGCTGCCACTTTTGATCCGGGTCCCTTGTGAAGGAGGTCAGGATATCAACCAATATCAAAGCGAGCGCCATGTCCGTTCCACAAACCCACCTTCCTGCCCCCCAGAGGAATGACTGCAATTGAGCAGAATATGTCCCCAGGTTTTTCTGCAAAGCACTGGGCAGAAACAACTGCTCCCCAGCCTCTTCTGAGTTTTATAAGGCTCAAGTGGCCCAAACCCAGGCACAGCAGCCGCGTCCGGGGCTGGCACGATCCAACGGGCTCACGGCTCAGCCCTGCCCCTCCTCATCCCATCTGGCCCAAGCCACACGCTACCTGATTGTCCTTTCGGTCCACGTTCTGCCACCTCTTATTGCCCGAGGCAGAGGAACCCAGCTGACGGAAGCCGCGTTTCCCTGCGTCTATTTTGGTTAACAGCATCTGAGGCGAAAAGTCTGCATGCCATGTCTTTTTGAAAACCGGGCTGGGAGGGAAACTGCTTTTAATGGCACAGCAGGAAGAGCAATGGCTATTTTTTTCTCTTGCCACCCTGTCCCCCAAGGCAGCCACCAAGCGCGCCCAGCTCTTCAGGCAAATCTCAGCACCAGAGGGGTAGCATCTGCCTCCCGCTTGCTCTTTTCCTCCTGCCTGGAATGGATTGATGGATACGAGCGGGGACAGGAGACGGGAGAAAGCACGAACGGAGCCGCAGAACCTGTTGCGGCTTGTCATGGGTTGTTCAAGGCACCTGCAGCAAAATTCACGGCCGCCTCGTCGAGTCGCCAGGCCCCGGCAGTCCCACAGCCATCGCTGTACTAATGCATTACACGGGCCTTGCATTATGCCAGCCGGGGTTAAATAGCCCTGGCTGAACCCATGGTCTGTTCTGGGTTGCATAACCTGTACTGGCTGGGTTCTCACAACACAACCACCCCCATGCACGGGGGCCACTGCAGTCCCACTTCGCTGTGAGGCATGCAAGTGAGAAAACAGCTCTTCTTCCTCTTTCTTGGGGCCCAGGTACCTGAAGGACCATCTATACCTGTATCCACCTACCAGCTTCCTAAGATCAGCCCAGGAGGCCCTTCTGTGGGAGCCACCCCTGGGAAGGTGAAAGGGCCTTTTCTGTTGCTGCTGCTCCCCAGCTCTGGAACTCCCTCCCTAGAGACATTCGCCTGGCACCGTCTTAGTTTACTTCTTGGCACCAGGCAAAGACATGCCTTTAAAAAAAAGATACTTAGCCCTTATGAATATGAATATATATATATATATAACTGTTGCTGAATTGACGTTTTATTCTTTTAACTGTTTTGATAGGTTTTAATATGCTGTTTCTTGTAAGCCGCCTAGGAAGGCCTTTGACAGTTACACCCAGCATATAAATATGTGAATGGATGAATAAATAATAAATGACCGCCCCCAATTATTCACAAAGAGACTTCTGAAGAAGAGTGATGCCGGCACCCCAGGAAGAGGATAGCTCTTTTCTCATGCCAATTTTTCTCTTTGCTGCTCAACTTCAACAGGCTGGGAGAAAGAGAGGGATTGATCCAGCACCCCCGACTCGAAGCTGGATGCCTGCAGAACCAGTTGCTGCCTGGAGTGTTCGTGGCCACGTATCTGACACGCAGACAGTTGCTAGCCAACAAGGCTGTGTCTAAAGACCCTCTCAAAAAGGGATCCTGGGCCGCTGAATTGCTCCGCTGACTCTGTGCTGCCAAGAAATTCGCTCCTTAAGGGCAGGTCTGCGTGGTGGAAAACAGCCACTTCTGCGGCGCTGCTGCCACCTGCCGGCCTCAATCAGGCACCTGCATGAAGCTTTTTGTCTTCCTCACCAGGGGAAAGATTTAGAAGTGAGATGTAGGATCAGGAGAAAATGAGATTCCCTCAATGGAGGAAAGCAGAGCTCTTCCAAGGAACTGGAGCACCTTCAGGGAATGCCAGTGTGGCATAGCAGGGAGAGCGCTGGACTGGGTTCTGGAGAACAAAACTCTCCAGATGTTGGGCCAGTCCCTGACTCTCAGCTTGTCCTACCTTGCAGGGGTGTTGTTACAAGGATAAAATGGAAAGGCAGATCGTGTGAACTGTGTTCCTTGCAAGAGAAAAAAAGCGGGATAGGAACTTAATACCTAAACCAACTGTTCTTTGGGCCTTTCCACGCAAGGGACACTCCCCTCTCCACCAAGCGCGGTTTCCAGAGAAAGGATACAGAGCCGGCATCTGTAACTACCTGAAGCACCACAGTAACAGAAGTGCGAGGATGAAGCGTGCCCAAGATCACGGCCTCACATGTCTTCTTGATCATTTGTTCTCGGCTTCTTTCAAAGACACCTGGGCGTGAGAAAGCAAGAGGGGTGGGGAGGATCCCCACAGAGCAACAGCGCAAGCCAATCATCCTCTAAAACAGGGGTGGGCAACTGGTGAGCCCCCGGGTGTTTTGGCCAACAGCTCCCACAGTTCCACACAGACAGCTCTGCTGCTGCAGCTGACGAAGGCTACAGGCCAACCTAACTCTTTTCTTGGTCACCATGTTGACCCAAAGGACAGGTAATACATGAAGCTTTCCAGTAAGAAACACCTAAGTTGGTGCAGAACTAGGCAAGCTTCCAGATTTCACAGAATTCTTAGACTTGACCAAGATTTCCATGAGAGCCGAAAGCTAGCCCAATAAATATAGTGGCACTCCAGAAACCATTTTCCCAAGAACAGAAAGTGTAAAGGTACACACAGTCCCAAACACATTTTCTTCATGCATTCCTATTAATTCCATCAGCCGCATTTTCTTTTCTTAAAAAAGCCTTTTTGCTGCTGCCACAGAAAGGGAAAGAAATTCTTTTGTTTCTTAATTTAATTATTCACAGCAAAGCCTTTCCCTGCAGGGTTTCGCAGGCATTGAAAGTCTCAGCAGGCAGGAAAAAGAAGGGGGAATTATCATTTTTATTTTTTTGATGCCAGCTATTTTCATTTTGGAGCTTCCTGTGGAGGGAACAAGATATCCAGATGGCTTCACTGCAGGATTCCAGATGGCCCACTTGGTTGTGGAGATAACTGCTCCGCTCACCTTTTGATGAGGCATGTTTCGAGGGTGGGAGGGGAACGGAGTATGCAGGCTGAATTTAAATCAGAATAAGAGGGACTGAACATGATGCAAGACCTCTGGTTACTTTTCTGGAAACCACTCCAGCTTTCCCCTAGCTCCTCTCTGCAGCCCTCCTAGTTCTAGCTCGATTATAAGGAGATGGGATGTCTAGGCACAACTTCACATGTGGAATGAGACCTAAATGCTGGTTAGTTTTACTATGGTTGCTGAAATCAAGCTTGCTTCATAAGCTACAGTAACAACTGCACTGACATGGCTGCACACCTGTTGAGGGCCCATACCTTGGAGCAGCGGACTGCCAAGACCCCTGGAGTTGCTCCTTCACCGTGCTGCTTACCTGCTTCTTGCTCTGGCCCTTACCTACCTGCCTGCCCACCCACCTGCTGGCTCTTCACCTGCCTGGCAAGCGAGGGGGAGCCAGGACGAGAAAGGCAAGGAGAAAGAAGAGCAGCTGGTGAGAGCGGTGGCAAGAAGGCAGATGCAGCAGTGGAGGACGCCCAAGCTTCCTCCAGAACCAGGAGCTGGCCCCATTGGCACATAACGATAAACCAAGAATCCTGGTTTAATCAAGCACGGGGCAAACAAGCTCTGTGCTCGTGCACTCAGTCCATTTGTGGAACCAGTCCAACCAGGAATGACAAACCTGTGGGCAGTGTTCATTATGGATTACGATTAAATACTCCCAAATAAGCCAAGATGAATAAGCTAACCAATGTTGGTTTAAAGGTGGCTTATGAATCCTTAGCAACAGTGGTTAAGGTAAGTGGCAGCTTGCCTGGTCTGGATGTCAAGGCAAGCTGCTTTTAATCAAAAATGGCACCAAAAAGCTTTCCTTATACATAAGTGTGCAGAGGAAATGAACCCAGGAGAAAGCTAGGGTTGTTTTAGAAATACTCAGCTGAGGTTCAGCATTATTTATGAACCAGCCCATCAAGTCTTTGGCTCAGCCAACCACCAATTGCAGGAGAACACAAGCCACGGTTCTGAAATAGATCTAAGGGTAGATTGAATAGGGATTATTTAAGGTGCGTGTTCCACCCAGGGGGCAGTGGAGCAAAAGGGCAATGAAAGCACATGCAAGGATAACAGACGGTCCAAATGTTCCTCTTTTCCCCAGAGCTGGGAAAGATCTCTGCTGGAGACCTCAGGGAGCCTGTTGCAATCCTACTGACCAAAAGAAATGCAGCCTCTTGTGCCTAGCACCAGGAGACGCTCTTGGTGGCTTTCCCTACCTGCTGCCTTTCAGATGCGTCGCACGACCCCCCGAATTCCCAGCCGGCACGGCCACTGGTCAGGATCCGCTGTCACACGGCGCTCTCACGCACACAGCGCTGCTTCGTGGGCCCAGCAAACACGCAGCGGGAGCAGAAGGGCATTGGCAGCATAATGCACACCCTCGTGCTGCATTCACACGTGCTATAAAGGTGCCCGGTGGCTTGCAATGCATAGTTGGAGAATAAACTTCCTTTTGGGTGAGGCTGGAGCAAAAGAACCAACCGAGGATCCCCGCTTTTGCCTCTTTAACTGCACTCCCACTCCGAAAGAAAATAACGCTCAGGATTTGTAAACGCAAATGTAAGAGACTGTACAAATTCATCAGAAAGAACACAGCCAAGGGAGCCTCTGCCCCACCAGGGCTGCTATGCAGGAGGTACCTACCTGGCAAGCCCACTTTGGGCCTCAGCAGCACTTCCAGCGTAGCTTTATCATAGATCTCTTTGCTGACCTTGACTTCCGTTGGGCCATAAACACCAGCAAGCACCGAGGTGTCCCCTGAAAACAATCCGGAACAAGGGAGGGGATAGCTGTGAGTATTTTGGCTTGCTTACAGCAACCTCCGCACACAATATCCCCATCCTTCGGAGGAAGGGTACAAAGGAGGTGCGCCAGATTCCTGCTAATCTGGAAAATGGCACAGAATTTCAGCATATTTGCCTAAAAAGCAGCAGGCGAAGTTGACCCCCCTCCCCCCGCCCAAAACTTCATGGAATTGAGGAAAACTCTCCTAAATCCAGGGTAACAAAAAATGACAGGAGCAACCTCCTCTGTGTGGTATTTCAATGGAATTAAATAGGAATTCTGTGACTCAGCTGAGGGAGGGCTTTCGCCAGCCATGGACTTGCTCCTACTCTTTCCAGCCACCTATGGCAGAATCACCAATGGAACACAAGGGCGAAAAGTATGCCTCTCGGTGTACACAAATGCCCTCCCCACCACAATGGAACAAGCTACACCTGTTTCTGGGATTTTGTGTGGGGGGGCGAGTCCCCAAGACAAGGTTCATGACTTCCAGACCAGTTCACCCACTCTGAAGCTAAGCCCATAAGAGCCCAACCCTCTCAGAGAAGTCAACCGAGGGGAAAGATCTACAAGGAGGGCTAAGCATCAAGCTATGGGGAGAAAAACCAGGAACACACAGGGTGTTCCGCAATGTATGGGAGGAACTCCTCACTGGGCTGAACAGATGCATTTTATTTATTTTATTTATTTATTAAAACATTTCTATGCCGCCCCTTGCCGTAGCCTCGGGGCGGCTCACAACATAATAAAATACACAATAAGTTAAAACAATAACAATTAAAATATATGCATTGGAATAAAATAAGCCGCCCTGGCCAAATAAAATTCAATGATATTAACATTTAAAATGCTGCTTAAATAAAAAGGTTTTCGCCTGGCGCCGAAAAACAAATAACGATGGCGCCAGGCGGACCCCTCTGGGGAGTGCATTCCATAACTTAGGCGCCACCGCTGAGAAAGCCCTCCTCCGAGTAACCACCCTCCTAATTTCCTTCACTGAGGGCTCCCGGAGGAGGGCCTCTCCCGCTGATCTCAGGGGGCGACTGGGCATATATGGACGTAAGCGCTCCTTCAGGTAACCAGGACCCAAGCCGTTTAGGGCTTTATAGGTCATCACCAGCATTTCCAGGGTTCCTAAGCTGGGGGTTAATGCAGCTAGATTCAGACAAAGCACAAAGCACAAAACTGTATTCCAACAACAACAACTCATGGTACAACGACAACCTACCCTCAAGCCCCAAGTGTGAATTACGGCGTTTTCTGATCCCAGTCTCTAACTTGCAGTGCAATCCTATTAATGCTTACTGGAGGTCAGCAGGAATTACCCCCCACCCCCGTGCACCTTGCCCCTCCCCAAGACACGCAGCCATTCAAGCCATGAAGCGCTACATTCCCGGAGAGCTCGGCCGCGGGTCAGATTAAAAGAGAACTGGGGGGGGGGGGGGTACAATATCCGTCCCTGTGGGTGTTATTGCACCGCTGACACTTCGACTACGGGTCAAGGCTCGGGGGGAAGCAAGCGGCGCATCCCAAACGGAGCTCCAGTCCACAGGGCGGCGGAGCGAGAGGGCTGGGTGCTGCTTTGGGAGCTTGTTCCCGCGCAGGGGGGCGCGGGCAGGGACCTCGCCCCGGGGAGGGAAGGAGAGGCGGAGAAGAGGCCTACCTTGCATCCAGGACGCGGAGCCATCCGGACGGGACAGCGGCCCCTGCTCGCACACGATCCGGCGCAGGGCGGGCAGATCCCCCGAATCGAACCGCTTCTGCTCGCGCTCCATGGCGCGCCCACCCACGTGCCTCCTCCGGGACGCTTCCGGATCCGGGCTTTACGCGTCCCTGTGACGCAGCGGTCAAGCTCCGCCTCCTCTTAAAGCGATACCAGCTTCCCACCGCCCCGCCCCATCCCCGCGCACTCAGTCGTCCGCCCACCCGCCCTCCCGTTCTCCTTTTAATTTCCCCGCCTTCTCAAGTCCCAGTCCACGCTGGCTGGGAATGATGGGTCTTGCAGTGCAACTCGTCCGGAGGGCGCCTGGCTGGGGGAGCCTGCCGCAGATGCTCCTCTCGGCCACAGTCTTTGGCTGCCAGATGCAACCAGCTGCGTGGTCGGTTTGCGGGGGCGAAATGGTCCCCCCGCTTCCGGACTGCGCCTCCTCCTGAGGGGCGGCGAGCCCGCTCTGCCCGCGGCCGAGCCTTTACGGAGCCGTCCGTGGTGCTGAACCGCATCGGGGGCAGAGCAGGTGCGGCACCGCGGAGCGCGCCTGCAGAGCCGAGCCTCGACGCCCCCTCGGTCGCATCCCCTGGCGCAGCGCCGCGTCGAGCCCACCCGGCGAAAGCCTCGCTCTGGCCACGCTTGCCTTTCGTCCTTTCAACGCACAGGGGCGCCTCTTTCGCGGATGGCTTGAGAGCGCACGTGGGCGGGCGGGTGTGCAGCTAGGCCCGGGGCCGTGCAGGACCTCGCGTGCCACCTGTGAGCAGCTTTGCCCTCCGTGGAAAACTTCCGAGGAGGAAAAATGATGAAACAAATGCCCGGCCCCACAGCCAGTGAAATAAGAGGAAGGGGGGAACTGGGGGTTCCTAGGGGGAAAGGGGGTTGGCGGTCTTACTTAATTAAGGCACATGCATTAAAACAGGAGAGCATTCAAGCCATGGCTGGTCAAGAAGGAAGGTTCTCTGGAACAAAGACACTCTCAACAGGTGCCAAAAACACCCCGATGACAGAGCATGCCCGGCTCAAGGCAGAGAGCGGGTTCCACAGAGGAGGAGCTGCCACACCGAAGGCTTTGCACTTGGTGGCCTCCAGTCGAGCCAGAGGTGTGTGTGGAACGCACTGGAGCACCTTCAGAAGTGCCCTGGCGCATAACGCATTGCAAACATCGGGGTGGGGGGCGCAGGCACATGCACCTCACCTTGCAAGGTGGAGGGTACCTGGAATATTCTATCCCACACTGATTGGCTTGGCGGAGAGGTAGGAAATCTCTCTCTCTCTCTCCCTCTCTCTCTCGATAAATTGGAGCTGGAAGGGACAAAGCAGCAGGCACAGCAAGAACAGAGCAACAGTGGGCAGAGTTCAGCTGCAAAGGCTGAACTGGGGAAGCGCTGGGTGCTCATCCCTCCCAGCTGCCCTGCCCCTTCCAAAGCACAAACTGGGTGGGGAGCAGAGGCAGTGGGAGGGGTGTCCCGTGGCTACGCCACCCCTCTGATTTATTGGTGCGTCCTGTGCTGCTCCCGTCTCCGGCTGCCGTTCTGGGCTCTCGTGCATCAAGAAATGGGGCTGGCAAGGCTGTCGTGTCAAGTGGGGCTGCAGATCCTGCAAAGGCGGGTGCTGCTCAGCTGCCCCCCACGTCCAGGATGGGAGGCAGCTCGGGGTCTTCGAACTGGAGTAAGTCACCCTGGGCCAGAAAGCCGTTGCTCATGTGCACACCCTGGAAGATGGAGAGAATGACCTGGCGGGGGGGAGGGGGACCCATGGGTAGGTGGGGTGGGAGGCCCAGGGTCAGAGGGAGGACTTGGTTTCTCTCTGTGGGACCACCCCATCCCAGTTGGAGGGGCAGCCATGTTGAAAGGTATCTCTAAAAGGGCAGCAGGGAGGGGTCCCTACTCCCCCTGGGATTTCTGAAGCAAGACTTAGAGCTGAGGGCCTGCTCCTCTATATTTTCAGAGAGGCAGATGGAAAAATAACATGATGGGGAAAGGGAAAAAGAGATTTTTGCTCAGACTCAGTTTTGCAGGAGAGGAGAAGAGGGGGTCCCTCCCCACCATATGAAAAACTCCAGGGTGGCACAGCACTTAGATGAAGGCTGCGCTCAGTTATGCAGTTTTTGTGTGACTGGATCACATGCAACCTTCCACCCCAGCCTACTTCACAGGGCTGTTGTTATGAGGATAAAATGGAAGGACGAGAACCTTGCAAGCCGCCTTGGCTTCCATGCGAGGGGAAGACAGGTGGGGTATAAATGCAATGCTGCAACCACAACTGTGCTCACATAATTTGTTAAAATTTAAAATATATTTATCCAGCACCAAAAAGGAGGCTCCCTTGAGTGACTTAGCAACAGTTAATGGAGGCCATCAAGGAGGCTGAGAATAAGTTGAAGCCCAAGCCTCAGCTCCTCTTCTCTGACATCTACTCTGAGATGCCCAGGCACATCCAGAAGCAGCGGGAATCCCTGGAACGTCACCTCAAGCAATACGGCGAACACTACCCCCTGGACCACTACGAGAAATGACCTGCTGCCCCGGAGTAGGTCCTCGCCTCCCCTCTCTCTGACCGACCACGGCCTGTAGCAAAAACTCTGGCCTTGGCTCATTTGTGCAGAACACGTGATTTCCTCACTTTTGCCATCGCTGCCCTGTCACTATGGTGATAATATGAAAAAGAAAGATCACTGTTAAAAGGTGCCCACTGGGGCAGCTGGCACCAGGGCCTTCAAAGGGAAATTGGTGTTGCGTGGGAGGCTGTGGAGAATAAATTCAATCATTCCTTGCTCATTATCTCTTGAAAGGACTTCAGAAATGATCCCCTTTAGGCTACATCAACTGGAAACTCAGTCAAAACCATGGCAGGCATGTCATCAGCAGAGCTGACTGGAGCCGGGGGTCAGACTAGATGATCCGGGAGATCCCCTTTTGACTTGCTCTGTTTCTTTGTTTCTAGTGAATTGGGGATGGTTTTCCAGGGGTTTTCCTTGGGATCTGGATGCTTTTAGGAACTGGGAAAATGCTGGTATGGCCAATCTATGCACCCTGCACTAATTTAATTCAGTGCCAGTTTCATCTTAAATGTTAACACTGGAAATCACTTGTTGTTCTGCCACGCGATAGTATAGGTACCACTGACTTAATGTTAAAGAGTAAAGTTCTCATTTCCAGGAATGGTTGCTCTGTGCCTTAAAAGATGCAAGCGTTAACCTCGGGAACAGTATTAAGTAATTGCAAAGTAACTGTAGACATAAATAGCACAATTCCATACATGCAACACCAAAGACATTTTCTTTTATCTTGACATCATCCCAGTGCGTGGGGAAAAGAGCTTCCCGCGCTATATCCCCAAAAGAGCTAAACCCTCTTCAAACATCCATACAAGATGCAGCCTAGAAGGAAGTAACAGCCAGTAATTTAGGAGAGCACCTATTTTTTACCATTGATGGTGTGCTGTACACTTTTCTTAAGGTGTACTTAAGCTCTTTGAGGTCAGGAAGGCTGTGATTGTACACTTGAGTCCTGTGTTTACCCTGCGGTGGCTGCATTGACCTGAGAAGAACTTGTCATGGTGAAAGCATGTGCAGAGAACATATACACAATCCTAGGCATGTTTAGACTACCAAAAAGTGGGGGGAACTCCTCAGCCAGCCAAGCTGGGGGTAAGCAGGCATAGGATGTGCCCATAAAGAACCTGGATCATCCAAACCTTGATGGCATTGATTAAAAATAAAATAATCAGCAGAACAAGAATCCTACTAAAGCAGGGCCAATTTAGTCAAGCATTTCACACAGTGGCTGATGATGGGTGACCTGTTGGCAGGACATCAGTGCACAATACCAACACCACTCATGTTCCCCAGCAATTGGCATGCTTGGACATGCTGCCCCTGGTACTGGACAAGTAGCCCTTGATCAGGACCAGTAGCCATTGATTGCCTTCTCCAAGGATTTGTCCCGAGCCACTTCCAAGCAGTCCAAGTTGGTTGCCTTCACTCCATCTTGTGAAAGTGAATTCCTTATTTTCCTTTTATTTAGTCTGAATCTTGCAGCAGAGGCTGCAAGAAGCTGGTGAAAGGGCTCAGGGAGACATGGGAAGCGATGAGAGGGCTCAGGGCAAAGCTGAACAAAACTGAGGGGCCCTAACGGAGAAATCGGAAAAAGCCAAGGCGGCAAATTCAGGGAGGCTCCGAGAGAAGCTAGAAAAAAAATGAGGGGGCTCAGAAAAAGATTGGAAAAGAAATTCACGGGGGCTCAGACAGAAACTGAAAAATATTCAGGGGCCTGTGAGAGAAGCGGAAGAAAATTGGGGAGGTTTAGAGGGAAGTGAAAGAGACATTTAAAAAATGTTCAGGGGGCACAGAGAGAGACGGAAGAAAACTGAGGGGGTTTGTTTTTCGGCGCCAGGCGAAGACCTTTTTATTTAAGCGTCATTTTAATTGTCAACAGTATTTGCTTATTTTATCTGGCCAGGGCGACTCCTTTTATAGTGTTATTTATTTTATATTGTTATTTTTATATTGTTACTATTGTATTTTTCTTCATGTTGTGAGCCGCTACGAGGCTTCGGCGAATGGGGCGGCATATAAATGTTTTAATAAAAAAATAAATAAGGTGAAAAAAATCGGGGGGCTCGGAGAGAAATTGCAAGGCATCCAGGGGGCTCAGCAAGGCGTCGAAGGAAACCTGAGGCGGCTCAGGGTGCGACGGAGCAGGACTGCGCGGGCGCCAGCAAAACCTCAGGGGGCTCAGGGGGAGGCCGGCGGGGCTCAGGCGCGCAGCCGCCCCACTCGCCCCCCGCCAGGCCGCGGGGGGGGGCGCAGAGCGGGGGGCACGCGCGCCCGCGCCCGCGCAGGGGGCGTGGCCTCGCTGCCCGCCTCCAGTGCCCAAAATGGCGGCGGCGGCGGCGTCAGCTCGCGCCGGGCTGCGCTCCCTGCGGAGGCTGGTGCTGGGCCGCACCCCGTTGCCCGGACGGATCGCGGCGCGGGGGCTCCGCACGGCAGTGAGTCCGCCCGGCCGGGGGGGCGGCAGGCTCTCGCGGCCGCGCGGGGGGGGGGGGGGGGGGGGGGGGGGGGGTCCCCGGGGGGGGGGGCTCCGGTCGGGGGGGCGCTGCGAGACCCCCAGTCCCGAGCGGAGCGGGGTTCGCGCGGCGCGTTGCCGCAGGAACGGAAGCGCAGACGGGCCCCACCTCCTCCCCCCCGGATTTCTGCAGAGACATCGTGTGCCCCCTCCCCAAATACTCTCGGGGGGATGCGCGGAAAAGGCGTGCGGGGCAGAGGGGCTTGGCGGGGCTCAGATTTGCCCCTTGGTCACGCCGCTGCCCTGCTCGTTTCCCTTGGGTGCGGAGCCCAAGGTGGCTCGCACTGCGCGACTCCGGGTCCTTTCATCTCACAGCGGCCCTGTGGGGTAGGCCAGGCGGAGAAGTCGTGCTTGGCTCAAAATCACCCGGGGAGCTTCGCAAGCAAGTGGGGGGATTTGAACCCAGATCTGCCAAACCCCAGTCTGGCACTGTCGGCACACTGGCACAGACTGGTTTTGCAGGAAAAGTTGCCTCCTTCCCCACGTGTGTGGCAGGTTACATGGGGGTGGACAGAGTGGGACTAAAGGGAGTTTTGGGGCCCAGAGCACGGTTGTCTTCTTTCAGTGCGATTTGATATGTTTGGGGACGTGGGCAGCGGCACAAGCTGCCTGTCTGGGATATGGCTGGACAGCTCTTCAGGGTACGGGGCTAACTTGTGAAGAGTTAATGAAAAGCCAGTCAGGAGTAGTGCCTCGGCATACCTGGGTTCTGTTCATTCATTATGCTTTTGCCTCACGCTGGCACCACGCGCACCAAACATTGCCCCCTTCCGTCTTCGCAGGCTTTCTGGGGGTATATTGGGCCAGCCCCTGGCTGAGTTCCGACATGATTATTCACAGTCAAGCACTGAGCATAGGCTAACTTTAGGTTGCTACCCACTAAGAACCTGTGAAGAGAGCCCATGGTTTGCCGCTGGATTGTGAACCGTGGGTTGTTCGCCATGGTTTTTTACCTCACCTTGCTTCAAACCAGATAGTAAACTGCATTTCACAACAACCGTTGGACTGGCGCTCCGGAGACCCGGGTTCCAGTTCTCTCTGGCCGAGAAGCTCACTTTGGGCCAGTCACTGATTCTCAATTTAAATAACTTCACAGGGTGGTTGCGAGGATCAAATGGAGAGGAGGTTTGCTTTGGGCTCCTTGCAAAAGGAAAAAGGCAGTAGATAGAATAAATGAATACATAAAAGTAATCCGCACTCGCCCCATTTGCAACCCCTGAGGGTGGGTTCCCGGGTTATTGTCTCAACCCAGCTTCTTTCTCCCAGTCGCCTTTGTGGGATTTCAAACTGGGTCTCCCTGACTCTTCTCACCCAGCTGAGCCCAACCCAGTGTCCTCCAGACATGCTGGAATGACAGCGCCCAGCGCCCTTCAGCATCATGCCATATGGCTGAGCTCCAGTGGCTGGTTGCATTGAGGGACAGGGAGGAAGAATCGGAGAGCCTCCTAAATGATTCCTGGCCCCCTCTGAGGAGGAGCGGCGCTACGGTGGGGTCAATGCTGCCCGTTAGAATCTCAGATTATTCCACATGCCTGGCAGTGGTGGATATGGATTCTGAAGCATATTCATTTATAATACCACCTCCTGCACACTTGCTGTGGCATGTAACTCAATGGTCAAACCAGCCATCAGTGTCCAAACTAATGTTTGTTTATGCTTTGAAATCTACACTACTGTTCACAGTAAAGGCTGCCATGCTGGGTCCACTTCCTTAGGAGTAAGGCCCCTGAATTCAGTGGGGCTTGACTGCTGTGGACTATGTCTCAAAACAGGAGGGAAAATGTTGCTTAATTTCTTATTCAGATAACATTGCAAAGGAGCCTCTCAGTGCTGCTTCTGTCTGAGCACTGGCAGAGAATTGGAAGGATCCTTTGTGGCATCTTTGAGAAAAGATAAAGAAGGAGAGCCCTTTCTGAAGTCTGCTGGACAAAATAAACATATGCTCCTATTGTGGTTTAAAAACTCCGGTGCAGTTTCTTGAAAATAGATCCTATTAAACTCGAGAGTTACTTGCAGATGAAGGTGTCTGGGCTCTGGCTGAGAGAGGATCCAATGCCTGAAACGCTGGAAAGATTTCAGAAGCCTGTGTGAGGAATTCAGATCTTTAAAAGGCGGTTTTCAAAGGCAGGGCATGGAGATCAAGCTGTGTGCATTCAGCTCAGAAAAAGTCCCTTTCTTCCTTGCAGGACGGATGGGTGGGAGGAGCCTGTGCCTTTTCCCATGTGATTTTCTCCCTCCCGATTGGGTCATTTCGGGGGCGTGTGTGGTGTTTATCTCCTTTTTCCTTTCCTCCTCACCTGGTGGTTCCGAGGTCAATTCGCTTTCTGGTCACCGCTGAGCTTCACATGGTCCAGATCAGCAGAGATATTTTCCTGCTCAGGCTGATATCAACAAGGACATTTTGCCCCTCAGCTAAATGTTTCCCTGCTCTATCGGAAACCTCAGAATCGCATGCTTTTAAGGCTTAGAAGCTCAGAACTCCGTAAAGGACAGTAAAATCAGCCCTCCTCTGCGAAGGAGAGGCCGGGGCTGGAATTTGCTTTATCCGTGTCTGTCCTGCTGTGCTTTGCTGCCACGGCATTCCTGCAGAAGTGTCCAGTGCTGCTTCGAATGCCCCCCAACACTGAATTCAGCCCTTGTGGAAAGGAGTGTGATGGAGGGTGTGTTGTGTAGAGGTGTGTGCTAGTCAGAGGGAAGCTATGAACCTCATGGTGCCCACCTGTTAAAAGCCAACCTGTGCTCCAGCCGCAGCAGCCCCATGCCGCAAGCGGCGTCTGAGAACTGCTTGTCACGAGGAGGGTAAAGCTGTCCATGGCTGGAAATGGTGCTAGTTGTGCATGACTCCCCTGGATAGGTTGGCTCACGCAGGGGAGTGGGAGCAGGAAGCTCTTGCTGCATTCATCCTATAGGTTGGACGCTGTATAGACTGGTCAGAGGAGATCGGCGGGGGAGGCCCTTCTCCGGGAGCCCTCTGGGAAGGATATTAGGAGGGTGAGCACCCAGAGCAGGGCCTCCTCTGCGGTGGCGCCCCACCTATGGAATGCGCTCCCCAGAGAGGTCCGCCTGCCGCCGTCGTTATTTGTTTTTCGGCGCCAGGCCAAGACCTTTTTATTTAAACGATTTTAATTGTTAATTGTTTTTATTTACTGGTTTTATACTATTGCCAAGGTGCTCCAGATTTTTAATGTTTATTCTATGTTTGCTTAGTCTGCTTTGTAAGCCGCCCCGAGGCTTTCTGCGACGGGGGCGGCATAAAAATGCTATAATAAATAAACCTGCATGATTCTGGCACCAGTTGACTCCTCTTGCTCAGCCTCTCATGTGGGCTGTTGTTTGCTTCCACCCCAACCAGGTCTTCCTCCAACAGCAGGAAGAGTTCACCTCCCTTGAGGAAAAGCCTCAGTTCCCAGGCGCCTCCGCTGAGTTCATAGACAAGCTTGAGTTCATCCAGCCCAATGTCATTTCGGGGATCCCCATCTACCGGGTCATGGACCGACAGGGGCAGATTGTCAATCCCAGCGAGGACCCTCAGGTGAGAGACAGGGCCCGAGCAGAATCCCGGGGCAGAGGGGCAGGGTGTCCATGACGCCCTTGCCGAACTCACCCAGGCTCACGGATTTGCCGCCGGAGGTGTTTCCCGCTTCACTCCGCTGGTCTTCTCCTTACAGCTTCCGAAGGAGCAAGTGCTGAAATTCTACAAGAGCATGACCCTCCTCAACACCATGGATCGGATCCTCTATGAGTCCCAGCGGCAGGTACGGCTCCGTGCAGCCCTGCTCCAACAGGCGGGGGACCAGCATCCCGGCCTCCTCCACTGCCTGCCCAGCTCCAGAGCCAAGCTTTCACTGGCCCCTGAGGAGGTTCCTCCTGATTTAGGAATACTTAATCCAGTCACCTGAAAGAAAACAGAACTTGAGGGCTTGACCTTCTTTCCATGACAGTAATTATAATCTTTTGTTCGCAGGGTCGCATCTCCTTTTACATGACTAACTACGGGGAGGAGGGCACCCACATTGGCAGTGCTGCTGCCCTGGATGACACCGACCTGGTATTTGGACAATATCGGGAAGCAGGTAAGGGGCAGTTGCTACCTGATGTGCTGCTCTTTACTTACCCTCTAGGTGGCAGCACAGGGCAGCTGACCCGGGAACCCTCCCTGGCCCTCAGCATGTTCCCAACCCAAGGAAACTTCTGCCTGACGATCCCTGCCCCTTCCTGCTGTCATGGAAGCTGCAAATATTTAAATGGGGCAAGATAATAGTCAGGCTCCTTGGTAGGCAAATAGCCTCTACTTCAAAGGTTGATTCACCTGGTTTGCTAATGCTCCTTTGGGCATTCCATAGCACTAGGGACCATATGTAGTCCATGAGATGTAGAGCAACAAATACCAGGAGAGAGCAGTAACTGCAGCACTTACGATTCATGAAAATCAGTGCAAGGTGCTTGTAGCAGCAGCCTTGTTGCTAACCGTGTGCCCCTTCTGCTCCCGCAGGTGTCCTCATGCACAGGGGGCATCCACTGGACCTCTTCATGGCACAATGCTACGGCAATGCCAGTGACCCAGGGAAGGGCCGCCAAATGCCCGTCCATTACGGCTGCAAGGATTTGCACTTTGTTACCATCTCTTCCCCGCTAGCCACGCAGATCCCGCAAGGTGAGACGAAACCAGGTTCAAATATTTCCTTCCGGAGAGGCAGGCAAAACACCACCAACTGCATAGCCACTACTGTGCAGTTTCTCTGTGTCCAGTACCGAAGGAGCAAAACTTCTGCTTTGTATCGAGGGTCTACTAACCTTTCCCTTAATGGGTTTGGGAGCACAGTATTGATGCGCCACTGCATCAAACAAATCCCAGGCTTAAATGCATGCAGATATTTTTCTGCACAGATTTCAGGTGCAATATTTTTGCTTCAAAGAATGCTTCACCAGGCACAACTGAATAGCCGGCCAAGCTGTCCCTAACATAACGATTGGCTAAAACACCCAACTTTTTCTGTGTGTGCATGGCCACTCTGAAATCCCCCAGACATCAACCCTTTGCTCTTCCTATTCCCGTTCCTTCTCACCTCCCCATAACAGCCGTCGGCTCTGCCTATGCCATCAAGAGGGAGAACAGCAACCGGATCGTGATCTGCTACTTTGGGGAGGGCGCGGCCAGCGAGGGCGATGCGCATGCAGGTTTCAACTTCGCGGCCACCCTCGAGTGCCCCATCATTTTCTTTTGCCGCAACAATGGCTACGCCATCTCCACGCCGACATATGAGCAGTACCGGGGCGATGGAATTGGTAAGACGGTTAAGTTACGGAGAGGAAACTCATGGCGGGGGGAGCTTCAAGGCCCCAGAAGCTTCTAGGGCTGTGCTTGCAGCACCTGTGGAAGCTTTGCAGAAGGGCAGCGCAGAAATGTCTTCAGTCAAAATTACGAATCGATACAAGCACAGGCACAGGGGCTGCCAGGGGTGGGCTCCAAGGGTCTCCGTCCTTCCTTTCCCTCTGCAGCTGCCCGGGGGCCTGGCTACGGCATCCACTCGATCCGGGTGGACGGCAACGACGTCTTTGCGGTGTACAATGCCACAAAGGAGGCCCGGCGCCGTGCCCTTGCCGAACACCAGCCGTTCCTCATTGAAGCGATGACCTACAGGTGGGCATAGAGCTGGGAGGTGGAAGCCGAGCACCGGCCTGACCACGGTGGCTCCGCGAAGGGTGGCCAAGTGCACAGGTTGGACTGAGGGCCCTACCTGAATGCTGAGGTGCCTGTTGCCTTCTCAGGATTGGGCACCACAGCACGAGTGACGACAGCTCCGCCTACCGCTCTGTGGACGAAGTGAATTACTGGGACAAACAAGACCACCCCATCTCTCGTCTCCGCCACTACATGGTGGGCCGAAACTGGTGGGATGAGGAGCAGGAAAAGAGTTGGCGCAAGAAATCCCGCAAGCGGGTGAGTGGCTGTTTGATTGAAAACAAGACAGAGTGCTCTGGACAGTCTCAAAATACAGAGAACATGTTCTCAGGTGCCTGAAAATAAGCCCGGGAAGTTTTTACAAAGGTATCTCTTTTCTGGTTTTTGACTGAACCATGGCTCTTTTCTCCAAATGTGTCCACACGAATCAAGCAGCTTCCACAGATGGGCAGAAGGATCTCATCTCAGACTTGCTGATCTGCCCTAGCCAACTCTTGGGAATAGTAGTTTTGTGAAAAGAGCCTGGGCCCTTTTCACATGCAGAGTTATTTCCGCTTAATGCATGTTTTATGTTTATATTTTAACTCCTGTGTTGCTCATTTGGGTGAAGTAGTGTCCACGCCTCTTTAAAGGAAAGGAGAACTACCTTTTCTCCTGGCTCTTGCTTGTGTAAATGTCCCCTAGGGATCTTGTAATAGGGGAAATTTTGGTATCCTTAAAAGAATGAGCCCTATGACCAAAGGTAGGCAATGTCATGGCTTGCTCTTCAGGTTAATCAGTAGGGTATAGTTTACTTTTGCTATGTTCACGCATGTTTTATAAACAGAAGTAATTCTCCAGAGCCTCCTATGGGGAAACATGCCCAATTTCATGGGAGAATATTCTGGTGGACTGTACTTATTTTCTAAGCAGAAAACTGATCTCCCTCATGAATGGAAGCATCTTTGGTCAGGTGGACGTACTTTGGCTATGTTCACATGAACATGACAAAATGCCCCCCTTTGAAGGAACCAGACTACTCCTTGGCACAGGGATTAAAGCTCAACAAAGGTTTGAAAACAGAAGTCTCCTACCTTCGGAGCACGTTCTCCATCTCTGGTTTTGTTCCATGTCTACCATTTTTTCCAGGTCATGGAGGCCTTTGAAGAAGCTGAGCGCAAGTTGAAGCCCAAGCCTCAGCTCCTCTTCTCTGACGTCTACTCTGAGATGCCCAGGCACATCCAGAAGCAGCAGGAATCCCTGGAGCGTCACCTCAAGCAATACGGCGAACACTACCCCCTGGACCTCTACGAGAAATGACCTGCTGCCCCGGAGTAGGTCCTCGCTCCGCCCTCCCTGACCACCCAGGACTTGCAGCAAAGACTTGGCCCCGGCCCATTTGTGCAGAACGAGTGACTTCCCGGGTTTGCAGTCGCTGCCGTGTCACTAAGGTGACGATGTGCAAAGGAAAGATTGGTTGTGAGAAGGAGCCCGCTTCTGCTCGGAGCCGGGGCCTTGGGATCCCTCTGGCTTTTCGTAGCCCGCCATGAATGGCTCTTGAGGAGTTTCCAAAAACTCCTTTAATTTGCACAGAGCCCATGTAAAGCACAGGAGCCCTTCACATCTCTTCCACCGTGAATGGGAGTTGCCTTATCTCTGCTGCTTTCTTTACGGGCGCTCCAGTACTGCCTCTTCCTCCATTCCAGGTTCAGCTCAAAATTGGGCCTTCAGGAACGGTTTCCTTCCATGGAGGAGTTTGTTTGGAGCAGAAAGCCTTTTTGCCAATATTATTATGGGCCTCGGAGACTGAAAACCTGGGGAACGCGCTTGCTTTGCGGGATGTCTTACCTTGCTTCGAAGGTCAAGGTGTGATGGCTGAGTGGGAGGCCACGGCTTGTTTTCCCTAGGAAATGTCCAGCCCTGCGCTGGGCAATATGCTGTCAAACAGACCTGCAAAATGTTGCCTTGCAGGAAAGTGTGTCTCAAGCTGGAACTCTTCTTCAGCCAACTCCTCCCACGGGGATGTGTCTCCAAGGGTTTAACTGGGATCTGGGGGCTTTTAGCAGCTGGAAAGACCTCTGGAGTAATATGTGAGCTGGCTTGGGCAGGGAAAGGGATTGATAGTGGGGGAACATGGGGAATGTATTCACTGGGCTTTTGGCAGAGCTCTTGGTGATGGAGGGGTGTGATTTCCTGCAGCTTTCCGTGGTGGAGGGGCTGAGCTCTTTTGGTCTGTTACACGTCCTCATTACTGTTACAACTCGATGGGATGCGTATGCCGAATCCGTGGCGAGTATCCGGTGAGTGTTTGTCACTAGGCCAAATTGGGAAATTAATAAAGAAAGAAATGGATCTTTGCCTCTTCATGTTCGCTCTTTGAGCAATTGAGTAAGCAGAGAGAACAATCCACGTTCTCCCCGGCTGGGTGGCAGCTGGACGCATTAACCCTGGAGCAGGACAGCACATGTCCGGAGATGCTCTGTCACTGTGTCACGGGAAAGAGGGCATCTGCCTTGGATTGAAACAGGCCCTGAGGCTAAGCGCAGGGACACGGCCTGCTCAGTTCATGACACTACAGAACTAAACAGGGTGTTTTTCCTTATCTAGATTTCAACACCAGCGAGCCTGCTGCTTGAAAAGAAGCAAGCACAAATACCTTCCAGAGAGCCTCGGTCTAAGTGGCCATAAACCCTCAGATCACAGCCAGTGATACACACAATGCCCGAGACACGTTTTATTTTGTCTGTCTATCCTTCCGGTACGGGGAAAATGCGCTTGTCCCACTAATTAAATAGGTCTCACGGAAAGTCTTGAGCCTCCTTCAGTCATCTATGCAAGATGCAGCCTAGGAAGAAGTAACAGCCAGCAATTTAGGAGAGCAGCTATTTTTTCAAATCCTGGATGGTGTACATTTTTTCAGGCATGCTTCAACACTAGGTGGTTGGCAAGGCCGCCAGCGCACACTCGTTTCCTTGACTGCTGTGTTTACCCAACAGTGGCTGCACTCGCCCTAGAAGAGTGCATCACAGGGCGAACAGTTGTGGAAAATACTTCAAGGAACAGAACTTTTCATGGAAAGGAAATGCAAAGGTTAGCTAAGGGAAAAAGCAGGTGAGAAAAACGAGAAGCAGCAAGGTGATGAGCTGGGGCCAGCCAGAGTTGGGGCACTCCAGGACAATTGCCCCCCCCCCTTTCCTGCCCTCCTGCGCTTGCAAAACCAGCTCAGCATACCAAAATTCGGTGGGCGAAGTTTTTTCCCCGCATTTGGTTGTACAAAGTTTGCCTTTCCAATTTCTCTGTGCCAGGCCCCGTTAGAGAGGCACCGTGGGAAGGGGGTGGGAAGGGTTCCCCTGGCACGCGAGACCATGCCGATGCATCCCTTCCTCTGTACTTGCTTAAGTGGAAAGAACGAGGGGTATCCGTTCTGATCTTTTGGATTTCTAGTGCTACTGATTCTGGTAGCTGGTTTGCAATACGTGGCTGCGCTGGCGTGAGCCCATGTTTTCATCAAACGTTTTGAAAGCACCTGAAATGACTCTCTCATTCTGTCAAGTCAATACAAGTTGGAACAGGAATTTAGCAAGGGTGTCCTCAAGGGAGCGATGATGCCTCCTTCCAGTCTGGGGGCGCTGAAGGGTGACGGGGACAACATCGCCCTTCAAAATCTGCAGGAATATCCCCTGACCTTGCGGTGCTGCTGCGTCTCCCTGATTTGATACAACCCTTGCAATACATTTAACTTTGGTCAAGGACCGAAAACTAGGCCTCTTAACCAGGCGGACCTGTTGGGCCACCTGATCCAGTGCCGTTCATGCCTGGCTGGGTCTCCTTGGATTTCCCCAGCCTTGCTGTACTCGAAGGTCACTTCAGCTGCCGGTTCTAGGAACTGAAGTGGGCACGGAATGTGTCAAACAAGCTTTGCTCCGAGTAGCCGTCCCATTCCATTTCTGATAACCCTTGGCAAAAGTCCCAATCCTTTTACACCCTGCATTCAACAGATCTGCTTCTTTGCACATGCCGACTTTTCCTTCACCTCCCTGGTATCCCAAAGCAGGCAATCATTGCTCTGCATGCAAATCTAAGAGGAGGAGAGCTGGACTGGGCCAAAGGCCTCTGTTTCCGAATCTTATTTCTGTCCAAAACCGCTGGGGCCCTCAGCCTGGGCTGACGGCGACAGCTTCTTTTCCGTCTCCAACTTTCAGAAGGAGCCTGGATCTGTGCTGAGCCATGCCGCCTCCACCCAACACCAGCGCCCGACCACTCCCAACCATGGCCCCAAAATCCGCCAGTTTCTAACTCCCTCGGCTTCCCCTTCTGCACCTGAACAGGTGGGCCTCCAACACCCCCCTCCCCACTCAGGTCTGCTCATTCCCGGCTGGCTTCAGCACTTGAGGTTGGGGTCCTTGATCTGCTTCCAGAGGTCAAGAGTTTGGTGGGGGCTGCGCCGGTGCACCAGGAGGAGCTTGCTGTGTACACAGGGGTCCATCCGGTCCTTCTCGGCGATGTCGAAGGTCTGGAAGCCGGGGTGGGCCTCGGGGAGGATACCCAGGGCGTGGAAGCAGAGCCCGGTGTAGACGTCATCGATGGGGTAGAAGGCGATGTATCGCGAGACGAGGTGAAGCCACCGGACAAGAGGCCCCGAGAAGATGTAGCCCCCGCCCCCCGCGTAGGCAGGGTATGGGCCCACGTAGAAGGATTCTGGGATGTAGTACTTGCTCCTGTGGACGCGGAACGGGGAGGCGTTTGACACCACCTGGCCCGTGTAGAGGGGCCTGTGGCTGTCTACAGAGCTCAGGTAGCTCAAGACCTGTGGGGTGTTGATAAATACGTCGTCGTCTCCCTTGAGAATGAAACGGACGTCCCGGCAATACTCCAGGGTCCAGTTGAGGAAGAGGAAGTCCTTGAGCGTCAGATTGAAGAAGGTGTCCTCGAAGTCCCACATCAAGATGTCGCCGTACGTGCGGCTCTCAAACGCCACCATGTTTTGCAGCCGGAGGCCGTAGCGGCTCTGCCCCGTGCCCAGCAGGAAGACCGTGCGGACCGGCAGTCCACCGGGCTCCCCCTCCCGCCCCCACGTGTCTCTCACGGCCTGCCGGGCCGCAAAGTTCTTGGGCAGGGACTTGATGGCCAAGAGCAGGAACGTGCGGTCCTTGGTACCGTTGCACTTGTCTGGCTGGTTGATCAAGAGCGGGAAGGTCCGGCAGTTGTCGTAGAGAATGAAATTCTTGTGAAGCTCTGAGTAGGACTCAAAATCTTTGATCTTGGCCGTCTTCTCTGCCGTTGTGGGACCAGAGCATTCGCTCTGGGAGTCATTGGTGTGGACCGGGCGGCCCTCCACGGCCCGGAAGAGCTGGTGCTGCTTGGCATTCCAGTAGGCCTTTGCTCTCGGAATGGTCTGCCGGAGCTGCTGCAGGGACTCGTTGAAGTGCTGCCGAACAAAGGTGAGCCAGTCCTCCTCCGAGGGCCAGACGGGTGTGACGGGTGTGATGGAGCTGCTGTGCCACCTGCTGTCTTGCGGGGCCGGCAACTGCTCGTCCTGCTCGGCAGTCCATTCGATGTAGGCCTTCAGGGCGACCAGCGTCAGCAAAGCGGTGGCCACGGTGAGGCAGCGGGACTCCTTCATCTTCCTGCAAAACAAAGCGAGAGCAAAGCTGAAGACTGAAAGGACCTGGGAACGAACGCAGCCGGCGTGGCTGTATTTGCGGCGCTTCACGCTCACAGAGCGCTGCAGAAGAAGCGGAGTGTTTCAACTCGGTGGTCTTCTTTTGCAGGAAAACCTGTAAATTAGGCCTTCGTGCTCCTCCACTGCAGAGGCCAAACGTGCGGCTTGCCCTAAGCTTCTTGCACAGAATTTCCCATCTATTCATTATGTACTGGGAGGTTTTCTACCCTCTTTTTCAGCCCTTCCTCGCAAGCTCTCAGAACAGCTTTTAAAAATCAGTTATAAGACTAACAAAGCCACATCAGCCAAACAGGATTGTGAGGGAAGAGGTAAAAAGAGCAAACTTGCGTGCAATTTCCAGAACATCCACACTGCTCTTATAACAGGCACGGGGGTTGCATAGCGGGAAGGGAAGGGAAGGGAAGGGAAGGGAAGGGAAGGGAAGGGAAGGGAAGGGAAGGGAAGGGAAGCGGGCCCGAGGGTGGCTGATCCCTTGGCATGCGGATGGGGGGATGGGCAGGGGAGACGTGAGCCATGCAGTTCTTTGTCTCCCCGACTTCCCCAAGCACAGCAGACCTGCCCATTTTTATATCCCCTGCGGCACCCGATCTGGCATCCCGCACCACCTGACTCCGCAAGTCAGGTGACCCATGATCCCACCTTGTAATCTCCTGGCCAGCAAGTTGGTTGTTTCGATCAGCTGCTGCAGTGATGGAGCAGGCCAGGCTCCGATTCACGGGGCTCCGGGTTCGAGCGTCCCACTAGCTTCCGCACGGAGATCGATGGGAACGTGGAACTGTCACCAGCCCAGCGCCGTTACCTGCTCTCCAAGCAGAATGCCTTTCGCATCTCTCCATGCATCACTTCTGTAAAGAGAACGCCTTTTAGAAAAACCTCCCTGTAAAGCCTTTTGAGAAGGAGGGCAATGTGTGTGCCGGGTGTTAATTCAGAGAAAAGGGGCCCACGGTGAGATATTTAGGAAGGAGAGACTCAGTCAAGTGCTGCCGACAGAACTGCCTTTGCCGTGAAGGACGCATCGCAATCCATCGCTAAGGACCCGCTGGAAGGCCCTCGAGTGCTCTAATGCGCTCCGGTAATTGATGCTGCTTCTGGTTGTTGTTCCTGGCACGGCTTGCGGAGAATCCATCTCCAAAGAACGGGAAGCGTAATCCCACAAGATTCTCTCTCGCAATTAGCCAGGGCCCCGTCCTGGCCGGCTGCAGCCACACGTCAACAAGAAGGCCGCGCTGCACCCAGAGCATATCATAATCCTTACACAGAATCTATACCCACCTTTCTTCCTCTTGTGAGGAACCCCGAGTGGCTCCGCGGGCTCTCCTCCTCTCCCTTTCATCTTCACAGCAACAAGGAGGGTATGAGGTGAGAGAGGCTGAGAGCCAGTAACTCTCCCAAAATTCTCTAGGGAGTTTCATGGTTAAGTGAAGACTGGCAACCAGATCTCCTAAATCCCAGTCCAGCTCTAAGCACGGCTCCACACCGGCACCTAAGGAGGGGAACTGGGGTGCTTCTGCTACCCCCGAGTGCCACTGACAGGGTGCTGGGACTTTCTTTTCGTCAGAACCTGCAGCACCGAGCACCAAAAGCACTCAAAGGTGCCAGGCTGAGTTAGCAGAAGCGATTTATTCCCTTTGCAGCCCACGTGCCTTCACTCTTGTGATAGCCACCATTTCCCTCATTCTTAGGAATACTAGAACTGAAGACCAAGCACTTGATGCTTGGGGCAAAGATGACCTTGGACTGGGTCACCACAACAGAACAACCCAGAGAATGGGTAAAGTATGAGTTGCTGTTGAATTCTGGGCTGTTGTGCTGTATGAACCCAGCTGTGCTAACAAACCATAGTTCGTTAACTACAAGAAAACCCATGGTTTGTTGTTGGGTTGTGAACTCTGGATCGTTCTTGGTTGATAAACTCTGGTTTGTTAGCATAGCTGGGTCCATGCAGTGCAACAACCCACCATTCAACAACATGGGTTATTATATTGTTAACATCCTGGTTGACAAACTGGGTTTTGCTTGTTGCTCTAATTCAGCAGGAATATAGATGCAATTGTGAAATATGGAGCGGTGCTGGAGGGCAAAAGAAATGCTGGCTGTGTAATCACAACAACACTGCCCATGATCATGGAAAGGGGTCCCCAGGAGGCTATTCGGTTCAGACACAACCTCAGAAAGACTCAGTCTGGCATAATAACTGGAGTGTTGGACCGGGATTCAAGTTCTGAATGGAGACTTTATAGCTTCATGGCTTTGCTTAGCTATGAAGCCCATGGGGTGAGCATAGACCAGTCAATGACCCTCAGCCTAACCTACCTTGCAGGGTTGTTGTGAGGATAAAGTGGAGAAGAAGAGGAGGGTTATGGACACCACCTTGGGTTCCTTGCAGGAAAAAAGGCAGGCTATTGATAGAATTAAGCGATAAATGATTTCTTAAAAATTAGCCAGCTGCACCTCTGCTCAGGAGAGGAAGTGGACCCATCACTGGTCCAGGCGCTGGCCCGGCGGTCAGGAACACGCTGCACTCTGGTGTGGAAGAGCCCTTCCCGCTGCCCTCCTCTTCAGGGGTGGGGGAGGCAGGCCCTTTGGCTGCGGCTCCCACAATTCCTTGCCACTGGCGGTGCTGGCTGGGGCTGATGGGCACTGCAGCCTGCCCGCATTCAGAAGGCCACAGGTGCCCCTGGATTGCTGCTCCCACGCTCTCTCCTTCCCAGAGGCCCCAGCCTCCCTCTTCCTCACTCGCAGGCTGGCTTCTCTGACATGACAAGACACATGCCCGGCATGAGGCGAGAGTTCCAGCCCTGCTGAAGTTGGCAGAGCACCTCCAGCAAAGCTGCCGAGAAAATTTATAGGCCTTGAACGTGCACCCACATCGCTCCTTCCAAAAATGCTGAGATCGGCCAGCTCCAACCCCACCCAGCCCCCTTTAATGCTTGCAGGGAGGGGGAGGAAGCAGCCAAAAGCTGGGGGCAGGCAGTCTCCCCGGCCGAGCACACACAATGTCCGAAAGCCAGAGCTGTGTGGAAGGTCTTGGATCCACACATCACTCTTCCACTGCATGGCACCCTGCTTTGCTTCTCTTTTCTTCCTCTCCCAAAGGACCCACGGCCTCTTACAGGGTCTCCTCCTTCCCATGTGCTCTTCACAGCAACAAGCACCTGTGAGGCAGACTGGTTGAGAGGCCCAAAGTCCCCCGGTGGCTGAGGGGGGCTAGAGCCGAGATCTCCCAATTCCCGGTCCAGCCACTACTCCAGCTGGGCTCTAAACATTTTGGGGGCAAGGTGACTGAGTTGCCCTTAAGTGCATGGAGAGACGGGAAACAGCCCTGTGACCTTCAGCGTTCCCCAGCCAGCCCGGAGAGTTGTTCTGGCCCTCTCCCACGCCCTGGCCAGAGGAGAAAGATGCCACCAGCAGAGGGAACCTTCTGCCTCAGTTGTCCGTAAGGCAGTTGTCCGTAAGGACAACTCTCCCACGGCCCCTTCTATCCAGCTACGTGAGGCCCTCTGAGCTCCCTGGAAGGGCTCAGGCCACTGGGAGCGCCCCTGAACCAGCCTTCCCCAAGCATGCTGGCAAGGGGATTGTGGGAACCGCAGTCCAACATCCCCAGGGGACACCAAATGGGGGGACCTGGACCCCCATTTTGAACACGCCTCCTTGACACACCTCACTATCGTGAACGGACATCAGATTACCTCGCCACGAACGCATTTCCTGATCTCGCTCCAGAATTCCCTTTTTTTAAATGCGAACTCGCAACACGCATCACACGCGCGCTACAGCCCGGGCGCATCCTGCAGCTCTGCCTGCCTCGGTTGCCCGAGCAGTCATCGCCCTATAAATCATTCTGTAAAAAGAGCCATCCGGCCGCCGCCGCGCACCGCTAAACTTCCCCACGCCCAATTCCCCGAAAGAGCGATTCGCATTAACCCCACGGCCACGGGCCCGCCAGTTGCGCCCTCGCCCTCCCAGGCGCCTCAGCCCTGCAGTGCCTTGCCAAGCCCGGGAACACGGTCCGCCCAGCGGGAGGCTCATCCTTGTTCCGCGGAGCGGACCCTCGGGAGAAGAGGTGCCCCCATGAAAAGACCCAGAGCGCACCTGAAACCCACGAGCAAGACAACTCCCTGGGTGCCCGTCGCGTCTTTCCCGTCCTCTGCCCCAAGCTGGGCTCGGCTTCTCCCGCCGCCGGGCTTTTCTCCTGCGCTCGCTCGCCGGCTCCCCTTGAGGCGCGCGCACGCGGACACCCGAGGCTGGCGGACGCCTCCCCTGGTGCCACCCCTCTCTGGGAAAGGCAAAGCGAGGAGCGGAGGCACGGCGAGGTGCGGACCTTCTCCCCGCACCCCGAGCCCGTGCAGGGCGCACCGAAGGCGGGGCGTTCCAGAAATGTGTCTCAAGAGCTCCTCTCCGATCAAACAGTCATGCAGCCCAGAGGCTGTGCGGGAACCGCTCGCTCCCCCGCGCCTCCAACAAGGGCTTGCCAGGCAGCTGCGAAACTAACCCTGCCACCTACAGGAAAGGTCAAGGCAGCGAGACGCACCTGGGGAATGCGCGCTGGAGTGGGAGCCCCCGGGCACCTGAGTGGCAGAGAGAATCCATCCTTCGTGGGGAGGCACGCCCAGAGAGCGACGGTTGCATCACTGGCAGAAAGTTCAGCGGGTGGAGCCACCTGTCTCCATGCCAGGGGAAAGGTCAAAGCCTCCACCGCGCGGCGAAGCTGGCCGGGGTACCTGCGGTGCAGGGAGAAGCGGGGACTCCTCCTCGGAGCAGGGCCGGGCAGCTGGCGGCCTGCCAGACAGTCTTCATCTTGTGTTGCCCAGTGAGGAAGCAGAGGCGAACATTTTCCCGATTTGCTGGATGGTGGGAGATTCAGGACACGTAAAAGGACGGACTTTTCCAGGTAACACACAGTTAAAGGTGGCCCATGTGCAGTCACAGGAGGAGGTGGTGGCGGCCCCCAGTTTGGAGAGCCTTAAAAATGATGGAGGACGAGGCCATCACTGGTTACAATGGCTATACAGGCGGGGCTTTCTCGTTGGGGGCCCCACGCAGTTGGGTCTCCTTCTCCAGGAAAATGCATTGGTGTAAGAAAAACACACACCATGACGAGGAAATCAAGCCTGCATCTGCAGCTTAAAAAATCATTTGCTGCCACGGGGCTGGGGGGGTGGGGTAATTGTAATCGGATGTTTGTGTTTCAAACATTTTCCAGCGATTTCACTCCAAAATCCCAAATCTCCACCTTTGACCCCAGAGCTGGAGCTACTTGCCACGGAAGGAACTTCTGTACATGTTCAAGAGAACACTTGACTAGGTCCTTGGACCAGTCTCACCTGCTCCTTCCCATGTGCACATTCTCCCAGCCCTCTGTACGTATAATCCAAAAACAGGAGTCACACTGTTCTTTCAACAATGAGGTGGTGACAGGGGCAAATAAGATGAGGCGGAAGGCAGAGCTGGGTCAGATTTTAGGAAAACAAACACTACTTTTCTGTGGAAAGGTGAGAAGAGTTTTTTCACTCAGCATTCGAGAAAGATCTTGGCTGCTTCCAAATGCACTGGACCTCAAGCCCCATCATTCCCAGTCAGCTCCAGTCCAACACATCTAACAAGGCTGGTTGGCGAAGGCTGAAATGTACAGCAGCCCTGCAAACACACGCTGAGAAGTTCTAATCTCCCACTTCTTGCTTCTCACATGGGTGGAATTTCTTCCCCTACACACAAACCATTTGGAACAACTTTTAAAAGTGTCAAACTCCTCCTGAGCCTGAAGTTCAACATGCTCTTTTCATGGTCTCTGATTCCAGACCGATCATTCCACCCCTCCTTCTGCTTGGGGTTTTTCTTTCACAACACAATGTTTGGAATGACTCCAAAAACGTTCACATAGAGACACCACCAACAACAGGCCCTTTCCCCTGTCCAGAGATGGCGATCTTTTGTGGCTTTCATAAAGCTGGCCTGCCTACGAATATACTAATTTGCAAAGAGCACCTAGCACAAAATATTGGCAAGTGGGAGAAATATTCTGCTTTCTTTCCTGATCTTCTGACTTTCCCTGCTGTGCTGTACAAGACACAACCATCTCCAAACTGGCGCATTTTCTTGCTATGATGGGGGGCTCAGGTAGGAATTCCGGGAAAGATGCACAGTGTCCTTTTTCCATTTTGGCATCCCCAAATATCCCTGCACAGGGCAGAGAAGGGAGTTTTTACACTTTACAGGATGCTTACTAGACATTTTGGGGGCTTGAGAAGGCTCAGTTCCCTCCCTTGACCTGCCTTGCTTCTCTCTTTCAAAAGACACCTCAACATTCTGTACATCCTGAAAGTTAAAGCATGCTTTTGCTATCTTCATTTCTTATGAATTTACATATTTATTTATACCCCACTTTTTCCTTCAAGGAACACAAGGCAGCTAACATAATCCTCCTCCTCCTATTGCTCTTATCCGCACAACAACCCTGTGAGGTAGGTTGGGCTGAGAGTCAGTGATTGGCCCAAAGTCAGCCAAGGAGCTTGTGGCCGAACAGGCGCTAGAACACCCAGGCTCTCCTGCATTCCAGGCCAACATGCCAACCCCTCATACCCAGGGAGACCCCAACTTTGTGCAGAAATGGCAGTCGTCACTTTGGGCAGCTCATTTTACCTCCAAGCAGTAGGCACTCAATCCCAAGAGCTGTCTATTGGGGATATCGATCGATAATTATGAATTGCACCTTGCGGGATCAGACCATAAACCCGTATCTGCTGCTTTCCTTTGTCTCTGATAAAGCGAAGCAGCAGGCCCCCCAAAAGCTGTGTGCTTGCCAGATTGGTCCATGCCGTTGGGGTGATCCCAAAATACAAACTCAGCAGTCACACAGAAGACTGACCTGTGGAAATTTCCAGAAGTGGAGAGAAAAGAGTATGTTTGTATTTAGAGCTCCAGGGTAGGGCAGAAGATGCAGGAAGGACCTCGGGCAACAATGCATTTGTGCAAAACAAGTTGTTTGTTGGTGAATGCACTGCAAGAGTGCAAAGGTCGCATCCAGCACCACGCTTCCTTCCGCCAGTTTGAGAACTGGGTTTGTACCAGCTGAGGGAAGGTGGAGAGGTTGGCTACCCAAGAAGCAGAGACCCCTGTGCTCCGGATCCAGCCATGCAAGAGGCCAGAGAAGCCCAGAAACACCATTACAAAGCAAGGAAATGAAGGAAGCCGCTTTCAGCCTCCCTGTGCTCATAAGTATTCTAAAAATGGTCACACTCTCCATTCAATGAAAGTCAATGAACAGCTTCTTATGGGCTCAACCCCCCCCCCCCGCCCCCCAAGACTTTTCTTCAGCTTCAAAAGGGTGGCATGGTGAGTTGAAATCACCTGTTCTTGCACTGGGTCTTTGGAACACTTTCAGCCCAGGGTGAAAAAGGAGGGGGTTCAGTGCGACCTTCACCAGTTTGGACATGGGAAGAGGTTCCTTACGGGTGATGCACAGCATGATTTCTGTTTGCCTCTCTGAATCCTGAAAGTTTCATGGGACTTACCCGCCTACCGAAGACGAGTGTGGGTTAGGGGTGCGTGTGTGAATATGGGGAACTGATGTGGAAGGGGGAAAGATAGTGGAAGACTTGTCTGTGTGGAACAAGAACAGGGATCCAGGTTTGGGCTGAGAACCTCTGCCCAAGAGAGGTGCTCTCGCGGATCAGCATCCTGAAACTGGCCGCTGCTACTGCATAAGGAAGCTCCCGGGGAGACTGCTTGCCTACATCTTGCGGGAGATTCTCTTCCGGTTGATCTTTGTCCTCGATTCCCAGGCTGAGGCTGAGGCTTCCTTTATGGATTCAATCCATCTCCCACGACCTGGTCAAGCTTCAGCTCCCACGTCAAGGCGGGCCCCTCGGTTACTTGGGGAAAGAGGGTGGCAATTTCGAGGCCAAAGGGTGGCCCGGATCGCCTGCTTTGGGGAGACAGGAAGGGCCAAGCCATGAGCAGAGACGGCCAGCGGTGTGAGCACGAGGGGCGAGAGTCCAGGAGAGCCCCTGCTGCAGACACAAGCTGGGCTGCCCAGACTTCCATTTCTAGCCTCCCCCACTCACCACCTTCTCCAGCAAAACACACACACACAGAGCATCTGTTCTCAAAAAAGCAACGCTGGGGCAGGAAGCGAGCCTGAAGCCCTGTCGAACCAACCAAACCAAACCAAACCACACCAAACCAAACCAAACCAAACCACACCAAACCACACCAAACCACACCAAACCATCCCAAGCTCTCCAAAGCCGGGAGGCAGTAAAGCCGAATGGCAGCCCGAGAGTGAAGCTGGAGAGAAGCGCATTGCCACGTGCCTGAGTCACGCCGATTACGAGATGCTCCAGGAACTCGGGGAGGTGATACTGCAAGTTGCGACTTGGGGGTGGGGGAGCAGTTAAAAATAAAGCAGGGTGACAATACCGAGCCCGTCTGTTTCACAGGAGATCATGTGAGTTTGCAGCCCTGCAGGGGAAGTGCGGCTAGCTCAAATGAAAGCACAGGTCTTATTTTGGAAACGCAGCAAAGGAAAGGAATGGGAATTGTTCGTGGTGGCTCAGTTCTCAGGCTGAGACCGTAGGGTTTAATCCGAAGCAAAACACCAACAGTCAAGCCAGCAGGCTGCAAGAGAGCGAGGAGTTGGGTCACACGGCCCAGCTCTTCTGGGAGACCTCCTGCGGGCGCAGAGTGCAGGCGGGGAGGCAATAAACTCCTGTAAACTCGGCTGCATCATTTCGGAAGCATTTCTGAGCACAATTTAAAGTGCTGTGTTTGTCCTTGAAAGCCTGCCCAGACTTTAAAGCCAACAAGCAAAGTCCTTCCCATTTCCTGAGAAGTCTAAGTATGCAACGGTATAGAAAAGTTTTAAATAAAATAAATTTCTCCAGCCTTTAGAGCCATAGGATAGTCAAGCACACAAGAAATCACTCAGAAACAAGTCCCCTGCAGGGTCCCACAAAGCCCCATCATTGCAAGCTTTTAGGAAGCCCACCCCTCCCAAAAACTTGCTCCTTTTCTCTGGCCCCCCTCAATTATGTTTTAGGAGACCCAGCTGTTGCTGCATTTGTGTATTGCAGGTTTTGTCTTTTTCTTTCATCTCGCAGCAGCTGTTTTAACTCCCACATCCATTTTCCTTCTGTCTTTCTCACCATTGTTAGGACCTTGGGAAAGAAATGATCTGAGGAAATGAAAATATGCCAGAAGCCCTGGAAGCAATTTGTTCCAAGGAGCAGCGTAAAAATGTTTCAAATACGCAACACCCACCTGTCTTTTTCCCGTGGCAGATCCCAAGCCCCTGCCCAGGGAGGGCGGCGTTCTGCCTGGCAGGCATGCTGCCGACGAGGCTCTCCAGGCGCTGCCGGTGGATGATCTCCCGCCTTCTGTCCACACACCGTGCTTAGTCCCACTGCTAGTGAGCAAAGCAGGACAAAAGTGGTCTGAGCCCCGGGCCGGGGTGCGGGACGTCCGGGGACTCACGGCAGCGTCCCTCCTGCTGATGGCGCTCCAGAAACCGCAGCTGCACCACAATGCCATGGGCGGTGATGCCAGGGACGTTCCATGGCGTCTCCCGTGCCCGTCCTTGGTGCCGCGTGTGTGAGAGAGGCGGCCACGGCAGTGGCGTGACGGGTGCACATCCGCGATGCCCACATGCAGGAGGCATGAAAGAACGCAGCAGCGGGGCGAGTTTTGTACCGTGGGGTTCTCTTCCGGGCGACCTCTGCCCTCCTCTCCCAGCTGCCTATGCGTAGCTCCCTTTCCTCTCCATTGTCGGTGGTGCTGTGGGCCATCGAGTCGTCTTCGATCTATGGCTACCGTATGAAAGAAAGCCCCCAGGACATCCTGCCCGTGACAGCTGCCGTCAGCTCTCCCAGCTCAAGGCGGTGGCTTCCTTTACGGAGTCAATCCATCTCCTGTTTGGTCTCCTGCCCTCAGCCTTTCCTAACATCACAGCCTTCTCCAGGAAGTCATGCCTTCTCGTGATGTGCCTAAGGTACAAGAGCCTCCGTTTCGCCTTTTTGGCTTCTAGGGAAAGTTCTAGCTTGCCTGGGTCTAGGACCCCCTAGTTCATCTCGGGGTCCAGGGTATCCCCAAAGCTCGCCTCCAGCACCATGGTGTGAAAAGGATGGCTATCCAGCACGATCAGGGGGAAGGATCACCCGCTTAAATGACCTTCTAGCCTTTGTGCACCAGAAAGACACTTGCAAGGAAGGCCAGCTGAAGGTTCAGAATGTGGCTGGTCTCAAAACTCAAGGGATTTGTTGGGGACCAGCTGGCTAAGGAGCAAGCCTTCAGTGCCCTACATCTCTGCTGCTATAATTACCTAAAGAGAGATCCGTGCAAATATCTGTGCATATTCGCTGCATTTATCTAATAAGGGAAAGACCCGGATTTCTTTGGCTACTCGATTTACCTCTGACAGAAGAACTAGGTGCTTTTCAAACTGTGCCCTTCTATTTTAATGACTACGACTTAACATTTACATATTTTTCTTCATCAAAAACGGATTCAAGGGCAATCCGTAAGAATAAAACAGTGAAGAAAATACATCCCGCAGAGCTCCACTTTATTCGCTCAACAATCCACAAAGTACGTTAGGCTGGGAAGCTGGAACTGGCCCAGGATCAGTGTTAGGACTGAGATTTATCCCAGGACTGCGTTAAACACTGTCCACTAAACCACACTCTCCTGTGGGGTATTTGCCCCCAAAACGCACATCTCCAAGGGCTTTGCGAGATCAGAGGCGACATGTATGGATGCTTCAACACACAATTAGCAGCTCGGTCTTTCTGTTAGCCGAGCATCCTTCCAAGACGGCAGCAGGGAAGGGCTCGTTTCAATTATTTATGTAAATTTCCATTTGGCCTCGTGCTGCAACAGCATTTAGCCACAGAATTCCCCAAGTGCAGAGACTGGCTCCTTTCCTAAGTGCGCGAGTCCCACAGGTCGTCGCTAACGCAAGGCTTGTTCTTACTTGCAAAAAAGGGGCAGTGTTTTCGTCAACAGCCCACGAATGTGCAGCTCAGGTGCTTTCCATCTGAGGCTCCGAAACAGATCTAGCGACAGAGGCTGAGCTAGCAGACATGGAGAACACGTGCCGACACGCGTGGCGAAAAAGGGGTGGCACCTCTGCAAATGGGAGGTGCGTGTGAGCGAGCGACCAGTGCTCCAAACCAGACACGACTCTAACCGTGATCGGCAGGACCAACGGCGATTCTGCGTAAGCCTCATGCAAAACGGCAAGAGGGAAAGAAAATTCTATGCTGTTTTTATTCTTAGTCTTTACTGCCCCGTTGCTGGAGCTCTCTGGGTGGGTTACAATCTGCACAGCCGCAAAACAGCAGTGGGGGCTATGCTCCAAATGCCACCCACCTATCGCCATGGCTAAGTGGAGCCTCCAAATTCGAAGGCAGTGTACCTGTAAGTGCTCGATGCTGAGAGATGATTCATGGGGGAGAGGACACCACTGTTTTTATGCCCTGCTTTGGGAGCTTCTCAGGTGGGGTTTTCAGCTGTTGGGAACAGGATGCCGGACGAGACGGCCTTTTGGTCTCACCCGCCAGAGCTCCTTTCCTGTTCAAATCTGAAAAGATGCCAGAGGCCTTCCTCGCTTACTGCTTTCTCTGGTGCAGAGAACAAAAGCGTCTTTGAAGACTGAAACTCAAACACAATTCTGGGTGCTTGATAAGGATCAGGTCAATCAGCCGACCCTTCCATTGGTCCAAGCTGGAGAGCAGGTACATTCCAGGCTCGCTTGGCTACAGGCTGTGCTAACACAGATAAAAGATAACTACAACTCATAACACAACGAGCTCAGAGGTGCTCTGCTTCCAAGTATGGAGGTTTAATTAATAATGATGCCAGCCCAAAGGAAGGAGAACTGAGAACAGGTCTGGCATCCTCCAGAATGACCTCATCCTTCATTGTCCCTGTGTCAACCAGGTGCAGAGGAGGACCAGAGAGACTTCGCAAGCACCAGCGTCATCAGGTGAGGTTCCCTGCAGTGCTGCCTCACCCACTCAGGCGGAGATTTCGGCGTGTTTCCGGTTGCTGGCAGAGTTCTGAAGTTCCTCAGCATCATCTCCGTCCGTAAGCTGCACCAGCCCTTCATCACTCTCCATCCCAATGATCTCACAGTGGGGAAGCATCTCCTCTAAAAGGATGCGAATAAACGGTTTGTTTGGAATGGAGGGGAGGTTCGAGACGTTCAGGCGCTTCAGATTTCTGCAACAACCACCAAGGAAGCAGGAATGAGAGAGTTCCCCACGATTCTTAACGAGCACACTAATCAGGGTGGCATAATTAGCAAAGCAGCGAGCTCAGCAGCAAGCTCAGCAACTGGCTCAATCTTTAGCGGCCTCACCAAAAGGGAGGTAATTTTATTTGGGACTGCAGTGCCCCATTTGTTAGAGCCAGCAATTAAAACCCTCCCAATCAATCAGAACAGTGCCCTGATGAACCAAGCAGAAGTCTTTAAAGCATTAAGAATATGTTTTAAGTCCTTATAAAACCTGCAGGTGACAAACGCCATGGTGGAAGTGGGAAAGCATAAAAGGAAGCCTGCGGTGACCAAGCATGCAACTTTCTTTTACAAATGCTTATTTTGTGCTCTTACATGTATCCTTTAGGCAGTCCTAATTTAAACCTCTGGGGCTGCATGCGCACTCCTCTCAAGGCTATTTTGCTCATGGTGCATTACTAACATGGCGCATGAGGAAGGTGGCTGGCACTTCCCCTCCTCTTTCCCAAAACCTTTGGATTTTGTGTCTTGTCCTTTAGATTAGAAATCTGAGAGTAGGGCGGGCCTTGTGATCAATCTTTGGAAGCCACTCTGAGCAGCTTTTTTGTGTCAAAAAGGGAGATAAAAAATGTTACATGTAAAGGCTGGTTTTCTAAGCCATTAGCCATCACCACAACCTGTGGCCATGAGTTCTGTAGGCCAAGCTCTCAGCCATCTGAAGAAATACTTCCCTTTCATGGCCTGGAATCTGTTGCATAACTGAGTAATCGGATGTCACCAACAATCTTCCAAAGGGAATTTCCCCTTCGGAAAACTTGGGAGGGCAAAAACAGCTCATTTGCCAACACAGTGCCCAGTGATGTAAACCTGACTCAGGTTTTGTAGGTGAGGGGTTGTCCCGGTGGCCCAGACCCCTTCCAGATCGTCCTGTTTTCCAGCTTTCTTGGCCTGACTCACAGCACTTTTAAAAGACACCTTGCTTATCTTTCGATCTGCTTGACTGATGCCAAGAGCAGAGCAAGGCTCAAGCAGCTTAGGAAAATGTCACATGCCTGTCGGCCTTCCCCAGCCAGAGGTATTGGGCCAATGACTCCCAGCAAGCCCCAGCCAATGGCATGCTGGGAGTTGTAGTCCAACACACCAGAAGTGCCCCAGGTTGCATAGGACAGCACAACCGGTATGAGCTGCAGAACGTGCTGCCTCCTTACAAGCTTCCCGCCTCTTTCTCCAACACTGGAACGAAACCGGCATCCAATAAAACACCCCCAGTGGCTGCGCTCACCTGAGATGGTGGAGACAAGCAAGCCCTCGCTCACTGATCTGGGGGCAGCCAGCCAGCGAAAGCTCCTCCAGCACATCTGCAAAGCTGTGAAACCGGCCCAGGCTCCAGTCGTCGATGTTGGGGCACCTGCTCAGGTCCAGCTGCTTCAGGGCTTTCAGATTCACTACAGGAGGGGCCAGAAAAAAAGAAGTAAAGCTCTAAAACAGGCTGTGACACCATCCCCAGGCGCAGGGCACCACAGAACGAGGTCCTGGCTCCCACGACGGCAGGACCGCAACGGGGGCTCCAAATTATTTGGCACTTCGATAAAGAGCTAAGGCAGGCATTGAGGATGCCACCATTGCTTTCCATTCCAGAGTGATCAGCTTGTTCACATGCCCTCCCTTCTTGCAGATTAACCACAACAGGCTACAGCAAAAACCGCAAAAATTGTAGCCACTGCCTTTAAAATAAAATAGGGTATTTTACCAAAGCCAAAATGTGTGTAGTTTATAAGAGAACAGAAGTCCTGTTACGTGTAAAGCACGGTGTATTTGTTTGCCCTTAATATACATTTTAGAATGTGTATGAATTCGGGCAATTTTAGCTAAGTACAATTTTTGCGTTTATTATTTTTGGGCATCATGTGAAATTACAGGGGGGCAAAGTGGCCCCCAACTGAAGTGAGGATTCCCTCAGCTCTTCCTTTTTGGAAGGTTATGGAGGGCACAATGTAGCTAACATGGGGGGAGTTGGGGGGCTTGTGGGTTTCACTAAGGACCCTCACTTCTTTGAGGACTTCAAAGGAGTCCTCAAGTAAATGAGGTTTCGGTTACCTCCCCCACCCCCATAATTTGAGAACTCTGTGAAATTGCCAGGGGACAGATTTGAACCCAGAACCTCCAGTGGATTACCCTTACGTTAAGGACTACAGCCTTGCAGGAGCCACGCACCCAGGTTATCCAGACCCTCATAGCTGATGAGAGTCCCGCTGAGGTCAATGGCTTCCACAAGGACCTCTTGGCCCACTGTGAGATTCAGAGTGCTCTGCCAGCTTTTGATGCTCCCATAGTGACACGTCCTTTGGCCCTGGCACCTAAAACAAAACACACGTCAGTCTCATACAGCTCCAGCAATGTAAATCGTGCTTCATGGGGCGGCTCAGGCCAAAGCTGGCACGTTAAGGGTGTACATGCAGATTTGAGTCTGTAAAACTTTTGGTCCTTCCCCATCATTGAGGCAGGTTGTGGAACAGCTCTTTTCTTGGTGCAGAATTAGAGGGCGGCTCTCCTGTGTAACCCAGACTGATTGGCTTGAAATACCGTTACCCTGTTTTCTGAACGTAGCTCTGGGTGCAAGCAAAATAATTAAAGGCAGAATGCTCTGCATGGCTGGCTAGGGAAAGCCAGGACTTCTGTTTGCTTGTTTAAATTTCAACAGGATCACACCTGTAACGACATTCATTCATAATCAAAACTAGCTGCGTAAGATGCCCCCCATGTTTGCTGCAGTGACAATGGGCTATAAAGGCGACAGAAAAACGCATCCAAGAAACAGCCAATAGAATCCAGCTGCCCTCAAGGGACCAGTATCCTCCTACAAGGTTTTTACAGCATCCCCATTAGGGCGAAAGACACTGCCAGAGTGCACGTTACATACCTAACGCCTCCCTTTAGATTCAGGACAAAGGCAACGGCTACAAGGTCGTCTCCATGGTGTTGACATGCCTCAAGAAAGTGCCTAAGAATGAGGTTGGACAAAGGTATCATCATCATCTTCACATTGCATTTGTATCCTGCCTTTTTAACTGCTGTGAGGAACCCGAGGTGGTTTACACAGCTCCATCTTATCCTCATAACAACAACCCGGTGAGGTAGGTGAGGTGGAGAATGAGTGACTGGCTCTAAGTCATCCAGGGAGGATCAGGGCTGAGGGGGGCCTCAAACCCAGACCTCCCCGTCCTCATCCAACACTCCAACCACCACACCACACTGGCCAAATGCATTTTAAAATCGTTTTCAGAAAGCTCTCTGTGTGGCACGTTTATATGTATATGGTTTTCATTATATACTTTGAAGACTTTAATCTTTGTAAACCATCTAGAGAGTGTCTGCTATTGAATGGTACCGAAGTGAATAAATTCATTGAATAAAGGGAATGAAAAGCAACTTGGGGAGATCAGAAACTAACTCTGTGAGATGGACATCCTGCTTATCCATTTTCAATCTGCCAAAATGGATAAAACGGCTTCCGGATTAAAGAACAGACGTACGCAACAGTAAAACCTTTTTAAAGCGCAAAAAGCAGAAGGGCAGCACAAAATGTGATAAAAGAGCAGAATGCAAGTCTGCAAATTAACCATGTTGCTGCAGGAGAGAATTCTCTCAGCTACCAAAGGTCTAGAAACTTGGCTGAAAAACACCCCTCCCCACCCCCACAAGGGCATATACCTGTTTTTCCTTTGAAGATTCCACTTCTTTAGACTATGGATTGTCTGTGCAAAATATTCAACATCGTAGAAGTGCTTGCAGAGATATCGGAAGACCCTGTTTTTCACAGAATCAGCAGGGAGACCTGTTGAGTTGCTATTGTGCCGAGCGCTGGTGTACAGCAAAGAGATGAAACCTTTACTGCGTCGCATCTGGGAAAATAATAAACCAGTCAGAAGGGAGAGAATTATTTGGAGAAGAAGGCACATTCAAGTGAGATATACAGTTCCAGGGAAAGGAGGTGAGGATCTCCTCACAACTTCTCGTGGCAGCTGACCACAATTTATTTCTGCTTATTAACTTTCTCCACACCATGCACAACTTTATATGTTTCTATCATATCATTACTCACTCCTTTTCTAAGCTAAAAAGCTTCAGGCAGTGTACATATTTTTCCACAGGGGCTTTTTTTCTCATAGGGAATTCACTGTTTCACCCCCCGAACCATTTTGGTTATTCTTTTCTACACCACTCCCAACCCTACACCATCCTTTTGGATGTGTGGAAACTAGAGCTGGGCATTATGTTCTAAGACTGGCTGTGCAATAGATTCAGATATAGGCAAACAATATCCACAGGTTTATTTTAAAATAAAATAAACTTTAGATTCCTCTCCAAATATTTGTCAACACGGATTTCTTTCTTTCTCTTTCTTTTCAGCAGCATCATATTGGGTTGACATTTCCATCAAACTATCCACCCAATATTCAAACAATCCCAATATTCCTTTCTTGGTCAGTCACTGCTCACTCAGATCCATCAGTGTGTATGTGAAATTAGGCTGTTTTGCTTCAGTATTGGACACTTTACATTTGCTTACACTTAACTGTATTTAAACTGTATTTTCTCAGGAAAGTCAAGGTGTTGGTCATAAGTAGTTAAAAGTGTAGGAATCTGTACCAGAAAGAAGTGGTAACCTGACATTTAAATGTGCTTACATACAGTGCTATATAAAAGAGATATTGAACCATTAAAGAAAACTCTACTGACATACTCTTCTGAGTTTATAGCACCACCAACTGGTTAACCCTCCCAGCCACACAGCAAACAACACTGAAGCTCTCCAGATCATCTCTCTCCACTCAGGACAAATGAATCTGGAATGCACAGCTCCTGAGTGTTTAAAATTCTGAGGATACCTTCCCATAATCACCCCACCCTTCTTCCAACACAAATACTAAAACAACCATCAAACTTTCTGAATAGAACTCCTTAAAATCTCAATAGCTTAAAAAACAATAGCAACAACTTTCATATAAACACACCTGAAAACGACATCAGAATCCACATGCCTGCCAAAATAAACTATGTTTTCAGACTTTAAATAACTGATCTGCATTTCCTTATAAAGATACATGAGATGTTATTTTCCACTGCTACTGTTCCTTTAACAGAACCCCCGAAATACAAAAATGCAAGCAGCGAAGCATCCTTAAGCATCCATGCCAAGAGACGCTTTTTCTCCTAAACTTCAACAGGACTTACTATCGGTAAAGACCAAAGAGAGAATTTAAGAAGGCGTGGTATCCCCTGGCAGAGAAATGGAGGGGGGGTGTGGAGCTTCAATTGCTTGCTTAACGCACGCTAACGCTAATGGTGCACCAGTAAGGCCAGAAGACGCGCTGGCAACCTCAGGTGCGGATGCAAAGAGGCGTTAAAAACGTCAGCTCCCCCTTCCAGAAAACTGCATGTATTTTTCGGCTTGCAACGCCCGCCCGGAAAAAGCACACTTTTCGTTCTCCATAAGGGGCCCTGTAAAAATAAATACTTTTCCTTTGCAGCTCCACTAGTATCAGACTTGAATCCTCTCCCCTGCAAACTGCGAGATCAGCCCGCCCAGCAAAACTATAAAGGAGTTCCCGCAGGTCACTTACCAACATGTGCGCGGCCATCTTGAACAGGACATGTGACACCGCGGTGGGGAAAGCTCCGCCTACCTGCCGACCTGACTGCGCATGCGTCTTAAACCGGGCTCTGTAAAAACGAAGCCAAAGATGGGCATACTTTGATCTTACCGAGCGAACGGCGCGTCCAGCTGCGCGGAAGTGCACGTGAAGCGCGCAGAGCGATCCCATGCTTCTAGATCAGGCGGAGAAATGCAGAGGGGAGGAAATCGTCCAGTATATGCATAGTGTTTTCCTTCTGGAAAAGTCATGAGTCCAGGCGAAACGCCCGCAAACTCTCTGGCTAGCTGCCCGCCAATTAGAGGGCATTTTCCTGGTTAAGAGTGCAATCCTGTTTAAATCTAGACTTTTTTTCCCTATATAGACTCGCAGCGGATCGTGCTTTTAGCCAACATTTCTGCCTTTTGTCCAGCTCCGACAGAGGATTTCAAGCCAGGATAAATATTTATTTTCCTAATTATCTCTAAGATTATTGTGATAATTATTTAAATAAGAGACGGTGGGTGTCTCTGCATTTTCTGCAACTATTCAAGGGCACTGTCCATACAATTCATTGTTATCAAAGCGGTGCCTCGTTGGAGCACTCAGCACATGGCCAGAGACACTGTCTCCTTTGGGGACAGTACTAAGCCAGTGTCCCTTGCAAAGGCAAGGCATTTTGCACATTTTGCATGTTTACTCATACATCAGTTCTGTTCCTTCCAGACAATAGCGGGAAATAATATTTTAGCCAGTGTCATTTCCTTGACCAGCTGCTGTATGATAGAGTCTTATTTTCTCCCAGGAAAACCAGTAATTCCTTGGCTTCTGACCGAGCTCATAAGAGCTTTGCTGTATCAGGTTGAGGATCTATTAAGCCAAAGTTCTGTTTTCAACAGGAGCCAACCATATTGTTCTGGCAAACTGGGGGGCACCACCTTTCCGCTCAGCATCTGTTCAGAGACAGACTGCCTCTGGATGTGGAGGCTCCACTGTTTCCTGCATTTCTGAGGCGCCATTCCTGATGTAGCCAAAGCGGAACCACCCGTGCCAATGGGGAAGAGATGGGAAAGGTCACCGAAGCCTCAGGAAGGGCTTGGTGTGTTCAGCAGGCACAAGATATTCACTGACCCGCGGTAGGCAGGGGAAACTGGGTGGGAGAAGGAATGGAGTATTCTGAGAGGAGGCATGGCTGGAACTGAGGAGCAGCAATCTATTCCACGCTGCAATATTTTGTTGCGGTTCCCTTTGTCTGGCAGAATGAACCAGCGATGACTAATAGCTGCCGGCTGACTGGCCCTGGATGAATGTGCTGAACCCGTTGAAGCAAAACGAAACACCCACTGCTTAAGGCAGAGACTTCAGCACATCCTGTGGGAGGGCAGGCATTCCTTCCGTGGATGATCGCGGGGTGAATGCCTCCCTTTCGGACTCCTGGGCCTGCCACCGGCCCACCGCACAGCGTCCCCCTCTTCGCGTGTGTTGGCAGCCGGTTCTTGTCCTGCTGCTGACCTGGTCCTGGAGGGACTTTGTTTGCTCTGGGGCAGAAAGAGAAAACAAGGGCGGGCATGCGAAGTCTTTGTCACCAGTTCAGCATCTGAACTTTGAGCTGCCCTGGCGCCGGGCGTGTTTCTTCCGAGCCTTTCAGAGGCATTCCTGGCGTCAGCAGCTGCTGTGCAACGAGTCAGTCGTTTCAAAGTTGCCTTGGACCATTGGAGGAAAGGGTCTCGGAGGCACTAGAGGAGCAGCTGGGTGCCCACACTTACCTGCTCAGGTGTCCCACCCAGCAGACTCCTCTTCCATCTCCTCCCTGGACCAGAGAAAGGACCTGTCCGTGTTCCTTTCCCCTCCATCCATGCCCCTGCATTCCATGAACTTCCAAGCTCCTTGCATCCCAGCTGATCGCCGTTGACCTCGGAGGCCTCTTCGTGATTCACTGGAAAGGGATTTGGACGAGCCGCTATGAAGAGGCAAGGGCAAGCATTCCCAGAACTGGAGTCAGGAAGGTAAGTTCTGATGATTGTATCAGTGATCCCCGTAAGAGGCAAATAAGCCTCCTTAGACCACCTGCTGGCAAAAAGGAAAGAAAAAGGGATAGGAAGCAGGGAGAAACACACACGACTTCAAGTTTCAGTAACCTTAAAATAACCCAAGAGTTCAGGAATGAGATCCTGAGTAGCCATGCTGGGTTTCCCCCACCCCTCATTTTTCCTGACCCTGTAGAAATGCTCCTGGGACCCTAAACCACCCTTAGGAGAGGCACCTCAGCTCTTAAGTATGGGGGGTGCACAAACGGTGGGTGGTCGGAAGAAAGTCGTTATTTGTTTTTCGGCACCAGGCTAAGACCTTTTTATTCAAACAATTTTTTAACAATGTTTATAGGTTTTAATTGTGCAGCTGGGGTGTTTCTGGGTTTTAACAGTTTGTTTGTTTGTTTGTTTATTTATGTGAGCCGTCCTGAGGCTATATAGCAAGGGGACGGCATACAAAAACTTTAAATAAAGTAAAGGGGTGAGGCCCCCTGGGCACCAGGTCTATATTCAGCTGTGGGACTGAAAGAGGTTCCTTATACCTGCATTGGCTGGAGGGAAAGATCTTGGTTTTAGCACCCTTGCACTAAAGGAGACCTTGGCGAACGCTGCCTCTGAAAGACTGCATCGCAGCCGTGCCCACGAACGAACGAACGGGGCTCGAAGGGACGGAGGAGGGGCGGCTGACGATGAACGCCATTAACTGCATAATTATTGAAGGGAAAGGCGTCTGGGTGCGTCGGGTGTACGAACTGCAGTGCCCTCCATTACTTAATAACGGCACAGCAACAAGACACGGTTTCTGTTTGCTTTTGCCGCTTGGAGATCCAGGCACAAGTTTGCACAGGAACCCTGGAGCCCTCCTTAAGGGAGTCTGCTGTAAAAGCCCTGGAGGTACCGGGATGTGTGCGGTTCTGAGTTCTTATTCTGTGCGGGAGGAATAGGTCGGTTCGCTGCCAGCATCCACGTCAGCATGTCTGACGGGGACGACAATGGGATCGGCTGGCGCTGGCGCTGGGCATACAGCTGGGGCACAGCAAATACTGGGCAGGATATACCGTTGAGGCCTGAGAGGGGGAGAGATGTGACCACGAAGAAAGATGCACCTGCAAGGCCCAGAAATGACAGGAATGGGCACCTCCACTCCAGAGTCTCTGCCAGGTGTCCCCAGCTTCTCTGAACCGGCACACACGTCTGCGCATTCGAGAAACTGCTGCAGGTGCCACCACCAAATGGCTCTCCTGGGAAACCTGGTTATTGTCATCACCACAGTTACGGCTCACCTTTCTTCCTCTCACAAGGAACCAGAGGCGCACCAAGTTCTCCACTGTATCCTCACAACAACCCTGTGAGGTAGGCTAGAGGGAGGGGTGGTGACTGGCTCAAAGTCACCCAGGCAGCCTCTTGGCTGCATGAGGACTAGAACCCGCGTCTCTGTAGGCCCAGTCTGGCATTCTAACCACTACACCAATCTGGCTCCAGCAAAGCTAGAGAATGGGGGAGAGAGGAATCTGCAAGTGTAGGAATAAAGAAAGACAACTCCCTAGCATCTCCCAAGCTTCCTATTTTAAAAGGAAGCCGTTTGAAGGAGCACCATGCGTTGGCGTCACTGTTGTCGGTCTCTGCAAGCACCATCCCCGGGACCATATTTATAGCTGGAGCAGCCAGTCTGGTTGGGGCTTGTCAGGATGCTGCCCTTTAATCGTTGCCGTACCTGCCCAGGTGCGTAGGCCACTGGGGGATGAAGGGCCCCCTCCCCACAGAATCGGAGGGCCCTTACCAAAGTGCTTGTGAGGACCGCTCCACACACAACAGGTGTCCACACTGGCATTTGTGCCGCTGCCCCAAATCCTTCGGCGGTAGATGCTCACCATGCGATGAAAGAGGCACCCGAGGCGGCCAGCAGCGTGTCCCCGTCAGAGCCTCTTGGAGGAAACTAACCAGACCCTCTTGATCTTCCAGGGACAGCCTTGAACCTGGAGCAGAGGATCCTCCGGCAGACACCTGGCCCTGGTCCAATGATGAGGAGGACCCTCCCTTCAAAGGGCTGCCCCCTTTACCCAAACTGTTTAGGAAGTGCAGCCTGTCTGCATCGTGTCTGCCTGGGAAGGAACAGCAGGAAGACGACGGAGCATTTGACGAGAGCCGCTCCAGCCTCCAAGACAAGATGACCTGGCTGCACGGAGAACTGGTGGGTCCTCCCGGCACAGTGGAAGCAGCGGCCTCCCAGCGGTTCTCCGCCATCGCCGTTTGTCTCCGGCTTCTGGGAGCCCAGTGAACGGCCTGTCCTGGACAGCCGTGCTCAGCTCTTGTGAGCTCAAGGCTGTGGCATCACCCCATCTCTTTGCTGGCCTTCCTCCTCTTCTGTCTTCGACTTTCCTTACTGTTACTGTCTTCTCCAGTGAGTCTGACCTTCTCCTCATGAACTGCAGAAGCTGCGGTTTCATTGTTTTTGCTTCCAGGGCAAGTTCTGGCTTGATTTGGTCCAGCACCTGCTTGTCTGTCAGTCTGGGGATTAGCAAAGGTCTCCTCCAGCACCATATTTCAAATACTTCTGATTTCTTCCTGTCGGCTTCCTTCACTGTCCAGCCGTCACACCCAAACCTCGTGATCAGAACTAGAGTACTGTGGCTGACCTTGCCCTTGGGCTCCGGTGACACATCCTTACACTTGATTATCTTTTCTAACTGCTACATTGCTGCCCATCCAAGTCTCTTCTGCAAATTTCTTACCACCAAACTCCCTTGGAACGGGAGTCAAGCTGCACAGAATCGTTCACAATTCCAGTTTCTTAACTGTTGACATTAAGGTTGTGCCTGGTCCCAACTTTTGTTATCTTAAAAGTTCAGCTGTGGTCCTGCTTTTGCATTTGCTTCTTTCACTTTCATCAGGAGTCATTTCAATTCCTCACTGCTTTATGGTGTCATCTGCATATTTTAAACGCTTGATTTATCTTCCAATGTCCTCTCCTTTCTCTGCTTCTGTGGTATGTTGTGTGTAGATACACAACACCCTTCTCTGATGCCTATTGGAAACTGTGAGCGTGCCTTAGAAATTCTGTTTCTTTGGTCAGTAGCCTAAGCTTTTTCTGCTTTTACTACAGGACATGTCTTTCTGGATGTTTCCTTAACAGTCTCTGTTTCAATCTGCTGTTCTCTGGATCTCTCAAAACCCCTCACCACACCAAGATACACATTCCAGGGGGGGAAGAGTGCCCATGAGACCCTATGTCCAACTGGAAGGGTATGCAACACCGTGCTGGCCAGGTTTTGGACTGCAGCACCCATCAACCCCAACCAAAATTTATTTATTTACTTACTGTATTTCTGTGCCATTGAAATTCGCATTGTGCTTGCGGAATGGTCTACACCAGGCGTTGATATCAATTGTCTCCTTCACTGTGCAGCTGAGATTGCGCCTGGAGGACCTGGAGCTTTTCAACCAGCTCTACACTCTCGCCCTGGAGATCCAAGACCTGAAGGAGCTGCACCAGGAGATGGAGGCCTTCTCCAAGGAAGAGCAGCCCCCAACGGAGCAGGGCCAGCGGGCGGAAGAGGGCGCCCGCTCTGCAGCAGCCTTCGAACTGACCATCTGAACTGACCAACTCGTGCTGCTCCTTGACCTGTGACCACTCATTCACACATGCAAGCCAGGGCCCGACACCCCAGCTGCGGCGTGCTCAAAACACGGCTACGAACCTGCCCTTGCTTCCAAGAACAATCTGGATTTGAAATGTAAGGAGGGATTGTCAAATTCTTGCACTCCACAATCAACCCCTGCGCAATCCAGAGGCAATGGGGCAGCCCTTAGATTTTTTCCAGGGAGAAACATCAGTTCTGCATTTAACTTCTGCCTACATGGGGTCTTTTTCTATTGCTGCTGGAAACTGCCCATGTGCTTCTTGCAGCCCTCAAAAGGGGAAGATGGTTTCAAACCTCCACGGATATTTTCCGACCTTTTCGTACTGGCCCAGCTGCAGGGTCTTTCACACACAAATGTTAAGATGAGACATTTTCCCGATGAAATGCAGAGCAAGATTTCACCCTCCAAATTGCTGAAGTCGGAGAGCAGTAATGATAAAGCAAAGTGCAGGAACCCTATACCCAGCCCAGCTACCTTTCCAAAGGTAGACCTGGCTGCAGGGACTGAATACTGTGGTAGTAATAAGGATGACTCAATTGTTTGTTTGTATGTATGTATGTATATATATAAAAATGTAATGGCAATGGAAAGTGTACAGAAAATTAAAAAGGACAATGATTGCAGTGCCATAAAGATCTCGAGGGAGGCCTTCGCGCTCAGGGCGGTTCCAAGCTGGTCTTCCCGGCGAGATGCTCTGGCGCCACCAGCCTTCCCCCTGGTCCCTCAGAGGCCTTGGGGCACCCTTCTGGCCAATTCCAGCCACTGGCCAACCTGGGCGGAGATTTGCTGCGGAGAGACGGGAGGAAACTCGAGACTCGCCAAAGAGCTCTGTGCTGTTAGCAGGGCGCTCCGGATCTGCTTGGCCAGGACGCCCCCAGACGCCAAATTAGCAGGCCAATCACACGCAGGGACAGGATGCGGGTGCTGGCCTTACTGCGCATGTTTACTCACCGCGCCAATCTGACTGGGCAGCAGGGGGCAGTGAGCCCCCAGCGAGGCCGCTACCAGCACGAGCGTCTGCCCCAGCACGGGCTGCGTCCCTTCCCTTCGGATCCTCATCGGATCCAACGCTGGGAGAGCGTTTTCCCCAGCACTGCTGAGTTCCCCTCTTCATACAGGGAGATGCAAGCAGCCAGTTGGGGGGGGGGATGGGCAGAGAAGGGGTTCGGAGCAGCATGCCGGGTGCGGCCAGGGGGGTGCAGCTCCTCTGAGGCTTCAGCAACACGGCTTCCTAATATTCCCACAGACTTTCAGCCAGTGTACGCCAGGTCCTCCCCTAATCCAGGTTTTAAAAGCTGCCAGAGAGGTGCCCAGTAAAGTTAATCTTGACGTTCGAAGGCAGTGGGCCTCCGGGTACCAGATACTTGAGACAGACACCGAGAGGGACAGGCCTTTGGCCTGCCCTGGGCTAACTGCTGCTCCAGTCACTAGCCCATGACTGACCTTGAATTAGAATTTCTGGCGACAAAGCACATGCAAGGAACTAATGCCAGGCTGCATGGATCAGAAGGGAACTGGGGACTGACAAGCAGAAATGGAACATCCCCACCCCAGGAATGGGGGGGGGGGGGCTGGACCCCCGCCCAACCCTTTTCCCCGCCGCCCCCCCCCCCCCCCCGCAGCCTTCTGGACAGCCTTCCCTCCCCTCCTCACCTCTCTGGCCTGGACAAGGGGCAGCGGGTCCGAGGGCGTGGATGCCAGCATGTCGGCACAGTGGGCCGTGCCGCTGATTAGAATGGCCCGCTCGGAGCGGGTCTGATTCTGGAGGACGCTGAGCACGTGCCAAGGGTCAATGTCACCTGCGGAAAGGGCAGAGCGAGGTTGTCAGAGAGAGACTGCGGAGCAGAGGGCCAGCCTGTTCTAACAGGCATCTTGGAAGCAAAGGTCTAACATAGCTGTTCGCAATTGGGGCACTCCAAGGCTGTGGGACTACAGCTCCCATTATGCCCAGCCACTGGCCATCTAGAGGGCACCAAATGGGGAAGGTGGGAGTCATGTGATGAGGGAGAGCCAAAAGTCAGGCTGCAGTGCTTCCTTCTAGTGCTTCCCAAACCCACCGTACAGATGGATCGGACGAGGCTCACAAGAGGCAACCGCAACTCTTTTACCTAAAAAATTATTATCGTATTTATGCCCTTCTTCCCCACCTTCTTTTGCAAGGAGCCCTAAGCAGCTTCTGTCGTCCATCTCCCCAACATTTTATTTTCACAACAGCCCTGTGAGGTAGGTTAGCCTGAGAATCAGGCTAGCCCAAAGTTTCCCACTGAGGGGGCCACTGCAGAAAGTTGCATCAGCTGAAAGCACCAACAATTTGGTCATTGTATTTAGAGGATCTTGGTGGCCACTTATATGCTGACCAGAAGCCATTTCCTGGCCCCTGTAAGTCCAGGGTCGATCGCCCACTGCTGCTAAATAAGAAACGTGTTGATATATTTCCCCAGATCCTGACAGGAAGAATTCTCAGTGCTCCTTCACAATTCTAGTTCTTTGGGCTGCCAAGTGGGACTTTCCAAGAGGAGAGCAATGCCTGGGGGAATCCCAGATCTAGACCGGGGAAGAGGCTGATGGGCTGCGTAGTGCCAACGGCTTTCCCCGCTACCCAAACTGAAAACATCAAGAAAGGGCTCTGAGCTTGCATGCCAAATGGACACTGCCAACCCCATTTTCCTTGCGGCAGGGTCAGGGTTACCAGTCTCGCTGGAAAGGGCCCTGCATATGGGTGGAATTAGACGCGGCACCCCCAGCTCAGCCTCCGTACCGTTCACGAAGAGGACGCGGGACGCTTTGGGGTGGTCGGCCCCATAGTAGTCATTGGTGAAGGTCACCGCTTCCCGGACGCTGCTGGCAGAAACGTTGTAGACTGCCGAACAGATCCTGAGCTCGTTCGCCAGGGTCAAAAGGCGGGAGAAGGGGCAGGAAGAGTCCTCACAGGTTTGATCTGAAAGGGAAGAAAAAGAATTGGGACCCTCCGGGTACAGGGACTGGGGCCACGATGGGGGACTTGGGAGGGAGGGCTCCAGAGTGGCTGTGATGCCACTCACCGTGTCTGTTCTGGTGGAACTCCTTTTTTTTTTTAAAAAAAAGTGAACATCCTCGAAGGGAGGGAACCAGACTGGACCACCGTTTGCCCCTGCACGGGCTTCATCCTTGCTGTGGTCCTGGGGCAGAATCAGGCCAGCTCATTGCAACCACATGCTGTGGTCCCAGCCCAGTTCAGCTTCCACTCTCCCCATCAGCCGTTCCTCTTGGAAAAGCATCGTACTTGCCGTGGTAACAGATACAAATACCACTGAATCTTACGTGGTGTTATGAATATTTATACTCTGCCCTTCTCCCCATGTTAGTTCCGTAAAAGTAAAAGATGTTCGTGCAAAGAGATCTTAAATATGTAATTTTTCACATCCTGGTATAAGCTCTGTTGAGGCATGTGAGCAATTTTGAGAATAATACCAGCTGTGGAATTGTCTAACTGCAGAGCATTTTGGTTTTGCATGTTTTTGAAGGAACCCCAAATAAAAGTTTTGTAGGTTTTAATTTTCTTTGCAGTCGCCTTTCTGAAGTGCATTGGGTAGTAATAAATATAACATAAATATATAATATTTATTTACCTTTGTAGAGCGTCCCATTACTGACGTCAGGACGGTTTAACAATGCAAAATGTAAATAAATAAATAAAATTTAAAACGCGACGTCCTAAAATTTAGCTAGTAATAAAACCCCAGACACCTGAAACTACCTTCTATCCAGTACACAAAGGGGGGAGGAGGAGTCTGAGCCAGAGGTGGAGCTTTGGATGGGGGAACCTGGTACTTGTCTACTTTTGCCCTTTGAAATCAGGCGCAACAGTTGCTGGATTTGTTCTGCCCAAGTGCACTTTGAAGAAAGGGTGGGAGTGAAGCCGAGGACGATTTTCTGGGGTGGGCGCAGGGGGCTGCTCCAGTTGGCATCATTTAAGGTTGCAGCAGGCGAAGGGAACTGTTTGTGCTTCTCTTAGCAGAACAAAGGAAGACACTGCAAATATTTTAAGGCTCTCAAACAGAAACGGAGGAAGAGAAGAGTCACACTATGCACTGGATTTAATCCTTCACCTGCTGGATGACATTTTCTTCGACGGCTCATGGGTGTTCTTGGTTCGCCTTGCCAGTGGATGAATCCAATCTCATCTAGTTGGCTTTTGTTTATTAAAATACAAACTGCCCTTCGACAGTATCAGTGGGTCCCATCCCTAACCTCCGGTGCCCGCATGAGAATCAGAGAGCACTGGAATGTCCCATGGTTTTCACGGTTTGTTGACGGCACCGGGATTTTAACTCTTTCCTTAGAGGCGCCGACAGGTTTTACATCCCGCTGACTGCCACACGAGCATACCCGAATTACCGGGCCGGTGCGGCAGAGAGGGCAGAGCGCATGCGGAGCCAAAGGGGCGGGCAGAGCTGGATGCTCACTTACAGTAGCCAAACTCGGTACATGTCTGGAAGAGCCACTGCCTCATCATGCTTGACTCGAGGACCTGGGTACTGCGCAGTGTCTCCAGCCACGCCGCGTAAGAGCTGTCCAGGCAGAGAGCCAGCAGGCGGTGTAAAAATATCTAGCAGAAATAGGAGTCATTGGGCAGAAAAGGCTGTGTGTGAATGCCGGTACCGTGCCAGAAATGACATTCAAGTCCCACCCTCCTGATGTGTTGGACTACAACTCCCGTCATCCCCAGCTAGCATTGTGCCAATGCTGTTCTTCGCTACCCTTCCCATGGCGCATCTGGGAAAAGGAGCCAAGCGCTCCTTGCTCAGCTGAAATGTTGCAGAATCACAGAGTTAAGAGAACCGGGAGTTGTGAAGAAAAAGGCACCTGCACTGGGGCCTTGGGTGTTTTGGTGGCCTTCAAAGGAGGATTCCTGATTGAAGGAGAGAAGCGAAGGAACCTTCTTCTCCGGAGATGCCTGCCACCCAAAGATTTGGGAACACATCGCTGGAAAATACTCGTAAGCCTTTTCTGCAGAAAGTGCAGGCTAGCATTGAGGGAAGGGGCCTAAACCGACTGAAAATATTCCGCTGGCTTATTAATAATGTTTGCAGCTCCTTAAAAAAGCATCCCATGAGATTTTGGCACTTCTAATAAGCGGTCTTAAGCCAGCCTTCCCTAACTTAGTGCCTTCCATATGTCCTGGACCACAACTCTCTCCCAGCATGATGGGAGCTGTAGTCCACAATATGCTGGGAAACCAGAAAGATGGGTGAAGAGTATCTTATCTCCCACCCCTACTTCAAAAAGGGGGTGGGGGATAAGGTACAGGGGCTCTTGCTGAGCCTCGGGGAGGCACCCTGCCCACTTCGATACAGTCTTAAATAAATAAATAAAGCCGGTCAGCCCACAGAAGCTCAGCGCTGCAGTTTTTGCCTCCTGGCCTGCCGGGGGCCCGCTGAGGAAAGAGGGAGAGCCACCTTCCCGCACTAGGCCCTGGGGAGCAGGCTGCAGCCTGCTTGGCCTCTGTGAGGATAAACGGAGATTGTTCGCCTCCACGGGAATCCAGCTCACCAGCGGCGACCAGGCTGCTGTTTAAATAAAGAAGCCCACTCACGCTGTTGACAGTGATCAGCCTCTGATAGGCGGAACCGATGCTGGCGTTGGTCATGACGGCACACACGCTGGCCACGGAGCCCCACTCGCTCGCGCCCTCGCCGTCGTACTGCACGGCGCCCATGAAGTAGTCGGCCAGGTTGCTGAGCAGGAACACCGAGTCGTCCATCCCCTGCAAGGCCTGGCAGGAGTGGAAGTCCTTTGCGAGCCGGGCCAGCTGCCCGGCGTGCACCAGGCTCTCCACGGCGAAGAAGGCCTCGGCCACTGCCTCCAGGCACTGCGGGAGAGCGGAGAAGGCGTGTCTGGAGGGTCTTTCGGCAAAAGTGCGGCGCCGCCGGGGCAGGAGAGAGCCAGAACCGGGCCACCTTCCCAACCCGGCCTCCTCTGGATGGGTTGGGCTACAAGGCCCGTCTTTCCAGCCAGCTGCCTGAAGCCCCCTGCCCTAGTGGCAGAGAAGGGGGGAGCAGCTGGGGGCTGAGAGAGCTTTGTAAGGGGAGGGTGCAGAGAGCTCGGCCTCCTGGGTTCCCCTCCCGCCAGCCGCCGTGTAAACGGGTGCAGAGGGACAGATGTTGAAATGATACATAAAAATAAATAAATAGGGGGTTCATGGATTCGCTGGGAGGCCTCTTTGCGGGGACAGGAGGCACCATGCCAGGCACTTGGGCAAAGCAGCCTTGCCCAGCTCAGCACCCTCCAGATGTGCTGGCAAAGGCACCCATCCTTCCCAGCCCACCTGGCTAGTCCAAGACACCCAGGGATGCACCTGGTTGGGAGGGGCCAACTCAGAGTGCTGCGAGCTCTTGATAGACCTCCTCCCAGAAGTCCCTTCCACCTCCCGGGAAGGCAGGCTGCCCGCTGAGCGGCGGGCTCAGCTCCTCCGTGGCAGGCAGCAAGATGTCCCAGGGTCACCGCTCACTCCCCTTCACCCCCGGGCACGTTGGGGAGGAGCGCAGAGGCCTGCGGGATCCCCGGCGGGGAGTCGCAACTGCCGTCCCGTCCCATCCCTGGAAGCTCACTGCAGATGGACAGATTTATTTTTTTCCAGACCATCAGCTTGGCTAATGAACTGACCTCTCTGGAACCTCCAACCACGGGATTCACGAGACTTGCGGCAACAACCTAAAGAGGGCAGGCGCCAAAAGAGGAGGTTTAGGCACATCTGAATGAGCCCAGGAAGTTTAACTGGGCCCACCTAGCCCAGACCTCTCAATGGCTCTCGGGGTCCCAGAAAGGGGTCTTTCTCCACACCGCCCTTTCTCTCAGAGAGATCAGAAGGTCCTGGCACCTTCTGTACATCAAAGATTCAGCCCACCATCGAGATGGAGGAAAAGATCTGCGTCCAAGGTCAGCAGCGATGGGCCCTCAGCCCCAGCCGCCGGCAGCCGAGGCCACTGGCCTTAAACAATAGGGCGGACCACCCTCCCACCCGTCTGGTTGGTGGTGCAGCCATACAGTCCTTCTGAGGGCTTTGCATAACATGCTCCCACAGGTGGATGGGCTGGGGAAACCGAGGCAGCAGTGTGCGTACCGCTTGGTCTATGTCCGTGTTTTCGGCAAGGTTATACAACTAGCAGGGGGAAGCCCACCAAACGCCAAGGGCCCCTGGCCAGGCGCCCTCACCTTGTCGTAGCCCGTGAAATCCAGCTGGGCTCGGACGGGGGCAGAAGAAGCCACAGCAGCGAAAACCAGGTGGGGATACTGAGCGGAAAGGAAGAGAGAGAGAGAATTATTTTCTCCTGGGATCAGCCTTTCCCAAGCTGGCTCCACCCAAACCTGCGATCAGCTCCCATCACTCCAAGGGGCTGGAGATGACGGGAGGTGAAGTTTGGGTACAGCATTGGGGGTGGTCGATCTAGCCCTTTGGCTGCAGATGAGCAACTGGGGACCCAGGAGTTCATTGGGACCCAGGAGTTGCTGCTTTGGGCCGCCACCCTGCTGTGCCTCCTCTCCTGTGCACCAGGGTCTCAGCCTGAGACTTCCAGCACCTGCATGAGTCCCAGGCCTCCTCACAGGACGCTCCCCAGGCCTCACCTTGAGTCTGAACCAGGCAGCCAGGTTGCCAGGATAGGAACCTCCAAAGCAAATCCAGGTGTTGTTCAGGGTCAGCTTATATTTCTGGGTAATGAAGTCACGGAAGGGAAGGAAGTCGGCCAGACTGCGGAGGGAGAAAACAGCAAAGCTCGAGGATCCAGGACACAGGTGGGCTCCCGCAAGCCCCCTCAAAATGCCCTGATCATATCCTCACAGCAAGGGTGGCTGTAGGGTAAGGAAAAGGCGCCCCTTTCGGTGCAGGATTCTCAGTACGGCAATCGACGTATCAAACGGAGAGCAAGGAGGAGCTGTTCCACTCATTCCAAAGGATGCAACATTGCATTCCTAGGCAGGGACAGCAAAAGCTGACACCTCCCCCCAGCAGCCCTCCCCGAGCCCATTTCCAGGCCAAAACAAATTAAACTCTTGCAGTTCTGCTGGAAAAAAAGAACAATAGCAAGTTTCTAGCCCTCAAGGAGGTCTTGAAAACACATAGGCCCTGCATCAGGGATGCATGCAAAGAAGAACTTCAGGGGTGAGAGCTGCAAGGCTTCTTGTCACCAGAATTGGTTGTGAAAACTAAGCCAAGATATGGCTGGATGCCCCCCATGCACCCCCCGAGCTGTGGCCAGGTGCCGACTCACGCTTGCTGGCTGGTCAGGAACCGGAGGTTGTGGTCCTCCAGCCCGTCGGGGTTGAGGCTGGCGCCATAGAAACGGTGCTCCAGGGCCACCACCAGGGCGCCATACTTCCTGGCCATCTCCACGTGGTGCCCTGTAATCCGGACAAGAATGAGGTCAGCGCATCAGGGTCGTTGGACAGAGCCAAACCGGCCCCCTCCCAGGAAAGTTTTCTAATGGCCTGAGGGTCCCCTGCCCCTCTGTGCCCATACATTGCACTGTGCTTCCCCGCAGCAGGGGGGTCGCGGGGCCAAGCCCTGGCCCTCCCCAAGTGGTGTCAACAGAAGCTGGCTTTCTTGCTCTGCTTAATTGACATGCAAGAGGCAATCACCAAGGGGAACGGTGGCCGGGCAGGAAAGGGTCAGTCCTCCTCCTCCACATCCTGCTCCCCCAGATCTCCTGTTAGGGTGGAAAACTCAGTTGTGGGACAGAGACCACCAAGCAAGGGAAAAAGCCAAGCTTTTTGCTGTGAAAGGCTAGACCACTCGGCCCTTCTCCCCCAAAAGCAGGCACAAACAACCCTTTGTGTGCCTGGAAAAGACAAGGGGAAGCTGATCCTCATACCCAACCCCAAAGGCCCGCCCCAGACCTGTGGGCCCCGACTGTGCAGGAACCCTGCCTCTGCCAGGGAAAGGAATGCCCATAGGGGCATGCAGACTGGACCCCCATCACAAGCCCCCCTCCAGCAAGCCCCGGAGCGCATCACCCCTCTGAAGGGACCCTCGCTTGCAGCACGGCGCTAGGCTCAAGCCAAGGGCACGTACCCCACAGCACGTCATACTTGGATAAGGCGCTCTCGCCCCCGATGTAGAGGAACACCGGCCCACCAGGCCTCCAGTAAAGCGCATTCACCCAGAACCTCTGTGGATGGAGGGAAACGGGGAGAGGAGTCAGTGCGAAAGCTCGGCTCCGCAGCCCTCCAGAGGGGCTCACGGCGGCCAGGCTGCACCCCCGCCTGGGGCCCCTTGATCCTCGGATGCTTTGAAGGGGAGGGGGTGTCCTCAGGGTGGCTTGACTCTGCTGGCCACCACGCTCCTTGCCTCCTGAGCTATCAGGGGTCATGGAAGGACAGCCCTTCCACCACGCCTCCTTGCGGCTAGCAAACCCAGGCAAGCGGCTACCTCGCTCCATGCCAGCCCCCAGCAGGCTAATCTGGGGAGGGGGGTCCTTTGCACTGGCTGATCAAACTCCCCGACAGGAAAGACAATCCAGTGTCAAAGCAGCCTCACTTCCAAATCGTCCCCCAGGGACTCACCATGCTCTTGATTGTCAACATGGAGAACAGCTTGTCATTAATAATCTATTTATCAGATTTCTATCCCCCCACCCCATTTTCCTTACAATGCAGCCTACATTGTTCTCTTCCTCCTGCTCTGAATCTTATCCCCACAACCACAACCCTGTGAGGTAGGTCGGGCTGAGAGTCTGTGACTGGCCGAAGTCACTATTCTTGAGGCCATTCTGCTTGGCCATCAAAATAAACTTGTATACCCTTCATGATATATCCCTTCAGCTAACTACCAGTAACATCCAATCAGCTCCAGATGTGTTGGACTACCATTCCCATCATCCACCAAAGGCTGACTTAAGCAGCCTTCAACTTCTGGATTGTCTTCTCTCCTGGCCAATCGCATTCCTTATGAAGCTCCCACCCGTCACCTTTCCTGACCACCTGGCCAAGAAAACCACAGGTGAGGTCTCCTCCCAAAGCAGCTTAAACAACCTGTTCGCCTCCATTCATCAGCTCCCATCACCAAGGCGACCACGACCGGTTTAAGACGCTGCAGACTCTGGCACAACTAAGCCCAGGTCTCCTTAGATCTATTCCAGCCTCACTGAGGTCACAGACGGTGTGATGTTGAAACACGGGGAGAAAGTGACAATATAATCCTCCTTCACAGTCACCCTTTCTGAACGTTGGACTCTCTCTCCGTGCGCGGCCAGCAGGATGCCGAAGCAAGCAAAGGCAAGGAAGTGCCTGGAAATGTTTACTCAGCAGCCAGACCTGGACTTTGCTTCCTCCTGTTCCTGGACACACCTTTGAAGACATGGCTCCCTTTGCGGTCTTCATATGCAACACAAGAAGCGCATGAGAATTCTTGTCCACAGGAGTGTCTTTTTTACTCTTTTGCATGGGGGAGAGCCTGCGAAACACCACTGGGTCGCGTTCGGCTCCCGCACTCCACCTCCCTTGGCTCTTGCCTCTCTTCCCGCCCCCTGGATTGAACTTTGATGGCAGGCTCCTCGGGGCAGGGGCCTGCCTTTCTCTGCCCACTGCACCACAACTGACTTCTTCCTATGGGGAACAGCCCCGCTGCAGAAAGAGGTCTCCTGCCTCACCCCACACGCTCTAAATGCCCCACAGTGTTCTGGTTCTCTATGGGGAGTGGTGACTTGTCCCCCGTTCCACTGCGGAGGGGCACCCCTCTCAAGTCCGGGAAAGAACATCTGTGGGCAAAGCAGGGCGGAGGAAGGGACACATAGGCAGGTCTGGCCCACCGCCTGCCCACAGGAGCTCGCAGCTGTGATTTACCTGGTTGAAGGTGTGGCGGTCCTGCCAGCTGAAGTGGTCCAGGGGCTGCCGGATGCTGCCACTGCCGAGAAAGCTCCATGCCCTGCCTTCCGTCCCCTGCTTCAGGAGCCCCAAGCGACCATAAGCCTCGGCAGCGTGTTTCTCCCGCTGCTGCAGGATGTGCTGCCGGAAAAGCCAGAAGTTTTTGCCTGGAGGGTGGGAACAAAAAGGTGGAAAAGCTGGAATTTCCTGAGCAATGCTGGACTCCGTGTGCTAAGACAGTATCCGAACCAGAGAACAGTAAAAGCAAAGATTAGAGCATCTTGCAAGGCTGGCCCTGCCATGAGGCGGACCGAGGCAGCTGATTTTGGGTGTTGCAAAAGAGCAGCGAGTTCCTGGCTTTTTGGGGGGGGGGGTCCCCTTGAGGTGGCTTTTCTTTTTCCCTGTGAGAGATGAACAGCCCGTGTGGCTTTGGGTGCTGCCCCCCTTGACCACCCCATGGTGGGCGAGGTGCCACCCGCTGCTCGGCTCAGGCAGCAAGCGCCCTCGGCCCTGATCCAATGGAGCTTGAGAGGGTGCGTGTTCTCCCCCCATCTAATTCACACAACCCCATGAAGCAGGCTTAGACTGGGGGCAGGCAACTGGCCCAGGGGCACCCCGTGAGCTTTGGGGTGCAGGATCTGGCTCTCCGCATCCACACCCTGCCCCCCATTTTCCATTGCTTGTCACCAATGGCAAGCCCTCACGAGGGTAGTTTGGCTCTTTTGTTCGTGTTCTTTTTGCCCACCAGCAACTGTAAATATAAATGCTAACTTGCCACACGCCTTTCCATCCAAGAAGCCCAAACTGGGCATAGATGATCTATTTAACCCTTATGACAACAACCCTGCGAGGTAGGTCAGACTGAAAGCCAGTCACCAGTACAACGTCACCCAGTGCGTTTCGTGCTGGAGCAGGGATTTAGACCGAGTGGGACCAATTTCTACCCGACTGACTAGAAGCAAGAGAGAGACAAGAAATATTTGTGCACACCACAAAAGAGAAGCCTCTATCCAGCTGTTTGCAGCTCTCTCGGAAAGGAGTGTCTCTTGCTGGCCTCCACGGCGGTGGGACATTATATTAAGGCTGCTTTTGGGAAATCGAAACCATCCGGACGAAGCCAAGCACTTGCTGATTCTCCATCAAGTGCAACCACTGCCTCCCGCTCTCTTGCTTCCAAGAAGCCAAATGCTGAAGTTGCTGATCAGATGGTCTCCACTTCCTGTTAGCAGCACAGGTTCAGCCCACAAGGAGCGCTGCGCTACTCATGAGGCGCAGACTCTTCAGGGTGGGATCCAGGCAGAGCGGCACCTGCCACCCACGGAAATGTCTCACAAGGAAGCCGTGGGAAGGCTTGAACATGGCCTGAGTAAGACCCTGGGCCAGAGGAGGCCAGGGCCAGCCCTTCCGTGGGGCAAAGTGGAGCTGTCGCTGCAGGCGGCCAGGGCCAGGCGGCGGAGGAGCACGTTGGAGGACAGGCTGCTGCACCATGCAAGCTTCCCTTTGCAGGCAGGGCAGGGCAGGGCAGGGCAGGGCAGGGCAGGGCAGGGGGGATGCCGCCCCATGAGTAGCAGGGAGCACCACCGCTCTTCACCCCGGCAGCAAAAGGTCCCGATCAGACTGGAAAGGCTGAGGACAGATCCAGAAAGAACGGAAGTGCTGCAGGTCCCTAGAAAGCCCGGCTCACAGATGAGGATTCAGCCAGTTCTGGAAGGGGTCATGCTGCCCCCGAAATCAAGTCTGTAGCTTTAGCGTTTTCTGGAATCCTACACAATCCAGAGCTATGCCTGGTCCCCAGTTGCCCCTTTCATGACTCAGTCTAGTCAGGCAACATTTATCCATGCCTGGTTACATCTTGCATAGACTACTGCAATTTGCCTCACATGGGGCTACCCTTGATGAACATCCAGAAGCATTTTATCTTTTAAAGCCCTACATGGCTGAGGGCATGGTTAAGAGACCAGTTGCCTTAGCAAGAACTTGCCTGCTTATTAAGATAAGGAGAGGTGCTTCTGAATACACCCAGACTTACAGAGGCCCGTCGGAGGAAAGATCTTTTTCCAGTTTTGCAGTTGGAAGAGCGTTTGCCCTGGAACTGCAAAGGAGATTCCACACTGTCTCCCCTCATAAAGTCAAAATGCCTCTCTTTCATTTGAACAGTTTATAGTTGTTTTCACCTTTTATTATTATGTTCAGTTCTTGCCTGCCTGCAGCGTGTGCATGCCGGGGGGAGGGGTCCTAGCAGCTACTCTCTCCTCCAGAAGGTGATGCATCCTCAGGTGAGTTCAAGGCAGAGATAAGGAATCCCCACCCCTCCTGGAGGACTGCCTTTCTAAGAAAGTCACTCACACCCCTTCCGAGAGCTGCGGATCCTGTGCTTCTTTTCAGCACCTTCTTGCTCTTGCACAACTCTGTCCGTCCTTCTCTCCCCAGCTGCCTCCCTTCCTCAGTTCCAAACAGGCTTTTAACAAGCTGCTACCAGCATCCCTTTAGCCAGGCAGAGCGGAGGCCCTGCTCCAAACCAGCATGTGCACTGAAGTGAGGGAAGCCTTGGATTCTGCGTACGGCAGTGGGGTCGTCTGCTCTTTGGTCCCAGACCAAAGGCGAGGCTCTCCCAGTGACATCCCCACCTTCTATCCCATATCGAAACCTCTTCCATACAAGGAACGCCCACGAAAGGAAAGTGTTGGGGGGTACTTACTGGGAGAATGCTGACCTGATAGGATCAAAGGTTGTGACATTATGAGAAGGAATAGGAATTGCCCATTTTGGAACTGGACACATGTGCAGAAGCCACAGACACACGATTCGGGCAAGTCTTCGGCCTTGCAAAGTTTAACCCCAAAGCAAAACTAAACTAAACATGACCACGGATCTTTAGTTTAGTTCCGTGGCTTGTTGTAAACCAGTGCAGCTGCCTTTGATTTCGTTTTACCGCAGGGAAAACAAGGAAGGTTAGACATCTTGCAACACGGAGTCCCACAGATTAACTGCGCTGCATTGATTGCCAGTCCGTTTTAGAGAGGGCTGTTTCGCAGGCTTACTTTTTCCTGCCTAAACTTGCTCATTGTTGCCCCTCCGGAGCCGTGAGCCCGATGGAAGAGCTGCTCCTGGAACTGGGCTCGTTTCTCATGGGCCGGCACACAGCGCTGCCCGCAATTTCGGGCTCCCCAGGGGCAAGTCAGCAGAGCTGCGCCAAGGGGGACCCCCCCCCCCCACGAGTGCGAGGGCCGGAGGCTCAGGGCTCATGGCAGAGGAGCAAAGGGCCCGGAGGCAGGGCTTTCTTAACAGCATGATGGGCCCCGGGCAAAGCGGTGTCCTGGGGCCCCTACGGCAACGGCAACTACCGTTAATTTTGGAAGTTTCCCGACTTTCCAGGGGTTCCCATGCACGGATTAGTATGGCGCCCACGGGCAAGCGCCCCTCGGGCCCACGCGTGAAGACGGCCCTGCCCGAGACACGCACCTGCGTCGACCGGAAAGAGCAGCGCCAGGAGCAGCGCCAGCGCCGCCGCGGGGAGCCGGAGGGCGCCCATCCCGCATGCGGCTCCGGGGCGAAGGGGCCGGTCGCGCGCGGAGCCGCTCCGGAGCCTGAGCGCGGAGGAAGGAAGCGCAGCGCGGCGCCCCCGCTTTTAAAACTCCCCCGCCGCTCACATGACCGGCGACCCACGCGCGGCCCCTCCCACCGCGGCAGGCGGCCCCTCCCCGCCCGATAGGTAAGGGAGGGGCTGGGCAGCGACGGCCGGTGCCCCGGAGCCCTCCTGGCTGCAGCTTGCCTTTCAGGGATGATGAGGAAAACCCCCCGCAGTCCCGTCTCTTTCGCAGTAGCCTGGAAATCTTCGCTCCCTTGCCCGGAAAAAGCTGTCCTCGGCTTAAATTTTAAAAAGAGGCAAAGGGAGGCGCATGCGGGCTGGCCTCCGCGGAAGGCACAGGAGCAACGCCAGTAAAAAAGTTGGCAACGGCGGAGAGCGGCGCGGACTGGGGTTTTTTTGGGCGGGGGGGAGGGAAGCGCTTAGGCGCTGCAGGGCGTCGGCGCCGCGGCAGAAAGCAAAAGCGGAAGGCCGTCGGTGCGGAGGGGGCGGCGGAAGATGCCGGCCGGGGCGAGCCGCTCGGGGGCGCCGCGGGTCCGGCCGGGGCCCCTCTGGGCCGCGCAAGCCGCAGGATCGGCCGCGCCGCCGCGCTCCCCGCTGGCGCCACTGCGCGCGGACCGAGGGTGGCGAGGCCCGCGCGCCCCGCTCGCTGCGCGGCCGGACCCCGGCGCCAGCCAGGCCCCTGCGGGAGCCCGCGGACCCCACCTGCACCGGGCGCTGGCCGGCCGGCTCCCTGGGGCTGGCTCGTGGCCGCCGGGACCCGTCGCCGGGCCCGGACGTTGCTTTGGCGAGCCCCTTGTAAAGCCTTCCCCAAGCGTCGCCTGCCACTGCATCTTGTGCAAACGAATCCCGCCGTTCAGTTCTGCACGATCCGTGCTTTTATTTGTCCTCCGTCTTTCCTTCTGTGAAATGGGCCACAGAGCAAGACACTGCTCGGCTCCCCCCTCTGCCGTCTGTTTAAGGTTTCCGGCAAGGGGCTTTCCTGTTTCACCGGTTTGCCTTGTGGGAAATGAGTGCTTTGTGATGCCCCAAGCAGCCTGGAGACGGTTTTGTGCATGGGCACATCCCTCGCACGGCTTCCATTCCAAAATGTCACAGGTATTGACCAGCCCACAAATGTTTGGGTCCCTTGAGCCGATCTGCCACACCTGACTTCCCCAGTCTCGCACAAGGCAGCTGCAGCGGACTACAACCCCCATCAGGAATAATGAGATGACACCAGGTTGAGGAAATTTATATCACATTATTGTCATATCAAATCAGATTGATACTTTTTTCTACCAGCTGTCCCTTTTCTGGCCTCATTTTCCTTGATACAGGCTTTGATCTCCACCAGCCGTACCACCCAGAGCCTGCTTGATCTTCTGTTATTGTTATTTTTATCATCGTCGTCATCATTTCTATACCATCCAGAGCCAAAGTCCTCTGGGCAGTTCACAACATTTAAATCATCCATCCAATTTTCAACCAGGCCTGACTGCTTAACTTCCAAGATTAGGCAGGATCAGGCCCTTCAGGCTATACTGAACTATTATTTAAAATATACAATAAAGTTGCAATCCTATATTTATACAGGAGGGAGTACAACTCCCAATATGCCTAAAACACTGATCTAGCGAAGCTCTTGGCATAATACCCCACACAAAGTGAAGACGTGAAGTTCTGCATATTCTGGCAGAAAAAGTTGTGGCAAACCCAACCCGCTTCAGCAACAGAATATCACGGTATCATCAAGGGCAAATCAACTGCACTTCTGAAAAATCATATTGAGCAAATAAAGTGTAAAGAAAATTAAAGTGCCATGATTATAAACGGAAGCATTAGTCTGCAGGGGATCGGAAGACGTTTTGTGATGCAGGGACGGAGCGAGCAGGTTTTCTGCAGAGAAGGTTCTGGTAGCTTGAGAAGCTGATGCCTCTTCTCATCTGACGGGTCAGGTCTCTTGCTGCCTCTTCCTGGCTAATTCCAGCCACTCGCCAACCTGGGCCACGATTTGCTGGAGGTTGGAAGAGAAAGAAAGCCAGGCTGTGCTGCCGGTGCCCCTTGGCCGTGATTTGGCCAATCTCTTGCCCAGGCTCACCTTTATAGACCTTTCCCTGAATAGACTTCACACTGTCTATTTATAATACTCAGTCCATTTATTCTAGTACATTTCTAATCTATACAATAATGTTCTTTGAGCAGATTACAACCTGTTCACTGCAGCGTTGCACATTTAGGCAGAAAAAAAGGCCGACAGCTTCTAGCGTTCCCCAGCTACCAATAGTTTTTTCTTTCTAAATGTGTTTAGGATTGTGCCCTTAGAAAAGTAAAATGCCATTTTAAAAAGCAGTTAAAATATAAAGTTCGAAGCAAAGTGAAGAAAGTGATCTATGTTGTAAGCCGTCCAGGAATGCAAGTAATGGAGGGCGTACAAATTAAACAAACGAACGAACAAGACAGCGATCAGAAAAACAGCCAAGTCTCCCCTCCCTCCCTCCCTGGAACTAAAGCCATGTCCAAGGGGATTCCTACATGCATCCCACCCGGACACTGACCAAAGCTAACCCTGCTTCGCTTCAAGAACAGTGTTTGCATCATTTGCCTACAGGCCATCCCCTGGAATAGTTGTATTCATTTTTAATTTAATAGATTCCAAGACCACTATGGAAAACTGAATCACAACCCAATTTAACATACAAAGTAAATAGTAACAACAGACAGTGTTCAGCGTATTGGGGAGGCAACCACAAGCTTGGACTACAGCTCCCATAATCCCTGAATGTGCAACCTGGGGCTGGTGGAGCTTGTTGTCCATAACATCTGGAATGAGTGCCTGTCACAAGGTGCTTGAACAAGGTATAAGGCAATGTCTGGTCTTGCTATTTCCTATCGGCATCAGCTCTGGTTTTAACTGCTGTCCAAACAAAGGAAAGTTTGGGCATGCGGCTTATGGGTGAAGTTTCACCCCGTCGATAGAAGCTCCTTCAAAAGCAGGGGACCTGTGGGTGCCAGAGGCTGGCAACAAACATCCACAGCGACGGAGAGTTTCACACATGCGCCCTCTCTGGCTGGTCACTGCTTGAAACAAGACCGACCCCGTAGGATCAGGGAAGGTCCCACGGTCCTCGCATTTTGGTTTTCTTTGCACGGACCTTTTCCAGGGTTGACACAAAAGGATCAGAAGGGAACCGGGGACCGACAAGCAGAAATGGAACATCCCCCACCCCAGAAATGGGGGGGGTCTGGACCCCAGCCAAGCCCTTTGCCCTGCAGCCCCCGCCCCCCCGCAGCCTTCTGGGCAGCCTCCCCTCCCCTCCTCACCTCTCTGGCCCGGACGAGGGGCAGCGGGTCGGAGGGCATGGATGCCAGCATGTCGGCACAGTGGGCCGTGCCGCTGATTAGAATGGCCCGCTCGGAGCGGGTCTGATTCTGGAGGACGCTGAGCACGTGCCAAGGGTCGACGTCACCTGCGGAAAGGGCAGAGCGAGGTTGTCAGAGAGAGACCGCGGAGCAGAGGGCCAGCCTGTTCTAACAGGCATCTTGGAAGCGAAGGTCTAATGTGGACTTCCGCAACTAGGGGAACTCCAAGGCTGTGGGACTGCAACTCCCATTATGCCCAAGCATTGGCCGTTCTGGCTGGGGATGATGGATGTTGCAGTCTTGCACATCTAGAGGGCACTGTACGGGAAAGATGGATCTCGTGCAATGAGGAAGAGCCAAAACTCAGGCTCCAAGGTTGCCTTCTAGTCCCCAGACCCACCCATCGGGTAGATCAAGAATGAGCATAAGCCCGAGGAGGGACTCTTCTGCGGTTCTTTGCTGCAAATTCCCACAGGACAGCCAACTCCAGATGCTACCAAAAATGTGAGCATCAACTGGATGTTTCTTGGTGCTACTGCCTGAGCAACTCCTAGCAAGCAGGTATCTGTGGAAGGGAAACTTCCAGAACTCCACACTGCCCTCTTTTTCTGTTTCTGTTGTCCTGGATAGCTCTAGTTTTTCCTTCTTTGTGCCCCTAAATAGGCAGATGTTGACACAGGAAGGCCACATCCAGATGGGAAGAAGTCACAATGGCACACTGTCAACCTGAAATGGCAACTCTCTCTTATGCTCGTTGGCCTGGGCATCTGACAACGGACTGCGGAAATGCAGCTATCTCAGAACTTGTGGGCTGTGACAGTTGGTAAATAATACACTATCCTAAAATCTAAGCCCACGATTCTATAATTTTTTTTCTGGAATGACGCGACGTGTGTGGCAGCCCCACAGCGGCGCCTCCCCATCCTCCGTACCATTAACAAACAGGACACGGGACGCTCTTGGGTGCTCGGCCCCATAGTAGTCGTTGGTGAAGGCCACCGCTTCCTGGACGCTGCGAGGGGAAACGTTGAAGACCCGCAGGCATGTCCACAGGGAAGCAGTCAGGTTGGGAAGGCGGGAGAAGGGGCAGGCGGGATCTTCGCAGGTCAGGTCTGGAGCGGGAAGAGACACAGGGCCGAAAGCGCCCAGAGTCACGCAGAGCGATGCCAAAAGGGAATCCTGGGTGTCCCTGCTAGCCAGGTGACTTACAGACCCACTAAACCAAGTGCCAGTGAGGTTCGGGGATTCCTTCAGTTTCTTCATTCAGCTGAGCAAAGCCACTGGGTGTCTGCACACCCACACGCTCCTGCTTTTCCCCCCTTTTCCCACTTAATCTCACCCCCGTTGTTCCCCCACCCAATCCCCTCTCGAGGTCTGCCTGGCCCTTTCCCCAATCCCCTCTCGGGGTCTGCCTGACCCTTTCCCCAGTCCCCTCGCGGGGTCTGCATGCCTGGCCTGGTGCAGGCCCCCTTATCTACGTCCAATACCCTCACAGGGGGAGCATGATCACTGCGGAGGGGGTCGTCCGCTTCACACGACCTCTTTGTCTTTTTCATGATTCTTTTGCCTTCCCTTTTTCCTCTCCAAAGCAAGCAGGTATACAGAAAGCAAATGGCGTTTGTTAGGCTAAAAGCAAATAACACGAGTTCAACTAATCGGGCTCCTTCAGAAACCTCTGCATCCGTCATCGGGGGCTGGGCTGTGCTCGGATGGGGGACGAAAGCATGTGAGCCGTGTGGCACATGGACGGTGCGGCAGAGAAAGGCGACGGGGCAGGAATGTGCAGCCAAGATGGGGGGGCAGAGCTGGGTGCTCACTTACAGTAGCCAAACTCCGTGCACGTCTGGAAGAGCCACTGCCTCTCCATGCGCGATCCAGCGACCCGGGTCCTGCGCAGCTCCTCCACCTCTGCTGCGTACGAATTCTGTGTGCACTGCGCATCCAGCAAGGCTAAGTACATCTGACAGAAATAAGAGGCCCGTGCAAAAGGCATTGTGTAAACACACTTACAGTCCTCTCTGCACCGTCCAGCATAAAACTCCTACCTTCTCCAGCCAACATGCTGGGTGGGAACGATGGGCATGGTAGCCCAACCCATCTGGATGGTGCGGGGTTGGGGAAAATTCAGCAGTGGCCTGAGAGTGTTTTTCTCTACCCGTTCCAAGGTTTGAAAGGAAATCGAGAGCACTTGCTCAGCTCCGTGCTGGGGAACCCTAGAACTCATCCTGTGAGTCTGACTGCATGGTGAGCCCCTCAAAGACTGTCAGAGCGAGGCGCTGGGGAAGGGCCGGTCCCCCCGTCCCGGGCCAGCCCGCTCGCTCGCCTGCACGGCGTTCCTGGTGGCCCGCGGCAAAGGCGAGTGCCTGAATGCTGGGCTGTCTTACGTCATTGGCCGCCACAAGCCTCTGGTAGGCGGGGCCTTTGCTGCGGTCGGTCATCGGGCCACACGCGTGCGCCACGGTCCACAGTGGGCTTTCGGCGTTGTACTGCACGGGGCCCATGAAGATGTCGGCCAGGTTGCCCAGCAGCTCCATGGAGTCGTCCGGCCCCTGCAAGGCCCGGCAGGAGCGGAAGTCCCGTGCGAGCCGGGCCAGCTGCCCGGCACGCACCAGGCTGTCCACGGCGGAGAAGGCCTCGGCCACGGCACCCAGGCACTGCGGGGAGAGAAGCGGATCGCCCCTGGAGCAGAAGGGTCTTCTGTAAAAGTGCGGGGGACACAAGGGCCGGGGCAGGAGAGAGCGAGCTCCAGGCCACCGTCCCGGCTTGGATTGGGCAACAGGGCCCATTTCCCCAGTTGGCAGAGCCCTCGGCTGCCCCACGCTCCACACGAGTCACGAGTGGCCAGCAGTGGGGGAGCAGACTGGCCCAGACTGTTGGAGGGGCCAGGTGCAGAAGGCTCGGACTCCTGGGCTCTTCGCCCCCTCGTGAAATGGTGGAATGTATAGATCCAAAGCAAACCAACCCTGAAGGCAGGCTGAATGCGGGACACTTCCATCGAGCAGCCTTCCCCAGCTGCATCCTCTCTGGGTGTGTTGGACTACAACTCCCATCCTCCCCAGCAAGCATGGCTGGGGGCCATGGAAGTTGTCTTCCAGGACACCCAGGGAGGTGCCTGCTTGGGAAAAGCCAGTGCAGAGCATGGCAAGCTTTTTCTTTTAACCTTCCCTGAAAGAAGCCCAGCCTAGTTGTTCTGAGTTGCAGGTGAGCCAAGAACAGGAGGTTGCTGTTGCCCAGAGACTTTGTCAGGCAGAAACTCTCGGCCAAACAGAAGCTGGGTAGGAGCACGTAGGTCAGGGATCAGCCCGCCCCTGGGGCTGGATTATTTCCCAGCCCACCCCTGGGGCATTTGAGGAGGGAGGGAGGGAGGGAGCCTGATGGGCTGGCCTCGGGGGCCACAGTGGCCTCCGGGGCTGGAGGTTGCCCACGTCTGCTGGCCTTGCAGGATTCCTGGCAGGCAGCAGCTGCAGCCCCCCGAAATCTGCCACAAGCATCCAAGCAAGCTGCACCTCAAGTCGCTAGAAATATTAAAAAACCAACCTCTTGGGAGCCCCCGATCATGGGATTGGAGAGACCTGCAGCAACAACCTAAAGAGAACAGGAGCCAAGGAGAGGAGGTTTAGGATCCCGTGAATGGACCCAGAGAGTGACTGTACCACCCAAGACGGAAACCCAGCACTGAGGTCATGAGAGACCAGCTCCCCTCCAAACCGCTGGCAGGACAACACCCTTAACCAGCGGACTGGAAATAGCCGTTCCTCTGCGCGTCCTTTCCCAGGATGGCTGCAGGTGGAGACGCTTTACAGCCAGTATCCCGCTTTTGAAAGGCAGAAGGCTTTGGGGGGGGGGGGGGGCTGACGGGGGAGATCCGGGCTGGGCCACTGCTGTGCCCATTTAGGGCAGACGTATAAACTAGCTCCGGCGTCCAGACCCTGCATTCTCTGGGCCCTGATCCTCTCCAGGCAGAGGCCTGGGATGGGAAAGAGGATGGGCTGGGGGGCAGAGAGGCTCGTGTTCTGCCCCACACGCTGCTCCCTTCTTAACTGGCTGGGCTCCGTGATTACCTGTCCAAGTCGAAAGACTTCACGGACAAAGCACAGGTGTTCATGCACAGCTAGAGTGTTGCATTCGAAAGGAAGAGAGATGCACACACGGCCCAGCAGCATCTCCCTTTCCATCTTCTGTCGCCAGCTGGAAAAAGCCCCAACCTTTTCCTTCTTCTTCCAAGAGAGCCTGAAGCTGCATCTTTCACCTGCCTTCAGTCCAGACCTGGGAGGGCCCCTGAGAACTGGCTCTGGCCCGCCAAGGAGGCCGTCCCTGAACTCCAAGGGCCCCTGGCAAGGCGTCCTCACCTTGACGTAGCCCGTGAAATCCAGCTGGGCTCGGACGGGGGCGGAAGAAGCCACAGCAGCGAAAATCAGGTGGGGATACTGAGCGGAAGGGAAGGCAGAGGAGGCATTATTCTCGGTGCGGATCGAACGCCACTGCCCCCAACCAACCTGGCTCCCTCTAGGGGATGCCGTACCACCACTCCCAGCACCCTGCGTGCGAAGGGGACGGTGAGGGATGTGGCCCGACACCTCTGGGGGGCTGATGCATCCCCTGGTGGCAACTGGGGGCCCGACAGATCCCCAGCATCGCCTAGTCCCGGGATCCAGCACCCTTCAGGGGCTGCCAGCTCCTCTCCCTCCAGGGCTCTGACTCAAGGCCACCAGCGTGGCCCCCCAAAGCCACACGCACCTCCGCAGAAGCCCCTACCTTGAGCCTGAGCCAGGCGGCCAGGCTGCCGGCGTATGAGCCCCCGAAGCAGATCCAGGTGTGGCTGGGCATCAGGCCGTACTTCTGGGTGATGAAGCGGTGGAAGGACAGGAGGTCGGCCAGGCTGTGAAGGCAAGGGGGCGCAGCTGAAAAGCTGCCCAGGTGGATCCCCAGAAGCTCCTGCACTGCCCGGAGAGCTGGGTGCAATGAGAACGCAAGAAGGCCTGGCTGGATCAGGGCCAGGGCCACCTGCTCCAGTCCGCCGCTCACAGAATGGCCCAGCAGCCACACGCAGGAAACTCCCGAGTAGGACTAGGAAGGCCAGAGCTCCCAAGCTCCTGCCCCCCCACGCCCCCCCCCCCCCGAGCTGCAGCCAGGTGCCGACTCACGCTTGCTGGCTGGTCAGGAACCGGAGGTTGTGGTCCTCCAGCCCGTCGGGGTTGAGGCTGGCGCCATAGAAACGGTGCTCCAGGGCCACCACCAGGGCGCCATACTTCCTGGCCATCTCCACGTGGTGCCCTGTAATCCAGACAAGAACGAGGCCAGCGCATCAGGGTCGTTGGACAGAGCCAAACCGGCCCCCTCCCAGGGATGGGTGGGGATGGGGATGATGGGGCCTGTACTCCAATTCATCTGGAGGCCTCCAAGGTGGGGCAGGCCGACGCACACGAAAGCACAGTGGCCAAGCCTGGTTTCCACTCCTGGGTGCTGGAAGCAAGACTGGATGCGGCACCGGCTTTGGGCAGCCCTCGAAAAGGGACCCCAGCTCACTCTCCCCGCCAGCGGTTACGAAGCGCAGCCCCAGCGCACTCACCTGAGAGCACGGAATAGTCCGACAAGGTGCCTTCGCCTTCAATGTAGAGGAAGATGGGCCCATGAGGGTGCCAGAAAAGCCTGTTTGCCCGGAACCGCTGCGGATGATCGGAAGCAACACAGAAGACTCAGCCGCTGGGCCTGAACTGTATTCCCCCCACTCACAAGCCCATGATCCCCGGATGCCTCAAAACAGCCACCGTTGGGGGTTGGCCTCGATGAAGCCTCGGGTTGGCTTAATTCAGGCCGCAGCTGAATTGCCGCCGTGTTCCTTCCCTCCTGAGCCCTTCAAAGGCAGTGGAAGGTGAGCCCTTCCGCGGGCAGTTGCACTGTGCAAGGAAGAATCTCGAGGCCGTGGGTGCCTCTGTTCCCCCTCCTCCCCCCCAGTCACCCTTCCTTTCATGTCTTGTCTCCGGGACTATAAGCCTGCCAGCTGGGACCACTTGCTCCTAACCCAGTCTGAGAGCCCTTCTGGCTGAACACAGATGCAAAGACGCTCTGGAGAGACAGGAGACCAAGGTGTGTGTGACCAGCGCTGACCCTCTTGTCTCTCCACCCATCCTGGTCCCGAGTGACCCCCACACTTACCTGGTTGAAGGTGCGGCGGTCCTGCCAGCTGAAGTGGTCCAGCGGTTGCTGGAGGATGCCGTTGTCGAGATGGCTCCACACCCCTGCATCCAGCCCCTGTCCCAGGAGCTGCAGGCGACCGGAAGCATCTTCAGCGGCCTGTTTCTCTCGCTGCTGCAGGATGTGCTGCCGGAAGAGCCAGAAATTTTTGCCTGGAGGTGGGGAACAGAAAGGTGGAAAAGCTGGAATTTCTTGAGCAATGCTGGACTCCGTGTGCTAAGAGAGTATCCAAACCAGAGAACAGTAAAAGCAAAGATTAGAGCATCTTGCAAGGCTGGCCCTGCCGTGAGGTGGAACAAGCCCATTTTGGGTATTGCAAAAGAGCAGCAAGCTCTTGGCTTTTTCGGTGGGGGCGGGGGATCCTCCTGAGGTGGCTTTTCTTTCTCTGCGAGGGAGGAACAGACTGAGTGCCTTTGGATGCTGTTCCCCTTGACCACCCTGTGGTGGGCACCACCTGACCCTTCTCTCCTCCTCTCCCCTCCTGGGACGAGCTTTCAGTGGAGTTGCTGTGCTTGCAAGATGAGCCTATCGTCGCTTTCCACTGTGTGTGCTTGGCCTTCCTGTCCTTGTGAGCTTGCTGGAGCACGAATCGGCAGGCAGAGATGGCACGTGTGAGCAATAATGAAGGCAAGGGTCGCCGGACATTACTCAAGACAGCAGACGTGGGTGAAAGTGGCTCAAAAGGAGTGCAGTCGAACCCCGGGTCTTGCGTTTGTTCTGTGGCCTGCAGTGAGTAACAGCTTTGGCAGGTTTTTGCACTAACTCAAAACCAGATGGAGCAAAAAGCTCTGTGGAAGGGATGCCCCTGCCAGAGCACAATTGCCTTTCGCAGAGGCATGCCTTGTTCCGCCCTCAGGGGTGCGTGTGAGGAGGCCTTGCAGCTTGTCCAAGTGAGGATCACATGTTGCTGACTGTGCATCCAGCGCAACCGCAGCAACCCTGGCAACTGGGGTCAGAAAGCGCCGTCTGGCGAAAAAGGAGACACCGAAGCTGCTGAGACCGCGCGTCTGTTCTGCTAGTAGCAAAACATGCATGGAGTGCGTTTTCTGTTAGGCATGTCACCCTTTGGAGTGGGGCCATGCTCTCTCTCAAGCTGGAATACATCTGAAATGTCCGGAAGAGGTTCTTGCCCCCAGCCTTGCTCTCAGACCCCCACGGTCTTTAAAATCCCTGCAGTTCATAAGTTGGATGCCCTTTATCAAAAATGTAAGAAGAGAAATTATTTTTTTCATCAGTTGCAGTTGCAGTATATGACTGGCTAACAGGAAGAATGGAATTCATCTCTGCACTCTACAGGGCTTGGTGTTTAACTTTTTTTTTTTAGACATGAAGTTTCAGGATTTGATTGCACCTAAAATCACCTTCTGTCATCTATGCAGCTCCTTAAATACCCAGTGCCTAGAGGCTAGGAGGAGAAAAAAAGGCACTCTGCACATGGTCAGGAGTCCTTTTCTCTACTGGAACTCCATGCATTCTGGGAACCAGTCCCAATTTTAAAAACAGAGTCGGGGCTTACACCTTGCCTGGCATGAGATCAATCAGCAAGGGGAAGAAAGAGATGCACTCGCAGGAAATTCACTATGATGCTAAAATCTGCTGGAATCCTGCTGCCCGTCCCAAACATCTGGTGCTCTTGGGCTTCCCCCAAAACATTCATGAAGGGAAAGAACCGTGAGTGAGACAAACCTCTCGTGCGATTCACCCCAGCTCCTCTTCTGCTGGGTACTTGCCCCAGACAAAAGCCAGCAGTGCTGAGTCGAGGGGGAGCCCCACTCCTCCCCCTGGGGGGCTTCCCAGCCACTGGCCTGCACTGCAAGGCTCTTGCAGGCCATTGGCAAGGGCCAGGGGCCAGGGGCTCACGGCCTGGAGGGACTCACCTGCATCGACCGGAAAGAGCAGCGCGAGGACCAGGACCACCCCGGGGAGCTGGAGGGCGCCCATCTCCAGACCAAAGGTGGCGATGGCAGGAGGATCTTCCCAATTTAAAGGAAAAGCCCCCAGAATGACCCCCACCGGGGGGACCACTCCCTTTCAGCCCTCCCATCACCAGCCACGCATGAGCTGCCCTCCCTCCCTCCCTCCCTCCCTCCGTCAAGAAGGGACACCACCCACCCAGCAAGACGGGCCAGGGGAAGGGACAAAGCGCTCCGCATTATTTCTGCCTTCCCCACCTGCACTACAGGCTTTTCAAAAGAGCAAAACTGATCCAGTGCCTTTAATAGCTGCCTGGCTCCTTAGAACTCCAACAAGTCCTTTGCTTGCTTGCAAGAAAATAAATTTTCCTGGGGAGGAGGAGGAGGAGGAGGAGGAGACGTGAATGAAGGCACAGGAGCCAAGGACAGAGGGGCTGGCAAGGCAGGGAGCGGCGGAGGCGGCTCGGGGGCCCAGCGGGGCGGATTTCGCGGAGCGCAGCCCTTCGCAAGCGAGCGGCGGGCGGCAGAAAGCGCCGCAGGAGCGCGAGCGGAGCTCCGACAGCCACGGTGCCCGCCACGAGGGGGCGCCCCAGGCCGGCGCTCGGCCGCGGGGGGCGCCGCGCAGCGGGTTTGGCGCTTCGCTCCCGGCGGTGGGGATTTGTGGAAGCCCTGAAAAACTTGCGCCGCCTGTCGTGGCTTTTTGCTTCGTCTTTATGCAGGTACTGTCCAGCTGAAGATTTTAAGAGGCATTTAAATTGCAAGCTCCATGGGGCAGGGACCATCCCATCTTTGCAAAAAGCCCGGGCTGGTGGACTGTTATTACTGTTATAAAGAAGGTACCAGTTTTGTTGTGGCTTTCTAGGCAACATGGACACTGAACGCCTGCAGAGCCTCTTGTCAAAGATGGGTATTTACTGATGTGAAAATACCACAAAAATATCACAAGCTTGTGTTCTTTTCCAAGCCCGGTGCAGGCTTGAGAAAACTGCCCCTTGCTTTGGCTGTCACACACGCGCTTCGGGATTTGAGTAAGAGCCTCTTGCACTGCAAAATACACACGCAGATTTGAAAGGGTCCCCCCAGTAAGATGGTTTCTTACTGGCCAAGGTTCCCCACGGCTTTGCCATTTTTGCATGAAGTGTGGGGACAATGTGAACCTCCAGGCCAGCGGGAGCAGGAGCTTCCGGAGCGCACGAGGGATGAGGGACCATCTTCGGAGACGTTGCCTGGAGACACAACTGAGGTGCACAGGATGGTGCAAGGTGTGCAGCAGGTGGGTGGGGAGACATTTTCTCTGCTCCTACGCTAGAACCCAAGAGACGGATGGGTGGGACAACCAGGACAAATGAGTCCTCCTTCACCCAGCACAGCTTTCAGCTATGGAATCCGCTTCCAAGAGGAGTCCCGGCAGCCACCCGTTCGGACGTCTCGAAGTGGGAAGTGGGCAGCTGCCTAGAGAGCAAGGCTGTCCACGTCTCCCAGTCTTGACAGCTCTAAGCTGCATCCGGGATTCGCGCCAGAAGGACCGCAAGCTCCGGCTGCACTGGGAGTTGGACGGGATCGTGCCCTCGCCCCATGTCCTGCTGGGGGGCTCTGCGGGCAGCTGCTTGGGCGCTGTGTGAGTCCCGTCCAGCAGGGCTCTTCCTCACCTCATCGCCGGAAGGAACGCGCTGGGGGCGACGCCGCAGCCCTGCTTCCGGTGCAGTCCGGCCCGTGGGCCCGAGAGCCAGGGAGGGCAATGGCTTCTCCTGCTAGGCCCAGCTGAGGCCCGTGCCTCCCTGACTCCGCTTATCCAGGTTGCTCGGAATATTTAAACCAAGCTTAGCCTGGTTTCCCCTCATCCGCTGCCCGGCCTCCATCTTCCGCCTTCCGCCTCCGCCCCGCTCTGCCAAGGGGGACAGACGCTTGGTGCGCTGCTCCTGGCTTCACCTTCGCAAGGTCCCCTCCACGGGCGTCTCCTCCGCCCATCTGTCTCCGGGGATCAGGGCAGATTAACATCCAATCTGCCCGTCTACTTTTCTGCTTTAAAACCTGCTGACAGGTTTGAAGATTAAATTTTCTGACCCCCCCTCCAGCCCCCTTTTCCATCTTCCTTCCAAGCCCTCCTGCCAGCAACAGGCAGAGGCCTCCTTCTTGAACCCCTGCCTTTCCCCGCACCCTCCTCCTCCTCCTGGAAGGGAACGTTTCCCCGTCGTACAGGCGACATGTCCGCAAGCACGTGACAGGTGCTGTCACTTTGAAGGGAACTGGCCCAAGTATTTAAAAAAGAACCAGAAAGCGCAACCTAAGGACAGAGTGCCTCAGGGCATGTGTAGTGTACCATCCAGCTCTTACTGGAGGACTGAGTGCACATTCATGGTTATATTATTATTATTACTACTACTACTACTGACATTAAATTTGCATCCTGCCATTCTTCCCCTTCCTCTTTAACAGCAATCCATGCTTTTTTCTTTTTTCTTTTATCCTCCTGGCTCCTTTTATCAACCGGCCAAGAGGATAAACATGCAGTAGGTCGGCAAGCGTAATTTCTCTGCTTCTTCCCTTAATGACTGGTGGCAGGCAAGGCTGCTGTCAAAGGCACCCAGGCAGGCTGGCGGAAAGCGCGTTGGCCTGCCTAGAGCTAAAATGCTCTCATGAGCTTCCTGCAGCAACCTGGGCCAGCTCTAACCATTCAGCAAGCAGAGCAGGAGCCCTGGGCAGCTGATGGGGAGGCGAGGATGGACGGACTCTGTCGAGAAAGCCACAGCCTTGATTCGGAACAAGGAATGGCGTGGATGAGACTCGGGAAGGCTTTCATTCACAGGGTTACCATAAGTCAGAGACAGCTTGATAGCACATCACAACACAACAGGCAGCTCGTGCGGTGTTGAAAGAAGTACCACCAAAAAACTGGAACCACCAACCTGCCATTCTCATTCTCTCTCTCCCCTTCCCCCTCTCCCTGGCACCTCAGTTCAGCCAGTTTAATTAATATTAATTGGTCAAGGGGAAAATCCATTTCCTTTGACCATTCAATCTGCCCTGGAACATCACCGCAAATCCACCAGGGTCATAATCCCTGCCGCGATGTCCTCGCCCACGTGACGAGTTCCCAGTCGCTCATTCCTGGAAATATGCGTGCTGGCCGGGGCATTTTCAGGCAAGGCTCCCTTGGCTGGTGACTGGCTGTTGCATCTTGTGAAAGCCACAACGGTTTCCTCCCAAATAAGCTCAGCTTTAAGGCATTTCACGAGAATTACTAATGCGAGAGATGAGAGGACCAGGGCACATTTCCAAGGCATGTGGGAATCCTTCACTTCTGTGGGTGTTGCTGCTTTTGTGAGGATCCAGCAACAATACGGTTTTTGCTCTTCTGGGTGCCGATGTTTTGCTTTTGAGAGCTCCCCACCCCCAACTCTGCTGCTCTGCCTTTAAAGCAATTTGACAACAGAGAAATTCAGCAGGGAAAGCTTCACTACCACATCGTTATACCTCCGTGGCAGGAAAAAAGAGGCTCCCGAGCTTTTAGAATGGAGAATTTAAATAAATACTTTGTGCAGAGAGGAGAAAAGCTTCCCTGTTCTGTAGAATTAAATGATAAGGTCTAGCAAAGATTGCTGCATTATCAAGCATTATCAAGCCCTGTGCCTATTCTTACATATTCGGTGTAAACAAAACTTACCTTATATTTCATTGCAACAGGTCAATGCTCCCCTGTCAGATGACATGACGGTGCATCGTTTCTGCCCCCCTCATGGAAAATGCATGCAGAAATGGGGTGCTGTGTGAACTTTCCGTAGAGAATTCTGTCTCTGGGTCTCCCCAGGCCACACGCCCCTCCCTTGGGCCCCTCCTGTTTCCTCAGATAATTTATTTGGCAGTTTCCCGGCTTCTGCAGTTTTCCCCTCAATTCTGTAAGTTGAAATGGATTTAAGCGAAGTGGTACGCTCCATTTTTTATACCCCATCCTTTTTTGTCTTTAGCTGCACAGAATACCGACCACGAGAGCTTCGGCCAGCCCTCCGTTTAAAAGGCTTCCTGCCAACCTTGCAGTTCGAAAGCCTGCAAATGCAGGTAGAGAAAAAGGTCCCACTCAGCGGGCAGGTAGCAGCGTTCCGTGCGCCTCGGTGTTTAGCCATGCAGCCACATGAGCACGGAGACGGTCTGCGGACAAACGCCGGCTCCCTCGGCCGGGAAACGGAGGTGAGCAGCGCCCCCTAGAGTCAGGCTTGACTGGACGTAACTCAAGGGGAAACCTTTCCCTTTACCCTTGCTCTCCTTTCATCTGGCCCTCTGAAGAGCAGGGCAAGCAGAGACGAGGATGCAACGCGAGGAGGCTGCAGGAGAGCCTGCTAAACGTCTGCAGGGTGTGCCTGAGCCCTCAGGTGCAAGCGCAAGGCCAGGAAGGAGCCTGGAAGCCACCTCATGCGTCACACAGGTGCCTGTTTATGTGGTGCAGAAGCATCCGCACCATCGTCCCGTTCTGGTTGCATAGCAGGGTAAACACCGCAGGGGAAACTGCTCCTTAAGGAGTCCTGAGACGTCTAGTCCTGAAACTAGTCCATATATGGATGCCCACTAGGGGCAGTGCTGGGTACCCGAAAGATCAAACATTTGCACTTGCTGATGTGCATACATTTCAAAGTTTCTGATGTGTCTCCTAAGGTTATCCTTCTTTGCAAAAAGGCTGCAAAGAGGAGGACGTTTGATTTTTTTTGGGGGGGGGGAGGCAACATAGGTAGAAAGATTAAAGAGGGAACGGCAGGCCACGAAGCACCTGTGGGCCGAAACCAGGTAATCCAGCAGGAATTCAAGGCAAGGGAGATCCTGGAGGCTCCTGGATCTGTATTTCAGGAAGTGCTCTCAGCCCTTCCAGAAATTTGGAGCTTTGAGTGAAAGATTTGGGGCACCAGCTCCTCACATTACCTTGTTGACTTCAGCCTACCTTGCTGGACACACACGTGGATGAAGGCAGAGTCACACCTTACGCAAACGCAACCAGGAGTGGGTGCCTCTCACACATCTCTGGGAAGCGCAAGGCATGCTTGCAAACCGCATCCGTCGCATGCTCAGTTTTCCCTTTTTAAAAAGTTGGGGAACGTTTCAGGTTCATATCTAAGAAAGAAAAAAAGGATGGTGTCAAGTGATCCCGTGACATTGCAGATTAATTGCCACGGACAGGACTTGGGAGCTCAATCTTTTGGAAGGTCTCCTCCTCTCTCTCTCATTTGCTCTGTTTCAGTTCATATTTGAAACAGGGAGTCATGAAATGCTGTAAGCTGCGATGTTTGCAGACCTGCAACATGGGCTCCTATTCAGGGCAAGAGCCACGTGGCCTCTTCCGAGCTTCCGGCTTGGGCAGACACCCCTGCCTGGAGAGGCAGTGTTTCTTGGGGCTAGACAATTGCCCCTTGGCTGAAGGAGCTTTCGGACCAGGTCCCACCAGTCCCACCGCGCCAGCCCAAGTCGGGTAATCCTTGCGCCCGCTCCTCCCTGCGCGCACGGGCCCAGTTCTCTTTAATTAAAGGAGGTTACCCGGGGGGACTCGGCTGGCAGCGCAGCCATGGCAGCTGTCACTGGGCATTCAAGAACCAATTTGTCATCCTTAGCGGGTCCCCTAATCCCCTCTAATTCAGTTACCAATCTGCACAGTGGGGTGGGAGGGGCGAGAGCCCTAAGAGGATTGCGGCATTTGCTAAATTAGATAAGTAAAAATAACAAATGGCGGGCGATGCGTGTGCACGAGGGGACGGGGCGGAGTCCCAAGGACAGCGAGGCGAAGGCACCGTGGGAAAGGCAGGGACGCGCCCACGGACGTGGAGGCGCATGCACGGGGAGGGGCTCGCGCTTGAGCAAAAAGTGGCTCGGGACAGGTTTCCTTTCCAGTCGCGAATGGAAGGCAGAATAGAATAGAATAGAATAGAATAGAATAGAATAGAATAGAATAGAATAGAATGAGGGTCTACCAAATCAGCCCCCTGCTCCACTTCCACAGGTGGTCACCCATCCAGCCACAGACTCATGCCTTTCCCACATAGCAAAGGTACCTCAATGTGCCAGCTCAACAGGCAGCTACACGAGCAGGCCGACAAATTGGTGCTGTTCCAATGCAGCCTGGGAGGAGGAGGAGGAGGCAGCGTTGGGTGGAAATCCAAAGGGGAACTGACAACAGGGCGGCAGTTTCCTTCACACCCACTCACTGAATTTCTTCCTCTGGAAATGGGCTTCAAAAATCTTTCAGGCTGCAGACAAGAAGAGCAGGCCGTATGCTAAGGGAAGAAGCATCTCTGCAGCCACTTTAAACTCTCTCGACAAGCCATGGTCTGCCTCCCGTTCTACTGTTTTGGTCCCGCCATCTCCACTGTGGGCAAACACGGGTTGCAGGTTGCTGAAGAGGTACCAGACCCTGCTAAACCACAAGCCAAAGTGAGCCGGGTGTCGTTTCCAAGTGCTTTCAGTGCTCTTGGAAACCTGGCTGCGGTTTCAAATGATGCACCAAAACGCTGCTCAGAAATTGTGCGGCTGACAGGACGGCAGGAATGTCTCCGTGTGGTGGCTGCTCCTCCCGCTGTTCTGTTCTCCTGTCCTGCAGAGAATGAAGAAATTAGCAGCGCCTCGTCTCAGTTTGAAGCATTTTCAGCCACAGCCAGACTCCTGGGCTTTGGGGCATTCATGTGGGGAGGAGACCCGCCCCAAATCCCAAGATAGTTTCCAAAACTGCAACCCCTAAACCTGTTTGTTCATTTCGACTGGCAAATTACTCTCGAATATATTTAAGAAGTTAATATTTCAGGTTAAGTTTTTTCACACATCTGGATGGACAACATCAACTGGCAAAGAGCCGAGACTCTGAGAAGGAGCTGCGAGCAGCCAACATGGGTGTCCTGAAAGGGCAGCAAATGCTTTCTTTGTTACCATATTTTTATTGCCAGAAAGGGGAGAGCTCTCCAAGCTCTCTGGTGCATCCAAAAAATGCAGCTCGCTTTGGGTACGAGGCACTTGGACTGGGTAGCAGGTGTCATTTGCTCCTGTGCCTTCAGCAGTCCTGGTTTCAGGAAAACCTTTAGACGTGGAAGATGCATGCATTAAATAAATACATGAGCCAACTTCCCTAGGTCCCCATTCTAACCAGTACTCCACACTGGCTCGTGTGTCCCTTTTGACTGCAACTTCATCTGGAGACGTCGGAAGGGTATGCCCAGCTTCACGCTGCAGAACGTTTCAGGTTTTTTGCAGATCAAGGACTGTTAAAAGCACAGAAGCAGCCCTGTGACTTTCCAAGCGGTTCAGCTCTGCTCGCTCCCACGCTGATGGTGACCTTCGGCAGAACTCTGTTGCGCCAGACTGCAGAACAAGCCCCGTTCCACGACACACCTGCATAGTTGCTCCGAGTTCGCAAAATCAAGGGTTTAAATTTGCAGCAGAAATCAACACCGAACAAAACAAAACGAAACAAAAAACGCCAAAGCCACAGTTCCTTTTTCACCTAGTTTGGTTTTTTTACATTTTAATTTTTTAAACCACTGACAATTTTTGTAACTGTACAGAAATTGCTCATCACAGACTAACACAATAAATAGGGCCATCAAAAAATAACCTGCATGGAATGCTTCCCATCTACAGCAAAATAGTGTAATTGTTTCTTTACCCCAAACCACCCTCCCCAAAAAACCCAACTAAGTAAACTAGACTAAGAAATCTCTAATACTGTTTACAAAATAGACCTTTTAAAAAATTTAAAAGCCCGGTTCCTTAATGCATGGGGGCACAGAAGCAATTATGTTCTTGTCAGTCTGTTTTAATGCTTCCTTCAGAGAGCATCTCGCTTCCGATGAAGATGCAGCGACAAGAAGCTTGGCTTCATCTCCCATTCTGCTGGTCTCCTCTCTGCAGAGGCGTGGCTAGTGCTGGACCCTGGAACCAAAATCCAGGGCCTTGCAGCCCAGGGGGCCCTAAAAGATCACTTAGACTGCGGCACAGAGAGGCCAAGACCAGCGCAGAAGCCAGCTCCACCTCATTCCTGCAGTTAAGATACTGTGATTTGGATGGCGAATAGGACACTGCCCACGTTCCATGTATTTTTCTTTACTTAACAGGGTTGGCAAACTGTCCTCTGCTTCTTATTGCTGTAACATGGCAGGCAACTGAAATGAGCTGGGTGCTAGAGAAACTTCCTCACGCTGATTTCGGCCATCGACTCAGCTACTCTTCTTGCTGTTGTTCAATATGAATTGAGGGAGAGCGCGAGTGACTGAGAGCACCCGACGTGGCTTCTGAGAGGAAATGCTCTTGAAAACATTGTCCACTCTTTGCTCTGGCTGTAGAAATTGTCATTTCGAACATGCCGAAGCATGTGCCAGGAGAAAATTCCAACCTCCAACCCGACTGTTCTGTTACTGCTTGTGGCCAGACAGGTCCATTCATCCCCCGAGGCTTGGAACCCTGGGATCAAGATACAGCAGGCTATCCCAGCTAGTGGGAGGTTGTCTGGAGATTTCAGTGGCTGAATCCAGGCCAAGCATCTGCAGGTCTGAGGGCTGAGTGTACGAAGCGATGGCTGCACACGAGTTCCTACCTTTGCATAGACGTCTTCTCCTTGACCTGTTGCCGGATGAGAGCTTCCGGAAACAGCGCCAAAAACAGAGCGATGCCAAAGTCTGTGTAACCTGGTCGAGGAAAGAAAGAAGAAGAACTCTCCTCTTCTGGAGGAGGGTGGGGGGAAGCCTGGGAAATCAAGAGGGGAAACAGCGAGTCTTGTGCCAAGCGTGGACAGGAGAGGCTGTCCCAAGATGCTACGCGAAGGGGGAGGCGGCTTTTCGGAGGGGCGCAGTGTGGACGGCGTTTCACAAGACCTGGAATTTCCAAGAGCTTTGGTCTTTGTAATCCAAGCAGTCGGTAGCATTGAAGTTGAGCTTCCAGGATGCTGCCTGGTCCTTGTAGTCTAGGCAATCCACCGAGCTGAAGCCCAGCCCCGCCGCCCCATAGCCCTGGCTGGAGAGCGAGGCCGGCGACTGGCTCAGGTGGCTGCCCATGGTGGGGGTGGCGATGGGGCTCAGGGCGGCGCCGGGCGCAGAGAGCTGCGGGTGCATGGGGGACAGGTAGGAGCTGCAGTCAAGGCCGCTGAAGTAGGAGGTCGAGCCGGCATAGGTCTGGGTGTAGCCAGGGGCCTGGGTGTATGTCATGGGGTAGGCGGTGGAGCGCTGCATGCAGGGGGTGGTCGAGGCGGACAGGGGGTCGGGGATCGGCGAGATGGAGGCCGGGCTCCAGATGGAGACGGTGGCGCTGGCGCTGGAGCTGGGCGTCACCGACGTGCCGGCCGGCGGGGGGCTGTACTGCTCGTTCGTGCTGGTCTCCGAGCTGGTCTCGCGGGCGGGGGAGGTCTTCTTCTTCGCCGGACGGGCCTTGGCCTGGCCGCTGCTCTGCTGCTGCTGCTGGCGGCACTTGGCCCGCCTGTTCTTGAACCACACCTGCAAGGAAGAAAGCATGGCGGGTGAAGCCTTTGGGTGGAACCAACGATCAGGGCGATGGTAGCCCGGGGACCCATGTCATCGCAGCACTGCTAGCAGGACGCAGGGGATTTCAGGGAGCCACCGGCAGGGGCCAAGACGTTCAGGCCTCGGGAGCAGGCCTGCAAAGCTGCTTCCCCTGGATATTTCCATAGTGTGTCATTTACCCGATGCATTCATTTATCCAATAATTAAAGGCTGCCTGCCAGTGCATGATCAATAGGAGGGCTGTACAAATCACCCATCCCAACCCCCTGACTTAGGATAATGCACCCAAGCAGCAGTGGGGTTCTCCTGAGTGTCCAAGCACTGATCGTGAGGGCCGCCATCTTTGTTTGTGGCCACCATTTTGTTCATGGAGTTATTCTGCAGCATTCCAAAGATGGCTGCCAACCTGGGAGCCCTGGCAGATCCTGACAGGAGGTGGATGCTGAACCAGTGCTGATGCCCAATGGGAAGGGGAGAATCAGACCCTGAGCGGACCTTTCGAGGACCACAAGCTGCCTAAGAGACAGGAGCAGGGACTGCTTCCACATTCACGTCCAAGCAGGGAATGGAATGATAAAACCAGAGAATCTTTCAAGAAATAGATTGCAGGGCCTCCTTCTCTTTGTAAAGAATCACGTCAGCCATCGGGGCCACGCTGGACATGGTTTCAGGTTTCTGTTTGCACACGCAAAGACATCCTTTTAGCCCAACCAAGAATGCGAGGTTCCTCTTCATTCTATCCCAGGCTCTCTAACCCTCAGAAAACCCTCCAAGGATAGTGGAAGTCTTCCTGAGATGGGTCAGTTTATGGAAAACGCTCCCCCAGTGAGAGAGGTTGTTATCCCCTCGGCAGGTCAAGATTCTCCTTTACTCTCAGGCATCTGACAATCTCTTGCTAATAAATGTCATATATAAATTACATAGGATAAACGTCTAACCAGTGATGGAATTTCTGCTGTTGAATGAACGAGATTGTTTTCAAATACAGGGGCAAAGTCCCAAGCGTGGTGAGGCAGAAAAGAGGGGCATGCTGGGAACGGCGGGCTTTGGATTTGGGCTCGTGGGCAGTATAGAAATTTTTTCAATGAATAAATAGGATTGTGCTCCGGATGAATTTCCCCTTATATCCAATCTTGCAGCTTTGAGGTTTTAATCTTTTGTACCATGCCCAGAGAACTCTGGCTACCGAGCATGCAGAAATGTGGTTATTAATAACACTGAGAACACGGAGAGATTCCAGTGCAGATTGTCACCCCGAGAGCCCTGTTTCCCATGTGCTTGGCTCTCCTGGGAACTCCCCCTGCCCCCTGGTCTCAGGCAGTTGCCCAGGACGGCTCTACCTGTCCTCTTCAGGACCAGGAAAGTGCGCCCAAGGTATGCAAAATGCATTAAACATGAACAACAGGTTCAGGTAGAATCAGACAGAGACCTGGAATCAGAAGCTTATTTTCCCAAAGGCGTGTGATTCTGTTTGCACAGGGATGAGAGTTGTCCGTGCAGCTGGAACCCGAGCGACTCTCTTGGGCCTGCGTGACTGACTGCTCAGTTCAGGGAAACAGGGCGAAAGGTCCCAGGCCACGGAGAACCCTGGTGCTCCTTGTGGCTATCGGACACCTGCGGGGTGACATCTGCAAGCAGCCCCCTGGCTATCTGTGAGGGGCGCAGAAGTGCAGCCGAGAGCAGTTCAGAACCTGTTTGGGAACTGCGGAGCACTTTAATGCGTGGGCGGTTTGGGCGTTTACAAAATGCTTTGGCCCCACTGCTGGAGACCCCCCCCCGGGGGATCCGCAGCATCTTCAGCCCTCGATGCCCCACAGCAAAGCAGCAAACAGCCCCACCTGCACTCGGGATTCAGGCAGGTTGATCTTCAGGGCCACTTCCTCGCGCATGAAGATGTCCGGGTAGCGAGTCTTGGCGAACAGTGCCTCCAAAATATCCAGCTGGGCTCGAGTGAATGTCGTGCGCTCGCGCCTTTGTTTCCGTGGGGTGGCTGCAGGTGGAGGATGGGAAAGCGGTCAGGGAGAAGGCAAGGAAGCAGTGAAGGCGCAATGTTAGCAGACCCCTTCCCTCTCTACACACCAGTACCAGATCTTACTGGGATGTTTTATTTAGAGTGAAAAACAGCGGTGCCAACCCCAGTGTGGTTTGCAGAGCCATTTCAGTCAAAAAACCCCCCCAGCACATTACCCAAACAGCCTACGAATCAAAAAAGGGAAGGGAAGATTCCAGAAGGAATGAACGTACAGGTACTTTTGTCTTTCCTTTTTCAGTTGGGGAGGAGGGACAACTCTAAAGCCACATTCGCCAAAGTGCTCTCTCTCAGATGTGTTGGACTACAATCCCCATCGACCCCAAAATGCATGACTAATAGTCAGGGGTGATAGGAATCATACCCCAAAACATCTGGAAGGAATTGGGGTGGGGAAAGCAGTCATTGGAAATACTTGCGTGTCCAATGGAATCTCCTTTTTCAGAATTAACTATCTGCAAGTTTAAAGTGTGCCTCATGCATTATCTCAGCAATCTTTAATCCTGCAAGGTAGGCTAGTAGCTGCCAGTGTAGTTAGTTAACTAATCTACCTACCACTTGACTAGAAACAGAGTCAGAAGGCATCCCCTGGGCCATCTAGTCTGACCCCCGGCTCCAGCCGGCTCCTCTCATGACATGCCTAATCTGTCTCCTGGTTTCACATTTTTGCTTATACATAAGCACAAGTCCATGTATAGGCTAACTATTGTTAACCGTCCAGGAAGCATCAGCTATTGGGGCAGTATAAAAATGAAATAAATACAGAAGTACACATGCATAATATTCCATGACCAAAAAACCTGCTGTGTTAAGGACAGAGGTCGGCCTACCTTAGGCTGGCTCAAGCTCCACAAACCCAGGAAATCAGATGCTTAGCTTGATGCCCCCCCAAAAATGCGGCCATTATTAGGCAAGCCATGCTAACAAGCCACAGACAACCCTGGCTCAACCCAAGGAAGGGTTTCTCCAGCCACATGGAAAGGCACAGAAGCCGTCCTGTATCAGGACCACATGGGGCAGCCTGGCTCATCCCCAGCTGGCTTTGGGCCTGAAGAACCCAGGAACCCAGAACCCAGGAACAGTGTGGGACTTCAGGCGCAAGCAGGAACAAGTTCCCATTACGGACCAGAATGCCCCTGAGGGGCAGAAAGGGTTACAACGGTTTGAGTTGGTGCGGGTAGAAGAACAGAGCCAGGCAGCAAAGCTAAGGGTGAGGAATTCTGAGAGTTTTAGTCCAAACATCTGGAGGACTCCAGCTTGGAAAGGTTGTCTCTTCAAAAAGGAACATGTGGCAGTCCCGTTTCAGCTGAACAGATTTGGCCTCGGACCGCAGAACGCCGGCTTTAAAGCGTGGCTGCTCAGTAAATCCACTGCGTGACCTTGGGCAAATCACGTGTAAAAATTGGGATGCGGAGGAGCTTCTCTGCTCCCTTCATCAAGGCAGGAAAAAAGAACCCCTTATTTAAACAACTCTTTCCCACTTTTACTGGCCTATTCTAGGCTAAAATATTTTCTAGCTTCTTATATAGGTTTTAAAATCAAATAAATTTATTTTCCATAACTTTCTGTCTTCTGGATGATGCAATGATCATGCCAATTCCAAGAATGGCTTTCTTTTATAGGTCTTCAGAACAAAACTGGGATTTTAGCACTGTAAACACTACTGCATTCTTGATCTCTGCCTAGGTGTGAGAGCCGGGCTGTCATGGAGAGGGTATCTGAACATCCATTCCTAAGGTCGCCATCAGATGGGGACAACTTGATGGCACATCACAACAACCAAAATGGAGATCATCTATTTGTTATAACTGATTTCTTACAAAGGCCATTCTACCCTGTCACACAAGCTCCTGTGCAGGCACCCAAATAGATACCCACACGCACAGACCACCTGCTGGTTTTCTAGCTACAAAACCTAGTCTTGTCACTAACCACTGGGTAGCACTTTCCAGCACACAACCAGAGAATGTGTTTGCTCCCTTGCAAAAGCAAGAAGTAGCTGCTGCAAACCCGCCCCCCCGTCCTTTCCCCAGTGGCGAAGGGATGCAGCGGGGGGGGGGGGGGGTGTTAGTCCAATGCATCTGGGGCACAACAGGCCCAGTAAGGCTGATCGGGCCATTGTTATTTTTCTTAGCATCATGCATGGGGGGATGTGGCTCCCCCCCCAGTGGCATTCTGGGATCTGCCCACAGAGCATCTTCCTGGTCTTTCACCCCGATTTTCCCCGTTGGGCTCGTATCTTTTCACGGATATGAAGGAAAATGGGTGGGTTTATTTTCTGCCGTGCTCAAATGCCACGCAGAGCCACGGGTGCGGCCCCTGCTTTCCGGCCCTCGTGGCATTCCTGGAGTTGTGACGCTTGCTGTGACATTGCTGAACGAGAAGGCTGGCACAGCACAACTGCACCTCTCTCTGTGTCATTTCCTTCCCAGCTGGCGTAGTACAGACACATCTGCTTTGCCCCTTTTTAAAACTTCCGTGGCTTCGCACTTGCACACTTCTGGAGATATGATGCCCTTTTGCAAACATCTCGCAAAGTAGTGTTGTGTAGCAGGGAACAAAAACTGCCCCAAACTGCAGACGCGCAGCGTGGAGGTCTCAAAGGGCCTTGTCTCCTAAGAAAAACCTTGTTGGTAAAAAAAAAAGAAGAAGAAGTTGGGCAGGGAAAAGGGGGCATTTCAATTTCTTTTCTGGGGAAACAAACTTCAGGCAGAGAGATCTCAGCCCAACCTACCTCACAGGGTTGTTGTTGCGGGAATAAGATGGAGGAGAAGATGTAAGCTGCCTTGAGCCCTTTGTAGGAAAAAGGCAAGATATACATTGAAAAATAAATAAATAAAATAAATTCAGTGAAGGGAAGGCAGAGGGGCAGCCCATGCGGGGCAAAGGCCTGCTCTGCTCGTGTGGGGCTCTGGCATAGCAGAGAGTATTGGTGCCTTGTATTTTCATTTCAGCTGCCCTGGGCAGCTGGGTGACGGGGATGATGGACTCGCACAGACGCGGGATTCCAGGGGGAAGCGTCGGGGCTCCAGTGAGCCACCCCTCTCTCTCTCTCTCTCTCTGGCACACAGGTGAGTCACCTGTGCACATGTTCACAGAGGCAGGCAGAAATGGAAGGAGGGAAATGGTAGTGGAGGGGGGGGAAATGGGGGGGGGAGGAGGAAGGCGGGAAAGGTAGGCATGTGTTGCCTTAGGGGGCGAGCAGGAAGAAACCTTGACTGTGATAGAAATCTGTGGGATTCCAGTTTAGGAAAAAGGAGGCGGGAACAAGCTGCATTCACCAGCAGGCTTCTGAGTCATCTGACTCAGATCCAAATTTCACCCTCTGAATTCTCCCCAGATAAAAAGCTAAATAAATAAATAGATAAATTTAAGTGGGCTTATTTGTCTTGCCGAGCTGGAAAAAAAAAACCAAGTCAGGTCTCCCTGTTGATTTCCCTTCCTTGATGTAATGAAAAAGAGGGAATGCTGGCCTGCAACTGGGAAAGATCGGTGGAAAATATCCCTCCACCCCAATGGCCTGAAGCCATTCTTAAGTGGTGCATCTCCAAAGCAAAGCTCCGAACCCCACTGGGAATTCCTGGTATGCCACTCCTGGCTACTGAGAGGATGGGTGAAATAAAGGAGGAGGACTTATTTTCTTGGGAAGGGCAACCAAATCATTTTCTACCTGGAAAATGGAACCAAGAAACATGCGCTACAATTCCAAGAAGGAAGTATTCTAATTTTTGGCAATATGATAGATAAACTAGGTATTACGTAGCTAGTACTCAGCCTGGGTTAACTCTGAGGTACCTAGCAGGTCCAGATGTGTTTCTTGCTGGCGTCTCTTGGTTAAAATTAAAATGTTCATTTAAAAAAAAAAAAAACTAGAAAAATGTGCTCCCCTCCTTCAAAACTGACAGCTTTACCCGGGTTCAAAAAAGTGTTTTTGGTGCTTTGGAGCTCAAGTTGGGCAAGTTACTTTTCTTTCTGTCCCAACAGCTGGCCTTCTGAGAATTTCTATGCCCACCGCAGTAGCCATTTTGTGCTTGGGCAAGCCCCCCACCCCACCCCACCCCACCGCAGCCATTTTGTGTGCGTACATACACCATGCTCAACTTTTCAGATGTGCCCACCCACCCAAAAAGGCTTGGGACCCCCGGGCTAATTTATGAATTCGTTTCCCATCCTCAAAATAAAATAATATTTTTATTACTCTAGGTGGCCAAATTGCAGATAATTATTTCTCATAACTAGTATTTAAACTATCTGCATACTGGTTGATATGCTGAGATTGCTATGCAGCTTAATTTTTTAAATACAATATAATATAAAAATCATATAATGTGTTCAATTGGTAACACCGAGAGTAAAGCAGAGGAGTATGATTACAAGTCAGGAAACGTTAAAGAATATAGTTTTGCCTTTGCTAACTTCACTGGGCAGCATCAACATAAAATAAATGGATGCCAATCCAATGGATGTGTCTTTCAGAGGTGTCTAAAGCAGAGTTTGCTCTCAGACCAGAGCTGGTCTAGGAAGAGCACCCATTTACTTTCATTTCTTAGCCCATTTCCCCTGAAAATACCTCGATTTAGGAGAAAGGAATGGGGTGAAGGATGCTGCCAGGCTGGACTATGTGCGTCTCAGATTGCGTTGAACCCAAGGGACCTCCGGGACCCTTTTCCCGAGAACCTCAGAACTTCTCCCCCCTTCCCCGTGCAGAGCCACAAGCTGCTTTGGAAAAGAATCCTCTTCCTCTTGGGGAGGGGAACGTGCAGTTACAAAACTGAAATTCGGTGCCCCCGTTGTAAAGACCTGGGCTGCACATTTTTGACTCCAGTTCGGTTTCTCACCATCGCATCGTTTAATTTAGGAAGTCGAGCCCGTTTGATTTCTTGCAACAACCCATGGGCTGCAATCCCAAATCAAGGGAGGTGTTTGCAGAAATCGTCTGTATCGTTTTGAGTGAACGGGTTTTTACAAAGCAGGTGTTGTTTTCCCACTAAAATCTCCTGGAGTTTACTTTGGCTAGAATACCTCCCCGAGTGCTTCCATAAGCATGTAAACTTCTCCCTTTGGCTTCCCGTCCTACCTTGACCTCCCTTCTCCACCTGAGACAGGAATTTGGAGGGGGACGCAGGGGCGATGGAAGTGCGGGTAGCGGGGAGGGCATGATGGGCTCTTAAAAATGACACACAACGGCTTTAAAAATAAAATTCAGCGGAGGACCGTGGCGCGCGCGCACTCTGCATGCAAACCATCTTCTGCCAAGGCGGACCCTGAACTTGCCTACAAGTGGCACTGAGGAAAACACAAAACCAAAAGATGCATTTTGCCTCCCCCCGCCCCCGCTCACCCCGCCCCGAGCGCAGGGAATCCCTCCCAAGACTGGGGTGGAGGCAACCCTTTTAACAGGCTTTCTGCAAAATCCGCCACGCCACGAGGTTCTTCGCTTGCCACAAAAGCAACACCCGAGACGGGCGCGATTTGTTTCCAAGCCGCGTCACTTTTTGACCGGGAGAAGGACGATGCAGCGGGAATCCGCACGAGCTCCCGCGCTGGCACGGAGGGCGCACTTCGTGGCGAGCCTGCGCACACGCGCGCCAAGCGCGGCCGAGCTCTCCCGCCGGGCTGGCTCGTGTTCACACCGGGCCATCCGGAGCGGCCCGCGCTGAGCTGCGCGCTCCGGCAGGGTCCCGAGCGGGAGCGGGAGCAGAAGCAAGAGCAAGAGCTGCGCCGGGGCCGCTGCGCCGGGGCCCCGCCACAGGACCGCCCCCCCGGCGGCGAAGTTCGCCCTGCCGGCACTCCTGATGCGGCATCGCTGCCGGGCCTGTCGCGAGCGCCCCCATCCGTGGCCCAAACCGAATCGAGGGCTCGGTGGCCCCGCGCGCCGCGCCTCCAAGCCGGGCAGCACCCGGAGGGGGTGGGTGGGGTGGGGGTGCACTTACTGGGGTATCCGACGGCCGAATGGAGCAAGTCCATGCCCGGGCCGGCCAAGGTGAGCCCGTTGACCGCGTAATGGGGTTGCTTGATGTAGGACATCATGTCAGAAGGTCGGCGGCCCCCCCGGTTCGGCTCGGCCGGCGCTGGAGTCCCTCGGCTCGCCCTCCGCGCAGTCTCTCGCCTCCGGGGCTATCCGGGTCCGCTCAGCATCCGAGGAGGGCTGGAGCTGCAAGGGGCGAGAAGTAGCTCACCGGGGGGCTCGGGCCGCCCCCCCCCCCGCGGGCAGGAGGGCGAGGTGGGGAGGGGGCTGGCCAATGGGGCGCGGGGCGCGTCCCACCTCCAGGTGGCGGCCTGGAAGGGCCCCTTCGCCCGCGCCCGCCTGGCAGCGCCTCTCCCGGGCAGAGGGGGCCGCGGGGGGGGGGGATTTTAGCAAGTCAAAGGGGGAAGCTAATGGGCGCCATCAGGCCACTCGGCCCGCGCTCTGGGGCCTATTATTACCTAAACGAGCGGGCTAAGTCAACACATTAAGCCTTCTGGGGCCCTCGCGCTGGGCGGGGCGGGACCCCGGCTCTGCCAGGGGGCTCCGCGGCTTCAGGGGTCTGGCAACCCGAGGGGAGGGGTCGAGCAGCGCGGGGTTAGCAGCAGCAGCGGCAACAATTAGGATCAGATGTGTTTCATTCCTTCCCTCCGTTGAAGCAGGCCGCCCCAACGCGAATCGTCGAAGCGCTCCGTGTGGGGCGGCGGTGGGGCGGGGTGGGGGAGACGGCTGCAAACATGCGAGACCTTTCTGGGGGGTAACAGGAGCCCACAGTTGCTCTGAGTTCAACCACGCGGCTGCTCTGCAGTACAGAGACACTAATACTGGCCTACTTTGCAGGGCTGTTGTAAACGATCAGCGTCATTGGAGAACGCTCACGATACAGACCTACCCATTGTGTGAATCTGGCTGAAAATCTCCCATAAACTGTGGCCCTCCTTAAATTGGCCCAACAAACATTTATGGAAGCCTTATTGAATAAGAGAGAGACAGAGTGGTATAGTGGTTAAAGGTGCAGGACTGGGACCCAGGCGATCTGGGTTCTAGTCCTCACTTAGTCATGGAACCAGCTGGGTGACTTTGAGCCAGTCAGACTCTCAGCCCAGCCTACCTCACAGGGCTGTTGTCATAGGGATAAGACTGAGTGCAGGAGGAGAATGATGTAAGGCACTTTGAGTTCTTTAAAAAGGAAAAAGTGGGCTATAAATCTAACAAATAAATAATAAAGCAGGGCAAAGAAAGAATCCCTTGCAAGCCTTTATCTTTGCAAAATCGTAAGAGAGAGGCAAGAGTGCGTGTGAGCATGCACAGAAGTACACGTGCTTCCCTCCAGCCTTGTAGTGCCATGAAATGGGGGTGGTGCAACCATGACAACATTTTGGTTTTTATCTTATACTGTCATTTTAATTTTTCAACTTTTATACTGTGTTTTTAGCAGGTTGTGTTTTAGGGTTATGCTTTATATGGACGGGATTCTTGGCAACTTCCCAGAGAACTTGGGCACTTAGGCAATACAGAAATGCAGCAAACCAACTAAAATATAAATAATTTGCTAACAGCTGCACCCTGGCATTACTCATTTTGCTTAATAGCCCAAATTTTATGAGAAACGCAGCTCACCAATATTAATAGGTTAATGACAGTTACAAGAACGCATCTGCGGCCATGCAGAAATACTTGCAACAAGCTAGCTTTTTTGAAATAAAGAAAACCATTTGTACATATAAAAAGACTTTGCTTGCCAAGTCTATTTGGTTTCTGTTTTTCTATTTTCCAAAAGGATGTGGCAAGAGTAGATGAAGTTAAGTTATGGAATTTTTAGATCTGCAACAGAGCCAATGTGAAGATGCATTGTGGTCCGAAAGCCAGGTTGTCCTTGCATAAAAGACTGGCCCTGGCTAACAGGAGGAAAAGGACCTTCTGCCACTAGAGAGAGCCTTATAGAATAGACAGAATCCCGGCATCCCACAGAAGTACTGGTGCTCCAGCCGCAAAGGACCACATGAATTTTGCAGCCTTGCAGATTCAAGCAGAGGAATGCCGGACGGCTGGCACTTCCAGCGTCGCCACAGCTTAGTGCTGCCACCAAGACTCGGAACCAGAATCGGGGCAGGTGGAAGGGGAAGTCTCAGAGCAAATGGATGAAAAATAAGAGAACGCTTCTTCGTTCCTAAATCAGCCAAGAATCCCCTGCTAGCTACATTTAATATTTCTTGTTTTTCCGCCTTTCTCTTTGCTTTATCCATACCTCATCTTGGTTTTGAAAACAATGCAAAGAATCTACAGACACAGCTCCCAAGTGGGGTGCCAGTTTCCACTGATTAAACCTGCGGGTTGCCCTTGCAAACATGGGAAGGAAGGAATTGGGCTCACACACATGCAAGTGAGAGACCGCGATTTAGCTGCTCTTTAACACCTTGGAATCTTTTCTTGAGGCCTCAACTCACCATCCCTACAAAGAGGAAATTAATCTACCAGACATTTGCATATGCTAATTTAAAGATATAAATACAGATTTGTAGCTAATAGAATGGCTTGCCTGGAAACAGGATTCATCCACGCATAATGAAGAAGACCCGACCAGGTGAGGGTTTGATGCAGGTTTAGGCCCTTCCATTTACCCTTGATTAGTTCTTTATCTTTACACTAGACAGCTTGAGCATCTCTTTGAGAGCACAACCATCCTTGAAATGGAAGCAGTCCTCTACAAACTAGGGCACCTGGCTACCTTACCTCCGTGGAAGAACATTTAAGAACAGGACTTGGGCAAAAAAGTCTTATATCTAGATTCATACCTGAGCAGAAGTCTGCACGTGTACTTGCCTTAAATGTTGTGAACTTTGGCATAAATTATCGGGTTTGATCAATTATGTCCTACTACAAACAAAGGGGGTCAAACTTTAACTGGCAACTCCCCCCCCCCTGCAAAGCAAAGAACCCAGATGGCAAGGGTTTTTAAAAATTGGGAAACTTGCTCGATTAGCAGTGGCAGATATGGAATTTTGATTATGTCTAATCAATAACAGACATAATCAATGCATAATCATAATCTGATCAATGCGCCAATGGCTGTTCTCCAAGATCAGACACTAATCTCAAATCAGTAGCTGTATTTTCATTGTCTGAATAAACACACCCCACTGGCTAAGAAGTGCATTAAAATTGCATTTATGCCACAGTGACAAAAGTCAGGAATAAGTATCGTCCAGGCTAAAAAAGTACATTTAGGGTTGTTTATGAAAAGGCTCTTGAAACTTTCTAGTTTGGGTAAGGGGTCATTTTAAAGGGTTCATTCTTAGGGGACTTTTAAAGGGTAATTTTAAAGGAACTTTTCCAAATGTGGCCCGTTTTCTTTTAGAATAGCAAAGCAGTCCATAAACTATACAAAGGCTGCAGAATTGGGAATAGGTTCAGTGTGACTTGCGTCTTTGCAAGCAAGCACAGCTCAGAATGCTTTGGCCAATTTAGTTACACCTAATTTTTGTTTCATATTACCTGGAGTTTATGGACCTTCAAGATGGCTGATGCTAAAGGACACTGGGAACAGCTGGAAATTTTGTGGGACCTACTCCACACATCCAAGTGCTTCCTTTGTCTTCCAGGCATTGTTTTTCTAGCATTGTTCTGAGCAGGGAGGGCTGCTGCCCCAAATCTTTAGCCACAAGGAGCATCTTCAAGGGCTTTCCCTTAGTTCTCGCTGTTTGTGTGAACCAAGCTGTTAGTCAAAGATTAAAGTGTGCAAAAAATTAACAAGAGGAAACCCCGCTCCAAAGATCTGGCCAGCAACCAGACCTAAGGGCAGCTTTGGACTTCTGTTTTAATTCACCACCAATTCCTCCAAGTTTCAGGGCAAGCAGCTTTTGAAACTGAGGGGAATTTAAAATGCGCTTTGGGCAGGAAGGGCTCCTTGCATTGCATGGAGAAAGTCTCAAGTTCAATGCAGGCTTCAAGTAGGGCTAGCAAAGACTGAAACTCTGGAGAGCTCTTGCAGCCAGTGTTTCCAGTACAGGGAGAGATGGACTTGTGATCTGATGTTTTCTCTCTGAAAATGTTACTGATGATTTCTGGGTGGAAAACCTCCCATGGAAGATGTTTGTGAAGGGTTCATTCTGTCCTTCACAAAGACCACTGAAAGCTATGCAAAGGACTTGCTAATTTCAATAAGGAGTTGAAGCATTTATTTTTTTCCCCCTAAGGCAATGGCCTTGCTTGTTACTTTTATGCCTTAACTAGAATGGTTTAAAATAAGCTGAATTTTTAAAACGCAAATGGGAGATAAAAGTGTTGTCTTTTTTTTCCCCAAATGCAAATTTAAACCCATTCCATTTTTAGCAGGACATAAACTGAAGGAAAACAAGTCTAATATCTGTGTATAAAAGCTTGAAATGGTGGACACAGTCTATGACCTGCTTAAGGCAAGGAAACCGATAAAGCTGTGGTGAGCTTAGCGACATAAGCAAGCCAGCGGGTTTTGTGGGCAGATGTTACCTTGTCCCAGATATTTCACCATTTCAAATGTTGTCATCTCTTTGCAGTGTCTCGGATTATAGGTTTATACACTGGCAGGAAGAATGCAATGAGAATGCTTTAGCTCGAACAAAACAAAAAGCTTTGGGCTTGTTGCTTTTATACAGATCAGCTCAAGACAATCCTTTAAAATCATGTTTCTGTGTACACTTAATAGAAAATGTAAAAATGTTTTCCTTTTAAAAAAAATGTACCAAAGCTCTTCCGTAATGCTTATGACCAGTAGAAAACACAGGATTAAATGTGAAATATTTGATATTTGCTATAATAACTGAAGAAGCTGGAAACACAATTTTAAGTGAAACTAGTTATTTCTCTTTTTAAGCCAAAAAGCATTTGGCAAACATGATGTGAGCTGTCCCACTTTTTAAAAAGGGTTGATTTTGTTTTTTCTGAGGAGTCTTCACTACTATTACACACCTAGCTGGAAATTTATTTTAATTGTCAATATCTTCCCTTTTCATTGGTTTAAAATAATGTATGACAGATATCCAAATGTTTATGCAGAAAATAAATAACCCCAATAGCCCAAGACTGGTAGAAAACCTATACATTTAACATATTTTTCTCTCTTATGATTCCTCGCCAGAAGACTTTAAGAAGAATATCTCTAGAA